GGGTTCAAACCCCCGAGCCTCAGATCACCTGCCATACATCGTTCACGAGTTTAAATAGCGTGTATGTTTTTTTATTTTTTTGCTAATATATATATATATAGACAAATAAACAAAATACACTTATTATTATTATTATTATTATTATTATTATATGTGTGTGTAATATTGTGTATTGAAAAATATCTGATCAAATTTAAATAATAAAAATAATAATGGAAGTAGGCAAATATTGGAAGCAAGTCGACATGTAAACAAAAACACAAACCCTATCGTGGCTATGTGATACGTGACAATAAGGGGCTGTTTGGACGCATCATTTTATTTAATTCTATCAAATTAAATATTTAATTTTTTTATTCAAATATTATAGTAAACATATTGTTTTATTAAAATAATATATCAAAAATTTAAACTCATTTTATATAGAGGTCATTATTTTTTTTTTTTAAAAAAATACTAGTATATAAATAATTTTAAAATTATGATTGAAAAAATTCACACAATTGTGTTATTTTTAACTACAGATTATACTGAACTATAGATTTTCTGTATTTGACCATGAGGGGTGCGTTCGTTTGGAGAATTTTCCCCAAAATTTATTATTTATCATTTTTTTTTCCTCAAAAAATATCAAATCAAATTGTATCTATTTTTTATTTTTTATATTATACTAAAAATTTATTTTACATTCAAAATATCACATAAATACTTATTTATATTACATTATACAACTATTTCAATTAAAAATTTTTATTATTGAAATTCCAACTCAAATTTCAAACCCCCAAACAAACAAGCCTATAATATATAGTTGATTTCAACGTAATACTCCCTCTATCTCAATACAATAGTCTTGTTTACTATTTTTGTCCGTCCCAAAATAATAGTCTCATTTCCATAAATAACTATATCACCATAAAACTATCAATACTTTTTCATTATTATTACATAATTGTCAATACTTTTTACGTTTATATACTCACAGGGGTAAAAAATTCATTTATCTTTACTTTTTACCAACTACCAATATAATATCAATATTTTTTAAATCTCGTATCCAACACAATAAACCTATACTTTTGGGACGGAGGGAGTATATAATTACAAACAACACAATTTATAGTCAAAGATTGTACAACTACGTGCTTTAATTTAACACAATATGTGTGTTAACAAACATGATGTGTTGATTTTATGTTGCCTGAGTTGTGTTCTTTGTGAATTTTATTATAAGTTTTTACTATTTAAATTTTTTTTTAAAAAAATATTAAATCAAACAATTAGTTTTTTTATATTATACTATAAATTTATTTTATATTCAAAATAGGGTAAACTGTTTTTTTAGTCCCGTAACTGGACCCCTTTATCATTTTAGTCCCGTAAGTGGAGCATGTCGCAAACTAGTCCCATAAGTGAAAAATTTTCGCTGTTCTAGTCCTCCGGTGCCGGAGACGCCCGCGTGGCTCGCCTGAGGTGACATGTCAGCCAGGTGTCCCGCCAGGTCAGCAACACCTGGCGGACACGTGGATTTATTTATTTTTTTCATTTTTTTAATTAGACCAAATAAAAAATACAAATAAAATTAAAAATAAATTAAAAATAAGTTTAAAAAAAATTTAAAAAATGAAAAAAAATAAAATCCATGTGTCTGCCAGGTCAGCGACACCTGGCGGACACGTCACCTCCGGCGAGCCACGCAGACATCTCAGGCGCCCGAGGACTAAAACATCAAAAAATTTTCACTCATGGGACTAGTTTGCGACAGGCTCCACTTACGGGACTAAAATGATAAAGGAGTCCAGTTACGGGACTAAAAAAATAGTTTACCCTTCAAAATATAATATCAACCTCTATTTATATCACATCAAACAACTATTCAAATTCAATTTTTTACTATTTAAAAATTCAAACCCAAAAATTAAAATTCACAGACAAACACACCCCATGGTTGATTTTACTTTATATATGTGTTGAAAGAAAAAATCAACATCATTTAACATATTAATCTATAAGTGTTATATATATATAAACAAAAACTCATGTAAAAATATGACTTCGTTTTGAAAGTTTTTGAAATTTTTATTTTTTAAAAAATAATAAAAATATTTTATAAGAAAATTTGTTTTTTGATATCATATTTTCTTAAAATATATTTTCTCAATCTTAATTTAAAATATTTTTTTTACCATTTTCGTCTACCTTATTTCAAAGTATTTATTTTATATTTAGTAAAAATAATCATACATTAATACGAAAATATCTTTAATTTTTACCTAAATTACAAACATACTATTACATATATAATTATTTTATACATAAAGTCAAAAATAAAAATGTAAAAATTTACTCCATCTGTCCCAGGTAACATGTCTCCTTTACTGCAAATACGAGAATTTATGAGAAGTATAATTAGAGTGTGTTCGGTTGTTAGAACACCTATTCATCTCATTTTTTCCCCCCAAAAACATCAAATCAAACACCTAATTTTCATTTTTTATATTATACTAAAAATTAATTTTACATTCAAAACATCACATTAACACTTATTTATATCACATCATACAACTATTCAAATTCAAAATTTTTACTATTCAAATCTCAACTCAAAATCCAAATCCCCAAACAAACACATCCTTAGTAAATAATTAAGAATATATTAGTAAAAATAATTAAATAATAATTAATTAATATAATTACAATTAAAAAAATTAAAATTTTAAAAATGAGATTAAAGTATATACTTTTTCAAAAAAAAAAAGAAAATAATATAATAAATGGATATAGGAAAATTAAAATGTGAGCACGATAAATGAGACATGAAAGTATTATATATTTCTATATACTAATAAAATATTATTAACTTTTAATTTATTTTGAAATTTCAAAAAGTCCTTATTAGATTTCCGGACACACCCTACTAGCCTTGCCGACAGAATTAATTATTTGGAGTGTTGTGATTTGGGGATCGTCAACCGTTAGCAGTTATTACCAACTGTTTCTTTCAGTGCAGGCCCCCATCCAATCACACCCTACCCCATCCCACCCCAAAGGGGCCCCACACCGACTGTCTTAATTCCGTCCCAGACACGGCCTTACCACTTGCTGCATAATCCCTTTCTCCTTTCTTAAGCTTCTATGAGTGTATTCTTTCATAAAGAATTTTTTTTTTTTTTTTTTTTAAATGTGATTTTTATTAATATAATAGAAAAAAATACAATAGATAACGAGCACTATATTTTTTATTCATTACAAAATAAAAAAAAAATTAACAAAATATTATTATATTTTTATATTACTAAGAACATTTGTTATTATTATCTTTCTCATTATTTTTTTAATTTTTATTATAAAGAGATTTGTTTCCACTTTTAAGAAATACAATTGATATTCATATATTGTTTATATTAAGAATTTTTTACTTCTATAACAAATAATAAATAAATAATTATTTAATTAATTATAAATAATTTTTGAGAAGTCTGTAAGTTTATTCTAATTGTTTAGAAGAAATGTTTTAGGTGTTGGCGGCATCGATGAGACCGGTAGGTACCGATGATGGATGAAGAGGTGTTCGATAATTAGATGGATTGATATTTATTTTTGGATTGTTATTTCCCAAAAAATGGAGAAGAAATTGTCGTCATTTATACCTTTTGGTTGCTAATTGTATCTGTTCTTGGGTATTTGATGTTTTACAGTTATGAATTATCAAGAAATGGGGTGAATGATTTATTGATTGTATAGCTCTATTGTATCCACGTATTTTTGTACTTTAATATTCAATAGTGAATTTCATTTGAATTTGAACCTTCAGATATAAGTCGTTGATGACCGAATTTGGTCAACAATTGTTTTGTATTTTCTGTTATTGTTGTCACAAGAATTTGCATTTTCAGTCCGATCCGAGAGCGAATAACCTGTTTGTATCGTGTGAGTTTTTATAGTTTGATTGCAATAATGAGTTTTTGTTGTTGTTATGTGTGTTACTTGATTTTGGACCTACATTTTATACTTTTGACACAATTCTATATATCATACACAAAAAATCAATCAATTTAAAAATATTGCGTGAACAGAGCCGTAGTGTCTATAAACTTATTAATCTCTATTCTAAGACTCTTACAATTTTACTAAATTTTGATTTAGTTCAATCTAGACAAAAGAGTTTTAAAATTTTTAAAATAATACTTCATCCGTTTCAGCTACGGTGTCCAACTTACTGTAGACATAAGAATTTATAATATATATAATTAGTAAATAAAATGAAATTAATTATCGTATGATAAAAATATTCTTAGATTAAAATTAAGATACCTAATTAGTCCAATTAAAATTTTAAAAATATATAAATAAAAAAAATTAAATAAAATTAAAATGTATAATTATTTTTTTTAAAAGGATAAAATAAATATGACAAACAAAAATGAAAAAATGAATATAATAAATTATATGGAGAGAATAATAAAAAAATATTTAATAAAAAATATTTAATATAATACTCCCTCCCTTTCATATACCGTGTCTGCTACATTGTAGACACGGTATTTTAGAAGGATTTTATAATTAGTAAATAATTAATAATATATTAGTAAAAATAATTATTTTATAATATAATTAATTATAAATTAAGATTAAAATAATCAATTAATTTAATTATAATTAAAAAATAAATAAATTACAAAGTTTAAAATGAAATTAAAATATATAATTATTTTTTTAAAAAAAAAAAGCCACATAAAATATGAGATTGACAGAATCGACGGGGAGGACTATTATGTAAATATATATATATACACATGATATGATTGTTAAAAATAAAATTGGAGTTCCAAAATTGATTGCGCAAAAAAGCTTCTTGGGTTTCAGGACTTCCGTACACGTGGATTTGTGATTGCATACACGTCATAGCATAATCATATCCCGACACGGCCGCGCACGCGAACACGCACACGCACTTGCTGTCTCAAAACACACTCTATTTATACTCTCCCATTCTCCACTTCCATTTCCATCTTCACTTATTTTATTTTAATTAATTTCCGCCAATATTAATAATAATAATAATGAACTTCGTCTCCAACATCGCCAAGAAGGTCCAGCCGGCAAAGCCCTCCTCCGGCGACCCCCCCGCCGCCGACGCCGACCCCTCCTCCAACGCCGATCTCTTCTCCAACGCCAAAGTCGTCGCCGACGCTGCCCAATCGCAGTTCCGCAGCGAGGATTACGATAAGGCCAAGGCCGCCGGCGCCGGCGCCGACCTCCTCAACTCCGCCGCCGAGTACGGCAAACTTGACGATACTCAGGGGATCGGAAAGTATGTCGATCAGGCTGAAGGGTATCTCCGCCAGTACAGTTCTTCTGATTCCCATTCTGGCCCCGCCGCCGCTGCCGCCGCCGATGAGCCCGCCGGAAAACTGAAAACGGAATCCGGAGCCCCCGATTCCGACGATCCTGTCAAAACCCTCGGCGGCGATGGCGATTCTGATGCACCTAAAAGTGATGTCCCCGCCGCCGCCGAGCCAGACGCCGGCGACGTGAAAACAACGATCACTGATTCAATCAAAAGCGCCATTCCGGCGGGGGGTGCGGGCCCCGACGACGGCGGAAAGGCTTCCGGCGGCGGCGCCGGGGAGTATTTGGAGAAAGCTGAAGGTTTTCTGAGCAAACCGCCGGCCGGAGACGGCGAAGAAGAAAAGGCCGGCGATTACCTGAAGGACGGAGAGGGTGAACTGAAGAAGCCCGGCGAAGCCGCCGGGGAATACCTCAAGCAGGCGGAAGGTGTCTTTGGAAAGTCCTCCGGCGACGGTGGCGAGAAGGCGGAGGAAGCATCGGAGCCGCCTTCCGCCGGCGGTTTTGGCAGTGCTGTGAAGGCCGCCGGAGGATTTCTGAGTAAATAAAAAGCTTCCCGCTGTTCCATATTTATCGATTACAGTTATTATTGTTATTTAAATAAATATATATATAATATATATAATATAAAATATAAGCATATATACATATATATATATGTGTGTGTACGGTATGTATGTATGTATGTGTACTGTTTTCGGTTTGTGTGGTTTTTTTGGGGTGTTTAAGGATGTTGTACTCCATGTTGAATGTATTTGCTGTCTTGAAAATTATTAAATATGATATTATATAAATAATTATGTTTGCTTGGTTGTATTTAATCATTTTAAACATTACATGGTTGTGTTTGTTTTGAGGATTTGTTAAAATTTCAATTATTCATCAAATTTTTATTTTTTCCAAAATATATAAAATCAAATACCTATTTTTTATTTTTATATTATACTTAAAAATTAATTTTATATTCAAAGCATCGCATCAACTCCTATTTAAACCCTAAACACACACCAAATATGTTAGGAATGTGCAATTTTTAAATATCACATTTTAAAATTAATTTTAGTTTAAAATTTTGAATTAAAACAACTGTTAGTATTTTTTTCAATTTAATTTGAAATTAATTTAAAATAAAATATTAATTTGATTTTTTTTTATACAACATAATAATATGATATTTTAAATTTATATAAAGAAGGTAATTTTTCTCTTTTCTTTTAAAACTTCATATTTTTTTTTATTTTTAACTTTTTAATAAAAATAACTATCAACAAAATACTAATTAATGGATTAAAATTTTTACTCCTTCACCTTCACATATAAGCATTCTAGATTTCAAGTGTTTCAATATTAATATCGACCTGTTAATACCTATAATAAATAATAATTTTATATTAAAAAATCGTATTTTCTATTATATTAAATAATTATTTTAATTTAAAATTTCACTATTTAAAATTCAAATTTCAAATTTAGGAAAAATTTTGAAAAATTTACACTATTCATCTAAAATTCTCTCCAAAAATATTAAACAATATTTTTATTTTTTATTTTTTGTATTAGGCTATAAATCAAATTTAATATAATAAAAAAAAATAGTAGAAACATTCCAAGATCTTCAAAATCTCCAAAATCATCACACTATTTGGATGAGATGGGGAGCATATTGCAATATTACAAAAATAAAATTCAAGTAATTGGATTTTGAAATTACACATACTCCCTCCGTCCTAGCCTATCTATCCATTTACTTTTTTACATAGATTTTAGTATATTAGTATTATAGTGATATGTGATACAATTGATATACATAAAGACTATTATACCCCTTAACATTTATGGTATTAAGTGGTGTTATTTGATGACATTTGTATAATATTATATAAATGGTGGGATAATTTTATATTTTAGTAAAAAGTACATATATAAAAAAGAAAATAGATACATTTGTCAATGAACTGACAAAATGGATAGATTGGACAGATGGGAGAGGGAGTATATATATTAATATAAATGACATATATTTTTATTGGGTTGGGCTTAAGAAAGAGCTATAAAATTGGGCCTTGGGCCCAACAAGTCAAAATCTTTTGTGGGCCCATGGCTGACGAGAAAACGACGTCGTTCCGCGCTGGGTGTTGAACAGCTGCGCATTAAATTGCCTCAAATTTCTGAAGAGGGAGAGGAGGACCCAACGAGGGTAAAATTACGAGTCCGATTCCTCTCGCGCTCTCTCTCTCGATCTCTCCTTTCCCTTCCATTCTCGCCTGGATCGAGCGATTTCCGGCGTTCGTCTCGATTTCTACTCGGCTTTCTTCGGCGCCTGTGTTTCCATGCAAGCCATTTCCTGGATTGAGAGGAAGAAGACAACAAAAAAACAAAACGTGATAGTTTGTTTTATCGATTTTTGTGTCGGCGGAATCTTTGTGGTGGTTTTAGCCTTTACTCGTTTTGATTTTCGTTGTTTTTTATTTGCCAGAGCCGATTCTTCCGTGAAGGTCTGGGGTTTTCTGGAGAAATGGCGTCGCAATCGATGTTCATGCATTGTGGTGATTCAGATTTTATTTTTCCGTTTTTTAGCTGTTCTTCTTTTTTTTTTTTTTTTTTCGGATCTTGTTTGCATTTATTGTAGTTTGGTTTTAATTGATTTGTGATTTTAACTGTTGCGTAACTTTAACGCTCTATGGGAAGTTTGGATTGGTTGAGTCAGATTATGGATATGGATGAAGAACTTCGATATTGTCGGTAAAGTGAAGAAGAAAACGTGACGATCCCGAAAATTCCACTTTCTAAAATTGTTATATATATATATGTATGTATAATTTAAATGGAATTTGGAACTGTATTGCTTCATAAAGTAAAGATGACGCACTTTTGGTATTGTTGGTAAAGTAAAGAAGAAATGAGATGATCCTGAAAAATAAGCTTTCTTTTAGTACTCATTTTTCTTTAGAGAAAAACAGAATTGGGAATTTGTAGCTGTATGCTTTATAAATTTGTTTTCGAATTTTGGTTGAACACTTGCAAGTGTAGACAGGGATGATAATGGCTGAATCTTGTTCTTTGGTAAGGTGAATGAAGCATGAGCTGGGGAATCTGTTGATTTGGCATTGCTAGCTGTAAAAGATACACACTGATTCTTCAAAATCAAGATTCGTTTTGTTAAGTCATCGATACTTCTATTTCGAGCATGTCGGGGTATAGCGATCACCGTGTTGAATGTGATATTTTGTAGTTTTTCCTTAATTGGAGTCTGCTTTTAGTATAACAAACTAAATCTGTAGCCGCCAATATAGTATGCTTGTCGTCGGTGCACGTGGAAAATAGAGTTTCACTTCTGTTGTTGACTCTGAAACAATCTTCTATGAATCTGATTCTAAATGTAAAGCATCTTCGACAAGCTTTCCAAAATAGGTGTTCAAAGAGGAATTGATATGTTGTGCTTCCGTAATTCTTAAAGTTGAAGCGCATAGTATATGATAAATGACTTTTGTGATACTTGTTGGAATATTTGGCTGTGGAATTTCTTGATTGTGCTAGGTTGAAAATTTGCAAGGTTTGGGGAAAAGTAAATTCAAATTTGTTCGATGAATCGTATAATTGTGATAACATTTGTCTTCTAGTGCTTAAATTCGTATTTAATAATTGATCTTTTCTTTCTTACCCTTCCCCTCTTTGGTTTCATGCAGGCTTAATTGATCGTGAATCCCATGGCGCCAACATATTGATTATGGTTCTTTGATCTTCATAGCAGACGAATCTTGTCACAATTTCGACTGAAACAGAAGAAATTCATCAAGTTTCTCTAATAGCCTCGACATTCGATCATTATGTGGAGATCTCTATCCATACCGTGCTTTAGATCAAAGAAGAATCTTGCTGATCTAGCTAGAGCCAGCCATGATTCCTCAGACGACGAAACCTCATCAAATGCAAGCGCCGAAGAAGCACTGGAATGCCCAATTTGCTGGGAGTCATTCAACATTGTCGAGAACATCCCTTATGTTTTATGGTGTGGCCACACATTGTGCAAGAATTGCATTCTCGGCTTGCAGCGGCCTACTCTGAAGCTTTCCTTTCAACATGTTCAGGTCCCGTTTTTCGTCTCTTGCCCTTGGTGCAATCTGTTGACATTTCGGCTGATCTACAAGGGAAACCTTAGACTCCCGAGCAAGAATTTCTTCCTTCTGTGGATGGTCGAGAGCAGAAATGGTGACAGAATGCAATCCGCGCCTCCCTACACCAGAGACCGTCATCAAATATGCTCGCCGCGGTGCACTTCAGTTTTGGGAAATAGCTCTTGTAACAACACCACCAACAGGAGGTTGCTTCAAGTTAATCATTCGAGCTCCGGACGTAGTCGCAACCGCCCTATCGACATCGCTTCCGAAAGAATCCAGATTTCCTTTCACAAGTCTCTGGATTATTTCATCCATTTGACAACGAAGCTACCGTTCGTCGTCCTACTTCTGATCGTCCTGTTTGCAATACCTATCAGTGCTGTCATCCTAGTGCTGTACCTTATAATGACGATTTTCATCGCACTCCCGGCGTTCTTGGTGCTATATTTTGCGTACCCGACGTTGGATTGGGTGGGACGAGAGATCAGAACTTGAGCCATTCAACGTCGGGTATATTTCTGCCGTGTCTTGCCGAACCGCTGTCCGGTTATGAGATGAGATGTCTTGTCTTATGGAATAAAACCTCTTTTATCTGAAGCCACCGAAGAGATTAGAAATTTCGAGGATGCTGCGATATTATGGTGATTATGTTTCGACGGCTGTTTGTGACGTACGATTTCTTTTCGCTCCTCAAGAATTTTCTATTGATGTGGTGATGATGATAATGTTTGCCTTCAAGGGAAGCTTAGACTGGGTTTTATTGCGTATTCGAACTTAAGGCGATGCTTTGATTCCTTCTTGGCCTTATCGTTTTTGGTCATTTTCTTCGAAGTTCTTATTTCTTGGCATATAGAGTTTCGATAGTTTGGCAAGGTGTACAATATCGACTTTAATATATTGATTATTCTCTCGTTACTCCGTGTTACAATATCTTTTTGTATTCTAGTTGTTCCTCAAGGTTTGCAGGTCGCTGTCGTTGGGCGCGCTTTGTTGCTGTTTCAAAGGATTATTTCGAGTATTCGAATTACAGACATAAACCAGGTATTTTTCTAGTTCTTATTCGCTATCGGACATTATTGATTCATTTTAAAAGAATATACCGGTCCCCGGAAGTTTCCCCGTTGCCCGGATTTTGTTCGCTTTTTTCTTCACTTTAATTTCGTCGCGTATTTGCTTCTCTTCAGCTTGCGCCCGAGCTCCTTCTGCAACGCCTTCGATTCCTTCGATGTCTCTATGGTAACTCTCCGCAGCTTTTGCTCTTTTCTTTTGCAATTCAGCCTAAAGTTTATAGTTTTCTTGATTGTCAGCATATGTTTTTTTAAGTATAAATTTTACCATGCTTAGATAGTTAATCGAAACGAACCTCGACCCTTTCCAACTTGCGTTTCGCCTTTTGCTTCTTGTTCGTCTCCCAGTTTTCGATCACGGCCATTAGTTTTTCATACCTGAAATCTTCGATCACATAGTGTGAAGATACAAAATCGAACACATTAGTAGAAAGAAGTCGCATTGTATACCGATCTCTAATGCTCGCCATCTCTTCCTTCTCCCAATCGTCACCGTAAATAATTGATGCCATCTTTGAAGGGTTAGCTTTGCTCGTCGTCGATCTTTTGTTATCGTAGTCCTTATAATTTGTTCCCGAATTTTCGTCGTTTTCGGTGTCGGGATTAGGAAAAATGATCGATTATGTTGGCATGATGTTACCTTATTGGAATGGTGTTTGAGTATGATTCAGCTCAGATTTCGAGTTGGGGAAGTTAATGTTAATGTGAGGAGGGTGGTGATAAGCAACCCAGCTGAAAATGAAAGGAATTTATTTGGTTGGGACTGAATAGGGCGAGGTTTGGAATCTCCTCATTGTCAAGGTTACTTTTGTTTCTCCTATAGGTATTTGGATTCGGATTCGAAATATGGATTTGGATTTTCGGGTTCGGGTTTGGATTCTATGCTGAATGTTTTCAGTGGGCTGGACTGGCCCTGGCCCAAACCAGTTTGATCCAGCTTATAGAAGAATATCGTGTAATAAACAACCAGCTAAAAAAATAAATTATTACATAATAACCTTTATACCAATAATAATTTTTACCGATCATATAAATCGTAAACCAAAATTAACTAATCTACAAACTAGTGACAAGATAAAAAGTGGATATAACAATTTGATTATAATATATTAATTAAGTAAAATAATTCTAATTTTACACTTACTCTACATATTAATTTAAATTAAATTTAATTTTTAATAATTCAATTTAATTCATGGTACACTTACGCACCCGTTTAAATATTTAATCTAACATGAATACACCCATTGTGAACTTTACTGCAAACGAATGAATATAAGAAGTCCAAAAATATGTTGGATTTATTTTTTGTTTTCTCTCAAGACATTTCTCTAAAATTATTAATTAATATATTATATATATTTATTACATAATTTTCTATATCATATACTAAACAAAAAGGTTTATTTCTTTTTAAAATTATTTTCACAAAACAATCAGACACCCGTTAAAATTCAAATATAATTTCGGAGCCCATTTTTTATTCTCAAATTTCAATTTCCACCCGCACAATTCATTCAATTAATCAAACAGATCGTCTGCAACTCCAAATGATGTTAAAACCCTAATCGAATCGAATGAGCAGTAGCAGCAGATGCCTGAAGCTGTTGAGCCAATGCAAGAACACAATCCAACTGAAGCAAGCTCACGCACTGACCATCACCTCCGGTCTCGGAACCAACCCCTTCGCTCTCAGCCGCCTCATCGCATTCTGCTCCCACCCCTTACATGGCAGCCTTCCCTACGCCCTCAAAATCTTCGCCCAAATCCAAACCCCAACTCTCTGCATCCACAACACTCTCATCAAATCCTTCCTCCTCAAACACCAATTCCCCGACGCCATCGAAACCTACAAATTAATCCTCACAAACGGCCTCTTCCCCGACAATTACACCTTTCCCTACGCCCTCAAAGCCTGCGCCGAAATCGACGAGGGCTTCAATCTGGGTAAATCAGTTCACTGCCATGCCCTCAAATTGGGATTAGGGTTTGACAATTTCGTCGGGAATGGATTAATTTCTCTCTACTCCAATTTTGGTGAAATGGCCGACGCCAATTCCGCTTTCGACGAGATTTCTTCTCCCTGTTTTATTTCTTCGACTGTCTTGATTTGGGGATTTGGTAAAATCGGCGATGTTTGGTCTGCTAGATTGGCTTTTGATCGAATTGAGGATAAGGATCGTGGAATTTGGGGTGCTATGATCTCTGTTTATGTTCAGAACAATTGTTTTAAAGAAGGGTTGGGATTATTTAGGGTTATGCAGATCGATGGGATTGTCCCTGATGAAGGATGTTTTGTATCTGTTCTTTCTGCTTGTGCACATTTAGGTTGTCTTGAAATCGGAAAATGGGTGCATAAATATATCAAGAAATTAGGGATTCGATCGAGTGTTAAATTGGGTAATGCGTTGATCAATATGTATTCGAAATGTGGCTGCATTTGTTATGCCAAGAAGGTGTTCGACGAAATGCCTGCACGAGATATTGTAACGTGGAACGCTATGATCGGCGGGCTTGCGACGAACGCCGCCGGAGAAAAGGCAGTCGCTTTATTTTCAACGATGGAGGAGTCGGGGGTCCGTCCCGATCGGTTGACGTTTCTATCGTTGCTCGCGGCGTGCGTTTATTCGGATATGGCGATCGAAGGGTTGAAACTGGTGGGGATTATGCGAAACGTGTACGGCGTCGAGCCCGGGATCGAGCATGTCGGATGTATTGTGGATTTGTTGAGCCGGGCGAGGCTCGTCGGGGAGGCGAACGATTTGATGTTTCGGAGGATGCTCGGGAGGTCGGTTCCTGCCGTCGAGGCCGCAGGTTGGAGGGCGTTGATGAGCGCATGTTGCGGCGACGGGGAGGTTTCGATGGCGGAGGCGGCGGCGGAGAGGGTCGTTGCGTTGGAACGGGATAGTGGGGCGTATGTGTTGCTTTCGAACGCGTATGCGGCGGCGGGGAGACACGGCGAGGCGCGGCGGGTTCGGAGGACAATGAGGCGGCGGGGAGTCGAGAAGAGGCCGGGGTGTAGTTCGACGGAGATCGACGGAGTTGTTCATGAGTTTGTTGCAGGGGAGAAGACGCATTGTAATATGGATCGAATTTGTGTGGTTTTGGAGGCCATCAAGAATCATTTGGAGTGTTTTGAAGATTCAAAATGTGTTTTAAGTACAAATTTATGCTCGGTTTAGATAGAGTTTTAGAGTTTTGAAAATTTTGAAAAAATTAAAAAATTAGTATTTAATTAAATGTTTGAAAAAAAATAAATCCATAAACATTATTGTCTACAATTAATTTGATAGAGAAATTGTATCAAAACTCTAAACACTGAAAATATAGAAAACCAAATGAAATTTTTTGAAATATCATATTTATTGGAAATATTGTGTTTTTGGTACGAGTTCTTATTATTTTGGTCATGTAATTGAATTTTGTATAAAAATAGTCTCATATTTTTTTTTGGCACAATTAGTCTGTTAACGTCGGAGATACGCATGTGACATTCGCGTGGCACGCCGAAACATACATATCTGTCAGGTAAGTGTCACATAACGGACATATGAAAATAAATTTATATTTTTAGTTTTTAAAAAATAAATTTTCATGTAGCATCTATCCAACGGAACATGTGTGTTGTGACTCATCTTCAATATTGGAGGACCAATTGTGCAAAAAGTAAACATAACACAATCGTTTTGGTTAATGTGCTAATTGTGTTAAATCAGTATGATCAACACATATTTATAAAAAATAATAATAATAATAAATATCTGACAATACATATTTTGATAGCACATACTAATATAATTTTATATAGTATAATATATTGTGATTTCAGTACAATAAACAGATTATATCAAACATCATAAAATATAACTTACACGATAAATATTAATACAATATATAACACATCTTTTGAAAGCACATTATATCATTTTATATAACACAATATATTGTAATTTCAGCACAATAAGTAAATTATGCAACATATAATTCACATAACATAACATATTATGAGTGTGTTTGTTTGAGGACTAGATTTTAAATCCACTGTTCATCCTATTTTTTTCCCAAAAATATAAAATCAAACACCTATTTTTTTATTTTTTAAATTATAATAAAAATCAATTTTACATTCAAAACATCATATCAACACCTATTTATATCACATCATACAACTATTCAAATTTGAGTGGATTCGATGTAATGAAAATTTTGTTTAACACACACGTACACATCCAATCTATTAGATGAAATAAATTCAAATTATATTTTAAAAAATATAGAGAGAATATAATCATAGTCTTGAATCTTGATTGATTGTTCATCTAAAGTAACATGTAACCAACTCATTAAATTTGGCCCTATCTTTTAAAGAAGAACATACCCAAAATTGATTAGACCCAAAACCCAAAAAAAATTGAATCTTCATTCACAAAAAATAGTTACACTAATGTGCTTATCTTTGGGGTTTGAATTTTTATTTTAATTTGAATAATAAAATTTTAAAACTTAATAATTATTTGATATGATATAAATAAAATTTAATATAATATTTTTAATATAGAATTATTTTTTGATATGATACAAAAGAATAAATACATTATTTGAGTTGATGTTTTGAAGGGTAAAAAAATTTATGAACAATAAAAATAAAATAAAATAAAATAAAATGAGCCAAACTAACACAACCTTTAACTTCATATTACTATATCTCCGTCCCGTCAACATTATTATAAAAACAGAAATTTAAAAGATATATAATTAATAAATAATTAAAAATATATTAATAAAAATAATATCATTATATAATAATAAAAGTAATTACAAATTAAAATTAAAATAACTAATAAATTTTTAAAAATTTAAAGTGAAATTAAAATATATAAATTTTTTTAAAAAAATAACAAAATAAATAAAACGAACAAAAATATAAAGATAGACACAATAAAAATGGGACGAGTACAATATTTTACTGAAAAATCATAATATAAAAAAATTAGGTTCTATTAATATATATATATATATATCAAAACAGACTAAAAAACACCAATACATCCTAGATATGATCAAATTTACAAAAATGAACTAAATAAATCAAATTAATTTACATTTTTTTCAATAATCTTAAATTATACACCAACACTGTACATAAACTGAATTAAGCTATTTCCAGGTCCATTTTGCTACTTCCACACCAAAAGCACAGCAAAAACAAGCCTGGAAATAGCAATCAAGTTCTTGCAGGCAGCTGCCGGACAAGACAGGCGCAGCCGCGTAGAAGCTGGAAAACAAACAAAAACCAAAACGCTGTCGTTTTGCCTACCGCCATGCCATTCTGAGTTCTGACTGCAACTCTCAATCCTGTGATCTTACAGAGAATCAAAAACACATCAAATTAGGGTTTCGTTTTCTTTTTTTTCTCTCTCACAGATTCATGTCTCCCAACATCAATTCAGAAAAAATTACCTGAAAATCTGGGGGAGAATTGGAAGGAATCGGCGCGAATTGATCGAGACCAATCGGAAAAATTAGGGTTTTGAATTGGGGATTTTTTTTTTTTAATTGTGAAGGGGATTGGGGCCGGAGGGAACTAATCTTTTCTCAACTCCATATCCGCGATTAATCTGATCACCGCCGTCGTGCGGCGGCGGAGGCGGCGGAAGGGGGGCGGAGACTGGGCGGCGGCGGCGGTCCACCTGAGACTGGGAATTAATGGACGGTGTAATGAGAAGGCAGAAGAGAAAAATTGTGGAGAAAATAACGAGGTTGGGGAAAGGAATTCGAAATCTCATTTTGAGGTGAGTCAGAAACTCTGAATCTCGTTTTGACGCTGGGGATATAGATACGGAAATATGTGTGTATATATATATATATATATAAGAATCTGTATGTGAAGAGAAATGTAGGATCAAACATGTAGTAGAGAGGTTGAAGAAGCAGTGCTTGCTTCAGGCGGTTGGGGTAATTTGAGATTGGTGCTCCAGGGACCAGAGCACCCGAATGCATGCATTAGGTTATTTATTTTTATTATTTTTTAATATACAATGAGTTTAATCGCATTGTATTTTTAAGTAGTGCAATTTTTTATGAATATTATAAATATATACTAATGTTAACATATTGTTTTGAACTAAAAAGAATATAAATTTTTTTTTTATAACAACAAATAAATAAATAAACATAAATTTGATCTAAAATTAATAATAAAAGAGACAAGAATGGAGGTGGGGGAAGGGAGTGGAGGTCCCGGGAGTTGATGAAGTGTGAGGGGGGAGGGGGTGAGGTGTCACTGTAGGTAAGAATAGACTTGCAACTAAAGATTGAGAGGAAATCAATTAATCCAAAATACACTTTCATTTGTTTTTCATGACTTGTCACTCATTTTGGCCCAAAAATAAAAAACTAAACAAATTTCTATTTTTAGGGAATTTTTTTTTATTTTTAATCTCAATTAAATCCAATAAATAAATAAATAGTTTATGAACTCAACTTGTTCGATTCATTTAAATTTATGAACATTTTATCTAAATTACATAAATACAAATTTTAATTCGTTTAAGTCTACAATAAAATAAAATTTTATTCACGAATGTTCATTTGAAATATAAATTAATATTTTTATATAAAAAAATATATTACACATTTATTTTCTACCCCAAAAAATAATAAGTTTATATGAATTTTTATTTTATTTAATCTTAATTTTTTAAAATAAAATAAAATAAAATTGTTTTATAAATAGTTAATCGAAACAAATAATTTTATCCTAAACAATAAGTCCATTTCAAACATGAAAAACTTAGCCCAGTCCATCTCAATCCATCCTTACTAATAAACCAATCATTTTCCCATTTAATCATATCTATGCAATTAATACAAAATTTAGGCCACCTTTACTTCTTTTTTTTTTTTTTTTTTTTTTTTTTAGTATTTTGTATTACATTTATTAAAATAAGAATAATTATTAAATATAATATTTTATAGTAAAAATAATGTACAATAAAAATATTTTCAAGCAAAAACATTTAATAATAAATACAATTAAAATAAGGTAAACTGATTTTTTAGTTCCATGTTTGGACTCATTTTAGTCTCATAAGTAGAGTATGTCGCAAACTAGTCCCATAAGTGAAAAATTTTCGCTGTTTTAGTCCTCCGGCGCTGGAGACGCCCGTGTGGCTAGCCAGAGGTGACGTGTCCGCCAGGTCAGCAACACCTAGCGGACACGTGGATTTTTTTTTATTTTTTATTTTATTTTTTTAAATTTTTTTAAAAACTTATTTTTAATTTTATTTGCATTTTTTTATTTTTTTATTTGGTGCAATTAAAAAAAAAAATTTAAATTAAAAAAATGAAAAAAAAAATATAAATCCACGTGTCCGCAAGGTGTCGCTAACCTGGCGGACATGTCACCTCCAGCGAGCCACGCGGGCGTATCCGGCGCCGGAGGACTAAAGCAGCGAAAATTTTTCACTTACGGGACTAGTTTGCAACATGCTCCACTTACGGGATTAAAATGATAAAGATGTCCAGTTACGGGATTAAAAAAACAATTTACCCATTAAAATATGTCCGAATTGCACATTTATTAAAATATTTTTTGCAAAAACATTACAACAAAAAACACAATTAAAATAAGTCTGGAATTGTATTATTTTCAATCCAAAAATACAGAATAAATAAATATATTAGGGACGATGGAAGTAGAGCCGGTAAACAAGTCGAGCGAGTTCGAATTGTTTGAACTCGACTCGAACTTGTAAGTTCCAATCAAAATTAATCAACATTCTAATCATTCCCCCTGAAAAATATGAGCATGTTTTTAGACAAAATAGAAGTGTATTTTTATATGTATTTGTGAGGATAGTTCTATGCAAACTTTTGTAAATGTTGTTAGTTTATTTGTATTATATTAATATAAATTATATATATATATACACTTGTTATTTGATTAAATGAGAAGTGTAGAAATATTACAACATGAATCGGTAGAAAACTCGGCTATTATTACAACAAATCGATACATAACATACGTTTTATTTCATTTACTTGGCCAACTGTTGTGCACGTCGAGTCGCCCCTTTCACTCGAGAATTCAACTCGTCGATGTCGCCGTGAAGATCATCCAGAGCTTGGTTTTGCCTGCACCATTAAAAAACATATATATATATATATATACATACACACACAATAATTGTGATAATAAATAACAAGAAAAAAATATATATATTTATAACTTATTTGTGATTTGAAAAGTCTACACAATTCTCCCAAGTGATTTAGAAATTGCACAAGACTCCATCTTATTATAAAAATAATGCATATAATACACTTCATACATTGAGACTCTTTCGTGTTTTCTAAAATATTGCACAAAAACCCCTAAAAGAAGAATTTTGTGCAGTATTTTTTAAAATACTAAAGAATTTCATGCAAATCTCTAAATCATGGTGGAGAATGATGTAAATTTTTCAATTTATATGTGAATTATAAACAATTTTGCAAAAAAAAAAAAAAAAAAAAATCGGGACTCTGTCGAGACTCCTTAAATTTTTTTTTCGAACTAAGCTTAGTAATTTGTTTAGAATGAGATCAAGGTAAAGAAAGGGACGAGTAACCTGTCGAGTTCGGTTCCCATTTCAACAGCCATGCCCCTGAGATCGCCTAATATATCGCCAAGGTCATCAAGTGCATCATCTTGTTTTGATTTCTCGAGCTAATTACGGACAAATGATAGTAAATAATCGAACGGATAGGTTATATTTATTACTTATGGATTATGTCGGGAAGTAAAACAAAAAAAAAAAATGTATACCTCGACTTTGTCCATAGCATTTGTTGGTTCTTGACGGCTGCCACGAGCTTTAGCCTTCTGTCCTGTTCCTAACTTTTCTTTTTGCTCCGCCGTGGCTGCCTTTTCCCTGTTGTTGTCATCTATTCATCGAAAAAAATCACGAGTTATTACATATATGTGTATATGTGTGTGCATATATAGCAATTTAATTTGGCGTAATTTGAAATGCTGAGCATGTGGAGTAATGGATCCATTGAGAAATAGTTACTAGGATTGATTTTCGGGCCGGTGATGGTCTTCGTCTTCTTTGGCTTCCATGGCATCGAAAACATGCCTCCGAGATTGTTCAACAATTTCTCACCCTGCAAGGGAAAAGATTTGAAACTATAATTTATGCATTCGACCGGAGATACTGAACATCAAAATCTATTCACTTAATTGATATTCAAATCCTATTCTTGAGCATAAAGGATCTTGAATTCAAAATCGATCGTTTGAGAAATAGTTATGTACGATGAACAACTAAATTTATTAATGAGCCTAAAAGATTCAAGACTCTAATTTATGCATTTTAGTGAACATAGAAAACTTATGCTTCATATGGCTCGGAAATGATGCATAGTCCTATTCTCGAGCCTAAAAGATCTTGAATTCAAAAATCGATCATTTGAGAAATATTGAATGTACTGTGAACAACTAAATTTATTTATGAGCCTAAAAAATACGATACTCTAATTTATGTATTTGATAATGAACATTAAAAAATTGTGCTTCATATGGTTCGGAAATGATTCATAGTTCACCATGAATCTATTCACTTAAAAGATCTTCAATCCTATTGTTAGGATCTTGAATTAAAAAATCGATCATTTGAGAAATATTTATGTACTATGAATAACTAAGTTTATTTATGAGCCTAAAAGATTCGATACTCTAATTCTATCCATTCGATAGTGAAAATAAAAATTTGTGCTTTGCATAGTTCACCATGAATGTAGTCACTTAACAGATCTTCAATCCTATTCTCGAGCCTAAAGGATCTTGAATTCAAAAATTGATCATTTGAAAAATATTGAATGTAATATGAAGAACTAAATTTATTTATAAGCCTAAAGTATTCGATACTCTAATTTATGCATTCAATAGTGAACAAAAAAAAAAAAAAGCTTATGTTTCATATAGTTCGGAATTGGATGCATACTTCACCATGAATCTATTCACTTAACAGATCTTCAATCCTATTGTAGGATCTTGATTTCAAAAATCGATAATTTGAGAAATATTTATGTACTATGAATAACTAAGTTTATTTATGAACCTAAATGATTCGATACTCTAATTTATCCATTATGTGAAAATAAAAATTTGTGTTTTGCATAGTTCACCATGAATGTAATCACTTAACAGATCTTCAATCCTATTCTCGAGCCTAAAGGATTAAAAAATCCATCATTTGAGAAATATTTATGTGCTATGAACAACTAAATCTAACAAGATGATAGATCAAATGAAGTATTGAACTTTAATATGTTAAGGCAAATAAACACGAATATAATGAAGCATGTGGTTTCTTCGATTTATATTACATTACCGTACTGAGATCCTTCTCCATATTTGCTGCCATTTCATGAGTTCGATGAATTTGCTCGCCCTGCTTATGCAAGGTTTCGAGCGTCTTGGTGGCATCCCCTCGGATATCCTCGGCAATCTTCAAGCAATTGTTCACCGATTTTGTAGTCTCTTCAGCCTGATCCACAGCATAGTTTTCTAGCTCCTGGACAGACATGCTGTCCAGATCTTTCTTGTTCTTGTTCCTCGACGCTGCAGAGGATGAGCCTTTCCCAAAATTGTCGTCGTCATCCTGTTTCTTAGCATCTGATTCAGCTTCTGAAGCAGTAGGGGCTGGAGGTGCTGATTTCCTAAACCCAAACATTTTTATTTTTTATTTTTCCTAATTGTACCTGTCACACATTGATCAAAAAGATTGTTTAGAATATATGAATATGCTTATCATCCATGAAAAACTGCAGCAGCACCCTTCATTGACGATAGAATTGGCTTCAATGGTTTGCATTTTCAGATACCAAGAACAGGAAGTGATCGAATAATCAGAACAACATGAATAAAATTATCTAAAAACAACACTACTGTAAGCATCAGCATGTTTTCAGAAATTTGAAAAGTTAATCCCCTGTTTTGCATAGACCATAACAATCTCATAATCCAAGGCATAGAATGCAATTTCCATTTGCAGAAAAATCCCTAACGGAACACAAACATTTGCAGAAAATCCAGAAAACAAAAATTCACAAACAAAGCTCATAAAATGATAAAAAAAATTCACAAACGAAGCTAAAAATATCCATAACTGAACAAAAAACTCATTATTCATTATATACTACGAAATTAATCGATCAAATGATTGAAAATAAATAAATAAATCAACAAAGCATTACCTAATCAACCGATTATTAGCAACAATGCCCGAAGCTCCCAGAAATGTAGGAAAGGAACACAAACGAACGCGGAAAATTCCTCTCCCACACGAAAAAAAAAAAAAGAAAGAGAAAAAAATTGCTTTACTGCACAACAGCTGATAGAAATTCTGGATATCATCGGCGTTTCCTTTTGTACTCTGACATCGCACCGAGAGGACGAGAGGCGCCACGGCTAACCCGGTGGAGCCATTTTCCTCCATTGCCAGGCTTTCCTATACTCCCGCGTTCCCACAATCACTTAACCATTTTCAGAATTGGGCTTTTCTATTTGAATCTTTAGGCCCAATTATGAGTTGGCCATGTTTTTAATAATAATAATAATAATATTTTATTGAAAAAAATATAAAATGTGTTTAATTTATTATTATTATTACTCTCTCTGTCCATGTAATATGAGTGTATTACTGTATACACGGGAATTTAGGTAAAGTATAATTAATAAGTAATTAAAAAGTATATTAGTAAAAATAATTATTATTTAGTAAAAATAATTATAGATTAAGATAAGTAAATAGTTTAATTAAAATTAAGAAAATTATAAAATTTAAAATTTAAAATGCGATTAAAGTGCATAATTATATTTCCAAAAATAGGAATGACAAGTTATATGGGACGGACGAAAATAGAAAATAGAGACAAATTATGTGGGACGGAGGGAGTATTTTTTAGATGACATAGGAACCCGCGCAGCCGCTACTCGAAAATGTGCACTGGATAGACCAAACCTAATACCCTGCAGACCAAGCCCGACCTAAAAGTCACATGACATGTGTTTAATTTATTATAAGATATAATATTTTTGGTTATAGTTTAAAATTTTAAGTTGATTTGAGCTTTTGTTTAAAAAAAATAATATCTTTTATGAAAAAAGGCACTAATAATATTAATTTAAGTTTAAATTTAGTAAAACAAATTCCTAAAGTTTGTTTATTTTGTATGAATTTTTACTTTTTTTAAAAAATAATTTAAATAATATTTTTATGTAATATTTTTTTTAATAGTATTATATCTTTATTAAATAAAAAACTATGTTGAATAGTAGAAATAATAGTTTAAAATACAAACCTCTCGTCCATCTCGGTTGTGTTCGTTCGGGGTTTGGATTTTGAGTTGAAATTTGAATAGTAAAATTTTGAATTAAAATAGTTGAATGATGTTGGATAATTTAAATGTAAAATTGATTTTTAGTATAATATTAAAAAATAAAAAATAAATATATGTTTTTGGAAAAAAAAAAACTTTGATAAATAATAGTAAGATTTTTTTTTGTAAAATCCAACAAACACACCCGAGTCATGTAAACATATATATATATTTATTTATTTATTTTGCAATTGATTAAATAATAATAATATTATTATTATTATAATAGCATTTTTCTGAACTTAAAATGTGTGAAAAAGGTTTACAAATTTGCTACCTGCACATGAGCTTCACTTGTATAAAGAGTTTATTTAAATATTAATATATTGAAATTTACATAAAAATTATTAATATCTTTATTTAAATATTAATATTATATTTATATTTATATAAAAATTATTAAGTATTTTGATATTAATTATATCATATGCCACTTTTACTATAACACATTCTCAATATTATTTTTACTGTTTATTTATTTAAAAATAATTATTTTCTTCGTCCCACATACCGTGTCTGTTACACTGTAGACACAGTATTTTAGGAGGGGTGTAATTAGTAGATAATTAAAAATATATTAGTGAAAATAATTATCCAATAATATAAATAATTATAAATTAAGATTAAGATAACTAATTAGTTTAATTAAAAATTTTTAAAAAATAAAATTAAAAAGTTTAAAATGAAATTAAAGTGTGTAATCATTTCAAAAAAGAAAACTAATATAGTATGTGGAACGGACAGAAATAACAACGTGAACATAGTATCTGGACAGAGGAAGAGGAAATATTTCATTTTTATTTAACACATTGCACTTCAACATCAACCTTGTAACAAACGAACACTTCCATATATTAATGCAAAAGGTGATTGAATCTCCACCGTTGATTCATTGTCGGCTGGAGAAAATCCACCGTCCGATTTAAAAACCGAAAGCCAAACCATGACCCAACTAATCTTTATCATTATTATCACAGTTACTTATATTATATTTAAAATTAAGTTATAGTCTTTAAATAATAATTTATGTAATAAATCGCATGAATCATGAAAGCCCACGTCACAATTAAAAATCAAAAATAAAATATTAGTTTAAATAAAAAATATTTATCGTGATTGTCCTTCATAATCATAACATGTTTAATTTTGCTCACGTGTCAAATATTGAGCACAGACTTAATTAAATGTACGGCATATTTAATTGTATTGTCCATCATCCGTCAAAATAAGGTGCAATATTTATTTTTAGCATGAGTTTTTAGGTGGGTAGTATTAAATATAATAATTTAGAAATTAGGTGATGTGATGGAGAGAGAAATATATATTTTATTTTTTTATTTGGATGATGTGAGGGGATAAAGTGTGGGGTAGAGATTACGTATAATTAATTATTTTCTATTTTGGAAATGTTGCAGGGTGTTTAGGACATATCAAAAAAATATTGCACGGTGTTTGGGACTGATGGAGTATATAATAATATATTATTTTGTTTAGATTTTACATTTTAATAAAAAATTATTAAATATATTAATAAAAATGGTAAAATTGCTTATTATTCCTATGTGATTTCGAAATTCAACCTAAAATCTCCCTATACTTGAAAAATTGCATGGTACCTCTTATACTTTCCTCAAGTGATAAAAAGATGATTTCCTATCTATATATTTTGCATGGCATGAGACTTCATACAATATTTTTGAAAGTATAAGGGAGCGTCATGCAATTTTGTAAAGTAAAGTGGGGATTTATGCTAAGTTTCGAAATCACTGTGTGGTTTCATACAATATTTTTTAAAGTATAAGGCGGTGTCATACAATTTTTAAACTAGAGAAAAAATTTACGCTGAATTTAGAGACCACAAGGGAGTTATGGACAATTTTGCCTAATAAAATTGAAAGCCCACAATATTTAATAACATGCACACAAATTATCCCATAATTAATTACCTATGTTTTAAATATTAATATTAATTAACTCCCACTTAGATACACTTTTTTTTTCATTAACTATGAAAAGTGAAAATTAAATAAAAGTTCTAAATTATAATAAATGTAGCATTTGATTATTCTATTAGCTCTGTTTTACTTTTGAGATTTTTATTTTTATTTTTATTTTTTAAAAAATACTACCTATATTATACAATTGTAGTCATTCTAATTATCGTACAAATTCTTAAATTAAATGATTATTTAAATTAAAATACAAAACCAATCGTATGTTGTTTTGAAAATAGTGAATATTATTTTGTTTTAATATATATTTTTAAATATTACAAATCAAGCTTTTATTTATGTATATACCTATATTGATTGTAGTAATGTTAATTAAAAGTAGAAAAAATTGTACTATATGAAATAGGGAGCCAAATTATTGAATGGTGTTGAATAAATTAATTTATATTTTATCTGTCTCAACTTAAAATATTATTTTTATTATTTTTGTTAGTTTTATTTAAAATTATTTATTTTTTTATTATAGTAAAAGTAGTCGCACAATAATGCTAATTTTTTTTTTTTACTATTTCTGTCTTTACTCAAAAGTATCTGTTTCGTTAAATACCTTTAATTTTTATAAAAAATTATGTTTGACTTGTGTTTGTGTTTGATTTTGTTCTTATATTCTAAGGGTGTGTTCTTTTACATAGCAAATTTATACTATTCATAAAAAAAAAAAAAAAAAATTAAAAATATCAAATTAATTTTTTTTATATTTTATATTATACTAAAAATTAATTTTACTATATATATCTCAAACTAAAATCCAAGCCCCGAAATAAATACATCATTTTCATTAAAGTAATGATTAAATATAATAATTTTTTAAAAATTAATAAATATTAAAAATTGATTAAAAAAATAATATCTTGTTTATGTTCAATTTCTGTTCTTGTAATAAAAATTTCTTTTAATAGGAGACAAGAACATCAATGGCAATTTCTCTACTACAACAGACAGACAACATTAGATCCTGACTATTCATTAATTTTAATCAATTAAAAATAATTTAATTTATTTAATTACTAACAGTTGAGAACAAATTCAGCAGCTGAATTTGAATATTCAGCACATCATAATTTGATACATATATATATTCAGTGAGGACAGTACGGACAACGAGAGGTTGAAGATGAACTCCAGAAGGTCCCGTCCCTGTCAGAAAAGGACGAAGGCACAGAAGCTAATAAGAAATGTGACTCAAGGGCGTTTTAGGAATTTCACGTGCCAACTATTGAAGAAGCTGTAGTTGTGGGGCCTAACGAGGGTATTATGGTAAATTCCGAGTTTATCCCGCGTGGTTTGTGCCTCGTTGTGTCTGTAGACTTCCCTTTCTAATTGTCTTGTCCTTTTCCAAAAATAATAATAATAATAAATAAATAAAAATATAATAAAAATAATAATAATAATGCCGCAAAATCCAATGACGATCGGGTACAGTATGCACTACGCGTATTTTCTTCCTGCCTTCCTTTTTGTTTTTCCCTCTTTTTCAGAAACCCTAATTTTTCTCTCTCCGCGTTTCCATGTCTTTTTCCGATTCCTTTTCTACAATAGTTTAGCAATCGAGTCATTATGGCAGGGAAGGAGACGGCGGATCTCGATTTCACCACCGCGGAGTCCACCGACCGCCGCGCCTCTGACGGCGGCGGGAATCACGCTCGCTTCTTCGCAGATGATTACAAGGAGAGTAGCGTGCTAGGGGAGTTCGGTTGGAGTATGCCGCCGGAATCAGCCGGCGGTGTGTACGGTTGCGAAGGCGGTTTGTTCGATTTTGACAGGATCGAGTCCGATTTGGGGGGAGGCCTTGCCGATGATTACTTCTCGGCCGATTTATCGCCTCGTAGGGGATGCTGCGCGGTTATCGGTGGTGATAAGGAGGGGGAAGTAGCGGAGGCTTCGGCGTCGAATCCGTGTAGGTCTTCGAGCTCATCCGCCGCGGATCTGACGGAGAAACCGGCAGCCTCCGGTGCTTCATCCGCCGACGCCGCGGCGAATCCGGCGACGGATACAGCGTGAGTACTGTTGTAGGAATTGTAGCTAGTGTAACTCTGCATGCATGTGCACTGATTGCTTTCATGATTTCTCGATTCCCGAGGAGCTCCGATTGCGATCAAAAAATGCATTCATTAGTCGGTTTTCATTTTTGTGCAGAAAGTTGCGGAAGTAACCGCAGAGAAAACTGCTTCTCTTCCATCGTCCGTACAATTTTTAAGTCTCTAGAAGCATCGTTTCGTGCACGCAATTTTGGGGGTGGGATGGGCAGGGGATGGGATGGGGCATGTTCGGTATTATGAGAAAGGTTAGGGGCTTTTAGGATATTTACCTCATGAAATAAAGTAGGGAGCTTAACGTACAAAGCACAGCCGCTATTGCGGCGGCAATGGCGTGCTATAATTCTTCTTTCGTGTGAATTCTTTTCTCTCGAAAGAATCTCACATTTTTTTTTTTCTTTCCTTTTTTCGATTCATGCATGTCTTCATTAGTATAAAAGCTATCATTGTGATTTTCAAGTATATACTATATATCGTCAAATTAGAAATAAATTAGAAAATATATATAATGTAGTCTGTAAATATGTTTGGTTCAAAAAGTTGCATGGAAAGAATCTAGCACATAGACTTAGCACCTGAATAGGAATTTGGTAATTATACACCTACACTACACACACGTTTCTCATAGAGAGGGTTTTCTTGTCTCCTGCATATTTAGGATATTAATTGAGGGATGTATCTGTTGTTTCAATACTACTATTTGGTATCATAATTAACAAAAGAAGCGAGTATAATATTTGAAATTTTGAATGTTGGATTTGAAGCAAATCGAAATTGAAATTTTGGTTTGAATTTTTCAGATTTAATCAAATTGAAAATATCTTATTTTTTTTGGAATTTTGAATTGGTATATTAAAAATATGAACAAATTTGAAACCCCAAATATATTATAATAAAAATGCCATATGCTTGTTTTGTGAGTTCTTATTTGGGGTTTTAGGTATTTAATGCCCTTTTCATCCGCTATTAAAATTTCCATTTTTTATTTTAATCCGTCAAAATTAAAAAAAAATTAGTTTTTTATAAAAAAATTTTCAACTAAATACCAAAATACTTATATAATGATATTATATTACTTTATTATACTACGTATCTTAAAATACTAATTTACCTTAATTTGCATGCAAAAGTCAAACGGAAAGTTTACCACGGGACTAAGGGACTATTTGTTTGGAAGTGTTTATATATTAGATAATCTTGTTATGCATATTTATTTTTTTATTTCTTTGACATTATTTTGTTTATAAATTGAATTAATTTGTTATAAAAAAAATCAAACCTTCGGAATTTTGGTTATATTATGTGCACTTTTGAATTTTCTGTTTGGTTCGGATGTTTTTAATACAGATTTAGGATTTTTGGATCTCGGACATTTGGGTTAGGCTCCAATAAGTTTTCTTTACGAAAAATTGAATTTACCAAATTCGAACTAGATATCCGAATATTCACCCCTAGTTAATAGTGAGAAATTGTTCCAATAGTATCATATTCCTCATAAAGTATATATCCAGCTATATATATATATACTGTGGTTGTGTATATTAAAGCTTAATTATATTCCTCATTACAGATTTTCCATTAATGATGTCAAAAGGTATTTATTGGCAACCTTTTCTTCAGTTCTAAATTCTGAATTATATTGTATATATATATTGATTGCAATAATAGAAATGTGTAACGTGTGATGACATAATCTTAATTTGTTAATATTTGGGCAGGATTGAGACTAAAAAGAAGGTGCAAAAGCGGATTCGACAGCCGCGGTTTGCGTTTGTCACCAAGAGTGAAGTTGATCATCTCGAGGATGGCTATCGCTGGAGGAAGTATGGACAGAAAGCAGTAAAGAACAGCCCATTTCCAAGGTGCATTTATATTATTGAAAGAATTATTTCTTCTGCAATTATAATGGCTAAACCAATATATGATCATCCCACCATTTCCTCCACAAATCTCTATTTGTAGAATCACATAGATCCATTAGAGAAGTAGTATATAATTAGTATATTGAATACTTTTTGGATTCAAGATTGTGTTCATGGTTAGCCTAAAAGTAGGATGCGTTGGTTTGGAGTTTGAATTTTGAGTTTTGAAAAATAAAAATTTCAATTTGAATAGTCGTTTGACGTGGTATTAAGAGTTGATGTTATGTTACCTTTTTGTGTAGAAACTCTTTTTGCCTTTATGTTTTAATTTAATATTTTCTTAATCTATTTCTAAAAGTTATATTTTTTTTTTGTGTTATTGTGTTAATATTAGAAATATTCTTATATTTGTATTGCTTTTTTTTTTTTTGTACAAATGTCATTCTATCAGTATTATAAGATACTGATATAAGTATTTTTGTTATTTTTCTTTGATTTGTACTCCATTTCGCAAAAAAATAAAAGTAGCTGGCAGGAGGTAGTATAATAATATTGATGTTAATGAATACTATATTCGTCCGGCTCTAAGGATCTCATTTACTTTTTACGTGTTGATCTTTGAATATTAGTTATTATTATATCAAAACATAGTCCAAATTAAGAAAAAATTATAAAAATACTTATATTGATGTCTTGTAATAATAATAGAAAGACATTTGTACAAAAATTTATACAAATTTTAATGTGAAATATAATGACACAAAATATAAATGTAACCCTTAGAGGCGGATGGGGGAAATATATGTTTAATGGTATTTATAATAAAGACACGCATATATATGTCATTTTTGTATTTTTTTTTTTTTCTTTTGAAGGAGCTATTACCGGTGTACAAACGGTAAATGCATGGTGAAAAAACGTGTGGAGAGATCATCGGAGGACTCATCACTTGTGATCACAACATACGAAGGCCAACATTCTCACCACTCAGTCGGGTTCCATAGAGGGGATCTCTTAACTTCAAGGCTTCCATTTAATCAAGAAAACACTATGCACATTGCACAATGTTTTCAACCCCATATCCAACCCAAAGGCGAAGAGTTTCATTCCTCGACGCCGGCAGTGAGTTTGCCGCCACTTGTTGGCGGCAATGGCGGATGCCTTGGGGATATCGTGTCACGCAAGATGCCTTTGGGATGAGGTATGTATGAAATTCTCTTGCTATGTTCTTCATTATAATTTGCAACTATTATGATCCAAGCCTCAACTTGTTTGTCACTTTGTGGTTTTGGTATAGTCCTTTGCTTTTATTTTATTCTATTTTATTTTATTTTCTTTATCTAATTTTTATGTGTTTTCTTTTGTGTTATTTAACAAAATATATGTTATTTAAAAAATACATGTGCTGTTTATACTTGTAGATGAATAATGTTAATATATATATATATTTTTTTTGTTGAAAGCAATTTTCCTTTGGGTGAAGGATTTTCTTGATGAGTTTGCCTTATTGGCTTTGGATTTCAGTTTAGATTTGTTGAAAATAATATAATTAAGTTAGATAAATATATATATATATATTTATATTAAAGTATTCATTATATAATTTTCGGGTTTTGTTTAGTTATATTTAATATTTTTAGCTATAACTTGGTTATAAATAATGTAAACATATAGGTGTGCTGACCATCAAACTAGTTTTCATGCTACAGGTCGTTATTATGATGATGCATTAAGTCATTTTCGGGATGTACTATCCTATCAACTAGTATGATTTGCCATCAGACCCAAGATCATGAGGTAATTAATTAATTAATTTAGTACAATCTGTAAATTCCAAATTACTTGTCCTGAAAATTCGATATGCTATTTTTATTTTGTTTTATTATAGTATTTTATTCTATTTTTATACGAAAAGTATACTATGTGATAGATATCTAATACACAGCTTTTATTTAAAATAAAAAATTTAATACAGATAAAGAACCATTTCAGGGTTAGGGGTAAATCCATGATCATGACTCACTCACCTCTTGACCTGTAATGGTTATCATAATTTTGATATTTTCCTTTATTATTGTATTTTTTAAAAAATAGTTTTGTTTTATAAATTTTATTTGGAAGAATGAGAAAATTATAAAACTTTTAAAATACTTCAAATGAAAATTAAATTTTTTCTTTTTTTTTTTTTGAACGGGATGGGAAATAACAACAATAATTTATTAGATAATTGACGAATATAAATATGTTGGCAGGAGTAACTGTCATGTCATGCGTTCTGACAGTAGTGTAATATTCTTCTGTGATGAAAGATTTTGTTTTGTGACCTTTTTGGGTTCTGTGAATTCTGGAAATTTGCCCCTTTAATAAGTCAATACGCAGTCTTCTCACTTGTCCCATCCTTTCTGTTCTTTTTCATCTCAGCATAGAAATAAATATATTATTTAATTTAAACTACTTTTAAATATCGAAACACTTGACTTTTCTTCCCTACATAATTTATTTATTATTTATATTTTTGTCTGTTTTATATTACCTTCGTCCCGATAAAATATACATTTATTTTTAATATAGTGTTCAAAAAATAATATTATATTAATTATAGTGGGTAATTAAAAGTAGTGTAATGATATTTTTGTTCTTATTTTTTGATATAAAAGTAATAATGTGATGTAAAGTAAGGGTATTTGTGAAAAAAATTAAAGTATTTAATGAAATATTTATTTTGTAATTGGACGTTCCAAAATAGAAATGCGTATACTTTCTAATTGGACGGAGAGAGTATAATTTATTTATATATTTTTTGTTTTTACATATTTCACATAATTTATTTTTTTTGTCGGTCTCATATATATATATTAATATAATTATACAATTTAATTATATTTTATAATTATTTTTATTAAATCATAATTATTTTTATTAATATATTTTTTAATTACTTATTAAAATTTTATGTTTAACTAAGATGGACAGATTAGCTGAAACAAAAGTGTTATATTTTTAAGCTTTTTTTACTGTATTTATTTATAGTAATTTTTTTAAACAAAAACATATTATATTAAATATTAATATTAGTTAAAGTATTGTATGTAATAGTAACAATTTTGCATATATAAAACATCTAAAACAATTTTTTTTTTTAAAAAAAAAAAAGTAAATAATAAACAAATCACAGGCAAATCATTTGATTTCGGTCCAAACAAAAATACACCACCACACGTGTATGTATATGCAAACACATTCTAAAATATTTTGAAAAGGTACTTCACGTTCTTGTTGTTTAGTTTAACTATATTTATAATTCTAAAATATCAAATCTATTTTTGAAAATTTTAATTCGATACATAAATTAAAATTTTAAAATATTATATCAATTATTTATTTTTTATTTAAAATTCAAAATTATGTTTATACAAATATTACATCATATTTTTTTTTATATTATATCAAATATTTTTTATTCATTTTATTTATAAATATTTTCAAATCTTTCCTCTAATTCATGTTATTTCTTTTTGGTTTATTCTTCTGGAAATATATATATATATATATATCTATATACTTTTCTCTTTAAAACCCAATTCAAAATGCAAATGTGTGTTTATTTTAAAAATATATACTTGAAAATAAATTTGATATAATTATGATTATATAAGAAAAGATCATCAAAATAGATCTAAGTACAATATATATACATATTAATTTATACGAGTACATAAAGTCATGCATGCTATTTAATTATTATATCATTAATATATTATAAATGCAAAAGTTCCTCGAAGTTATAGAATCTTCACTCCTACACCCCAAATTAAACATTAGTACATATAAAAGCATTCTAGAACACTATATTTTATATTAAATAAAAAGAATATTTATATATAATATTTTTTTTTAAATTATAAGAACACTCAATAAACTTATTCTTACATAAAATTAGAATTCGATGAAATTATTTTGATAGCCTAACCCAAAAACATGGAAATAGAGCTAAGTTATTCCTTATTTAAATTGACCAATCAACATTTATATTTGCAAATTACAATACAAATATTAGCCAATCAATTAAAGTAAATATAATTAAAACATAACGACCACTCAATCATTCCCAAAAATGGGTTAAAAAAACTAACTCAAAATATTTTTCTATGTGATATGAAAGAAACCCCTAACAAAAAAACTATTTTCTTATGATCTCTCAACTGAATCGAAACTTTTTAGGTTCAAAAATCTCACCATCTTCTTGAATTTCAAAGTCAAGAATAGAATTTTGTTCAACAAAAATCAAAAGTATACTTACCAAATCCAACCCTCTATTTCTGTCTCACTCCTTCTCGATCTCTCTCTCACTCCTCCTCGGGAGCTGGGAGATTGAGATCGAGCAAATCGGGGGCGTCGGGTTTGCCTCGCAAACTCCGATTATTCCTCTCGGCATTGGCGCCGACGAAATGCGATCTCTTGTGACCCCCAAGCGCTTGTCCGTTCTTGAAAGTTCGATTGCAAAACGGGCAAACGTGCGCTTTTCCGTTCTTCGACTTGCTCGACGGAGCCTTGCCCGTCGGGTCGCTAACCTTCCCGTTATTTGCGGCTTGGTATTCGGCGGACTCGTCTAAACTATTCTCGTCGCTTTCGTCGTAGAACGCATTCGCCTTTTTATGGCACGGGCGATGCCCGCCTAGAGCTTGATACGACTTGAACGTTTTCTTGCAGTTAAAGCACTCGTATCGGGTCTTTTTTACTGGGTTGGGCTCGGGCCGGTTCTTGGAAACGTACTTCCTCTTTCTCGACTCGATCCCTGCAAAGATTGACGTCATATCATCCTCGTCGTAGTAATAACCTTTCTCTTTCCCGGAGGGAGCTCGAAAACTTGTGATCAGTTTTAAATTGATCGGCTTCTTGCATTTATCGAACGACACGTCCGACTCGTCCTCTTTCGAACATTCTTCCAAGAAATACGCAGAATCGGAGTCCTCCGTCCGCTCGATTTTCAGCGTCGTCGGAGGATTCTCGTCGGGAAGGGTGGAAGATGATTTTGTCTCGACGACGACGGAATTGTTGTCGGAAGACTCAGTGAGCAAGTTAACTCGGGTGAACTTGTTCCCGTTGTTGCTATCCATCGACAACATCATCAAGCACATCGCGACGTCCTCTTGATCCTGCTCGTCGACCTCAGAAACCACCGACGACGATCCATTCAACGGCGACGACTCGTCGATGACCTTCTTGCACCGTTGACTCCTCCTCGTCGCCACCCTCTCCTCCTCGGCCTCACTCTCCGAACAGCTCTCCGTAACCGCCCTCAGATTCTCGCCCGTCCATAACTGATCGTCCTTCGACGAACCGGCTCCCCTGTCCCGCTCGGTGTGGCTAGCCATGTGTCCGCAAAGCGCCTTCATCGAATGGAACGCCTTCCCGCATTGCTTACACGATCGTTCGTCGTTTGAATCGGCTGCCGCCCTCCACGACCTCCGCGGATTCTCCCGCAATCCGTACCCGGCCAGCTCAGCTAGCTTCCCCTGCTTCGCCACGGCGCCGCCGGAGCCGAAATTCAACTCCGAACCAGTAGCTGCATTTCCATTAACATTGGCATTGCCATTAACAGACACTACATGAGACCTCATATGGCCTCCCAATGACTTCCCGCAAGGATACTTCTTATTGCACAGCTTGCAAACAAATCTAAGCTCATCTTCATCCATCACTTAGAACACACACAGCAAACGAATCACAGATTTCGCTTCGAAATCTAATCTAACCTAATCGAATCTAATCTGAACTCATCCAATCAATCGATCAATCGAGAAAAACCTAAAGCGAATTCTACGATCCATCGATCGAACACATCAACATCAACATCAACATCAACATCGTCTCAATCACATAAAAATCAACTGCGAAAATCAAACCGATGTTTCAATACCTGTAATTGGAATCGGAAAATCAGAATCGTAATCGATCGAGCTGTGGATGTGGTTGCGGATGCGAGAGCTGCACGCGGAAGGATGGATGAGAAAAATGGGGGAAAACGAAAGGGGGAAGCAAAACTCACAGCCCTAACAAGTAGGTGAGTTACTTTTTTTGAGATTTTTGTTTCCAATTTGGAACGAATCAAATATTTTGAACGATTGAATCGGTTGCGGACCTCCTAGAGCTTGGTGAGATGCGAAATTTTCCGAAACTGATAACTTCTGACTCTTTCTTCCTTCCCCTGTAATTTCTCCCACATTTTCTCTCTCTCTTTCTCTCACTCACTCACTCTCTCACTCTATATATATATATGTATGTATCTATAGTCGGATGAGAATTCCATGCATGGTTGGGTAGAGATCACGAGTGCTTCCATGGAATCAACAGTGGGTCGCTACAGAAGATCCATTCTCTCTGTCAATGTCGAAAGGGCAGAATGATATATATATATATATATATATTATTTTATTATTATTATTATTTTAAATTTCAGGAAAATGAGGATCGCTTTTGGGTGTTCGATTAATACTTAAGTTTTATTTTAAATGATTTGCTTTTTCCAATGCTATGCTAATAATGATAATAATAATAATAATATAATGATAATAATTATTATTATTCTAATAATAATAATGAAATATTTTTACTATTTTGAATTACGATAATACTATTTATGATATTTTCCTCAAATTATGCTATAATTTAAAAAGCAAATAGTATATATATAATAAAGTCAATTTACTCTTTTAAATTACATGAATTTTATTTATGATTCTTTTCTCAAATTATTATAATTTTAAAAATATATATAATTACATATTTGCTACTTCTTTTCATGTAAAAATATTATTGATTTTGTTCACCTTGCTTAGAATTTTCATAAATTTGCAAAAATACAATATAGACATATCATACAATATATAAATAATATATTTATATTATTCACTCACAAAAATCAACAATTCAATATAAAATATTATTTTTTATATTACCGACTCATTTTATATAATTAATATAAAAAAAAGATGAATCCAATAACACAAATGAACATACTTTATACTTCTAATTACAATTCATCCTAAGACCAAAATATAAACACAAAAATAAATGTAATGTATTAGTGTTTTATTCTTATACTACAATTCTTTAAAAATATTATTACAAAAATACAATATATATAATATATGATATATATAGCACTAAAAAAACATAAAAAAAATAAAATACTATCATTCTATATAAAACTCATATCACTTATGGTGCGTTTCGTTAGACGGTTGAGTTTTTAAGTTGAAATTTGGGTCGAAAGTTTGTTTAATTAATATTTGATTTAGGATCATTATATATAGCATTGAAAAAACTAAAGGGTAAATTATATAACATTCTCTTGCATTTTAGTAAAAATGCACAAAACACTTTATGTTTTATTTATTGCGTGAAATCCCATTGTGTTAATGTAAAATTTGCACAAAACATCCTCATTGTTCAAAACTGATATTCGGTTCTAAATAAAACCTAAATTATGCAAGTTTTATAAAGATAGAAAATATAAAATATCTTAAATAATTTTTTTGAATAAAATAAATAAATAAATAATTGATCAATAATTTATTTTTACAATTTTTGTAAAAATATAAAATGAAGAATTATTTATTTATTTATTTATTTTATTCAAAAAAATTTATTTAACATATTTTACAATTTTTTATTTATATAAAATTTGTGTAATTTAGGTCTTTATTTAGAACCAAACATCAATTTTGGACAAGGAGGGTGTTTGATGCAAATTTTACGTTAACACATGGGAGTTTATACAATAAATAAAATACATGTATTTTGTGCATTTTTACTAATATACAAGGGAGTGTTATATAATTTACCCAAAACTGAAATATGTTTTTAATTATTTTAACGATTGAATTTTAATAAAATATATACAATACATATTATTTTGTAAAAAATAAAATTTCATAGTATAATACAAATAAAAAAAATATATATATAAATATTTATTTTATAATTAAAATAAATAAATAAAGAGTTTGTTTATGAAAAAAAAAAAGAGATAAAAATAGAAAATTTTGAATAAATTTTAAGCGAACTTCATAATATATAGCACTCCATCCGTCCCTACAAAGATTATCCCTCCGTTTCATACAAAAGTTACCATTTACTTTTTACACATAAATTTTTTAGTATTAATATTATATTATATTATAGTGAAAAAAAGACAAAAATACCCCTATTAGTATTGTTATATATAAAAGTAATAACATTTGTATAATATAATATAAGTTGGAAGAATATTTAAGTTAAGTAAATAGTACTATTACTAAATTAGAAAATAGTAACTTTGTTTTGTAACCGACAGAAATAAAAAATAATAACTTTTCAATGAGACGGAGAGAGTATTTAAAAAGAAAAAATTGAAAGGATAATGCTCACCATGGAACTATAACCAAACAGACCTTACTTTTTATATAAAACATCATAAAAAAACTATTACTCCCTCCGTCCCGCAAGAAAGTTGTCATTTGATTTTTGCGTCATTATATACTTAACATTAAAAATATCCTTATATTTGAATAATTTACTCAACAAATATCATTGTATCATTATATTTGTATTATAAGAGACTAATAAATGTATTTTGCCTTTTTCTCTTGATTTCTATTATATGTTAATATAATATTTAATATCTAAAGATGAACACACAAAAAGTTATGACAACCTTATTGAGGCACAGAGAGAGTATAAATATTTACTGTTAATATAAAATATCATTATGTATAAATACTTACAATTTTTATCATGAATACGACCATAATAGAGTTTGTAGTTAGATTTAAGATTTTTTTTTTTTTTAAAAAAGAAATACTTATGGACTACTCTTTTTGATCACCATTACCACCTTTTTCCACTATATATGGATATATTTGGTTATGGGCCAGCAGTTTGTTCGGCCCAATTAAAAGTTACCTTCAAATTTAGATTTCGAAGAATTCGTTTCGTCAGTCTCCTCCGGCGTTTCGAAGCATTGGTAGCTGCGATTCCTGGTAACTCAGCTTGTGATTTTCTGTTTTTTTTTTTTTTGGTTCAAATTGATCTTTTTTTTTTTGGCGATTAATTGTTTTCGATTGAATCCTCGATGCTGCGCTAAAATCGAGAGAAATTATATATGAAAGTGTTTGTTGTCGCGGCGATTGGGAATTGGGGGAAATAGTTTGTTCTGGGTATGGAATCTCTAGGTACTGTCTGAGTTAATAGGAACGCCATAGTTGCTATGTGTAGACTGGAGTTGCGAGGTAATTTCGCAGTTTAATTGGCAGCGTAGAGTCTAGAAGAGTTGAATTAGGGCAAAGGCATGGTGGAACTGGAAAGCACTTCTTGTTGCAGGGAAAGTAATTTTTTAGGTTAGTGATTAACTGAGATATATTTTGCTGAATTGAAGGATTAGGACCTGCTTTGGAACATTAAAGTAGAATGACCTCGAAGTTGTTTCGAAAATTATGAATAACGAGTATAATTCAAAGGGTGGGGTGAAATTTACACTACTTTTGCAATGTAATTCTTGCGCTCATTGGTTTTTGATGCTATACATATGAAGTAATTAACTATGGAAGAGTTTAGAGCTAATAAATTGTTCTCTAGGGCTAGTTGATCGAGGTTGATCATCACATTGTAATCGTATATACAATACATGATTGTTGTAGAAACTTTGATAGATGTTTTATAAGACTTTTGAAATTTTGAAAGTTTGACAAAATAAAAAGTTCGTATTTGATTTGATGTTTTGTCTGAGAGAAAAAATGTATTTTATGTGAAATAATTCAAAATAAGTGAAAATTGATTATGTCAACGGTGCTATTTGTATCATTAGCATTAGCATGTGTAGTAAGTTATATACTCCTTCCGTCCTGAATCAAAAAAACCTTTTATGGTTTTGTAGTAGATTATGAAATAATAGTATTTTACTAGTTAATGAAAGCGTATAAGAGTTTTTGATATTTTTGCCATTTGACTATGTATAAAATAATTGTATATGTAATCGTATGTTTGTAATTTAAGTAAAAATTAAGAGTATTTTGTTATTAGTGTATGATTACTTTTCTAAATTAAAAAATGAATACTTTGAAGTGAGACAGAAAAAAATGATAAAATGGTACTTTGAATTGTGACGGATGAAGTATTATATATTATTATATTGTGTTATGTGCTGAAATCAAATGTGGCATGTGTTCTATGGATTATTGGTGTTGTGACTTCTTTGTATTATATTAACATAAATTATGCGTTTTTGGTTGTGCTAACACACACACATATATATATATATATGCTGAAATTATCACGTGGATTATTGTCATGTGTTGCATTTGTATTATATTAACAAAAACTATATGTTGTATGTCTATTTGTTATGTGCTGTTGTATATATTTGATGTGTTGTCGGTAGGATGATGAATGATATACCTAATTTCCGCCATTGTTCTCCAGGGTAAGAAATACATTGGAAACTTTGAAAATCATCGAATTTCTTGCAGATGGCTTTGGTTGTTATATGTGGCCAACCGTGTAGTGGGAAATCAACGGCTGCAGCCGTGCTTGCCGAAGCGCTTCAAGAAGTAGAATCTAAGCCGTCAGTCAGGATCATCGATGAGTCTTCCTTTCACCTCAGTCGCAACCAACGCTACGCCGATATGCCGGCAGAAAAAAATCTCAGAGGAGTACTCAGATCCGAAGTCGATAGGTCGTTGTCCAAAGAGAATATCATCATAGTCGATTCTTTAAACAGCATAAAGGGTTACAGATACGAGTTATGGTGTTTAGCGCGGTCAGCAGGAACTCGATACTGCGTGCTGCATTGCGACGTCGAAGATTCTATTTCCCGGAAATGGAACAAAGAACGTGGCGAGCGATCCGAGCCCTCTTACGAGGATAAAATCTTCGAAGATCTAGTTCGGAGATTCGAAAGGCCCAACAGAAAAAACCGTTGGGATTCACCGTTGTTCGAGTTACGGCCGTCCAGCGACAGAATCGAAAAGTCATCTGCTGCTGTAGTCGACGCAGTTACGTATCTCACAAAAAAGGTCGACTCCAAAACAAGGGACGTCAGAGTTTTACAGCCGACTATTGCCACACAAAATGCTCGGGTATCAGAGGCAAACTCTCTCTATGAAATCGACAGAGCTACGCTCGAAGTAATGAATATTATCATAGAAGCACAGTCCCGTGCCATGGGAGGTCCCGTTAATGGTGTTTCCCTCGGTCCCAGGTTACCGGGCGTCGTTTTATCAAGACCTGTTGGTCTACCCGAGCTGCGGAAACTTAGACGAACTTTTATCAAATTGACCGGGCAATCGAGCCTGAGTGGTCCGCCGCCGCCTTCGGATGCGGATAGCGCGAAGAGGATGTTTGTCGACTACTTGAATCGAGAGTTACAGAACAGTTGAAACAGTTGAGAGAATTTCGTCATTATTTTGCTGCCCAAACAAGAGGTGAAAATATTTATGCCGAAGAGATGCTCTTTGGTAAGTTAGAGAGTGAAGAAAGGTAAGGCTTGTGGCGACATTCTTAGGCTGCTGCGGTATGTTTCTTATTTGTGTCTTGATTTGTATTGTTAACATATGTTTTTCTGGTAAATGCTTAATTATATTTAAATTCAAATGTTACGATGAATTAACTGAAGCCAAATTTAAAGATGTTATTGATATATAGTAATAGTAAATTTTCAACTTTTTTGTTGGGCCTAACTATATTTTGATTGGTAGGGTTTAGGTTATGCCTGAAATTGAGCCATTTTGGCTATTAAGTTCGACCGTGCGCACTGGGCCGACAAACAAGTCATGTTTGGCAGACTACTAATCTCCTTTTATTATACAGATTACACATAGATAAAGCACACAATACAATAAAATAAAATAATAAATCTTTAATTTAATATAATACAAGTACACACAATATACATTATAATTCATTTCAATAAGGATTGGCGAATGTATGATCTAGGAAATAATATCTATCTATCATACCTCATTGGCATCCAAAGCACTTGTGCACACTTGGGATGGGATTTTACCAAAAGACGACCCCGACGAATTTTAGTATCGTCCATGAATGATGTCTTTTTTGGGATTAGAGAATTATGGGTCCAATTCATGAGGTCCCATTGCCTTCCTCAACTTTGTGATCTTGTCGATAACTGCCTCAACAGCTACGTCGAAAGCATCTTCGAACATTTTTAGATATATACATATCATCAACAGGGAAATAAATTGTAAGCATAGGAAGTTACCTTCTAGCTGTTACAAGTCTGAGTAGTGCTGATCTGAAGAAAACCTCTTTTTTATATTTCTTCAGCATTTGAAGACACAGCTTCAGATACTGTAAAACTAAGCCCAAGATAGCTGCCGTAAATTATGTCACATTCAGGCTCCGAGCAATAATGACGGATAATAATATACTTTGCCTCCCCGAATCTTCATCTTCAGACCTGAGGAATGTACACTAAGGATTGATTACTAATTCGATATTACTTGACAATAGACGTGGTTGAACTTGATTCAATAGGACTATGGGAGTTCCGAATGGATCTTGTACTTCATGTTTTGTGGAGCATTATAGGGATGAATTCTGTCCTAATTAGAGTTGCTCGTCTTTCAATTCCAAGTTCTGTATGGCATATAAATGCTCGGTTAATCATATCATTATTTGAAATAAATCAAAAGGGCATTTCTTATTAAGAAAACTTACTAACTTCATTCATCCTTGTCAGATTGAGGATTAAATAGCATGTCCCTCCGGACCTCTGTGCCCATTCGAATATTGAATTTTCTTGCCAAGGAGTCCACTTGGTCGTCAGATTTGTAGTCCATTTCACGAATGCATCGCCTCCGTACCTTTTTTAGAATTTCCTTCGATGGTTCATAGCCAGCACCTATCTGCATTGACAAAAATAATCTTGATGCCAGCTTGAAACAAGATTCGAACCAAAAGATAAATGAAACAAATGAAAGCATATGCATTCCACAAGGGTCTTAACTTACCATGCTGTTAATTGTTGCAAGAGCAGCCTTCAGATCATGAACAATGAGATGCGCATCAATAAGCTGAGAGTATGTAATGATATTCGGTTTCACACCCAGTGCGACAAATTGATCAAACACTTTTACAGCGTCATCCGTCTGCCATATAAGAAAGTCTTCTATGAGAAGTTCGACAAATTTCTAAGTAATACTTCAAATGTCATCCCCAATTGAGTGTTGCTCAGAAGTCGGATCAGTAAAAATGGTTAAAAAGAAGAATCTAGCGGCTATAACCCTATATGAAAATGGATATGCATGTTATAACAAATTAACAATTGAAAAAGATATTGGCCGTTACACCAGACATTATATATTTATGTAATTATGCATATTGTTAAGAACACAAGTACTTGATGGCTAGTGGGAAAGCACTTAAAAACTGAATTGCTTAGCAAAAGAAAACCGACATATTTGAATTCAACAAAGAATTGTCACGTAACTCATTAAACACAAAATGAAACCGGTGGAGTTTCATATAGTTGTAGGGAAGTACGTACAGAAGAAAGACCACTGGATGCACAGCCAAGTTACCTTTTTGAGCTTCCCAAAGGCGCATATAAGGGCATTGTATGAATCGATGTTCGGGGTCAATCCAAAGGTGGCATCAATAGAATTAAAAATACGGTAAGCGCGATCAGCATCCCACATATTTGCACAACCAAGAATTATACAATTTACAGCAGCAATGGACTTGATATGAGGATGAGCATGATATAAACCCTCAAACACCTGACCAAACAATTCAAAGAGTCACATAAATAACAGCTTGTGTATAGTTTCAGACAGTAATATAACATACCCAAATTCAGGAGAATAGTTGACACATTATAAGCAATTTTGTTTAAAAATTGAGATTCGATTGTCAACCTTAGAAACACAGAACATGAAATGTACTTTCACATAATGATCAAGCAAGATATATATTCATTTCCTTCGAAACAGCTAACAGAAAAAAGACACAGAATAAGGCTTTAGGTGCCAATTTTTTCCGCAAACTTTTGGAAATTCATTTAGCAATAGCAACAAATTTCCGAACAACTTACTGCATCCAAGGTCGTGAAACCTTTCTTAGTGCATGCTATGACCAGAGGATTTAAGGAATAAAAAGGAGAGAAAAGACCCTCCACATCTTCTCGCTCGGAGTTTCCATACACTGCCTCGAATTCATGCAAAGTACTAAAAGCCTTAAGTATGTTCCCCATGTTAGCATGAGCATATATTTTCCCGAGATACGATTCAGGAGCAGGAGCCTTATGTTGTCGCAACGAGCACTTGAGGACCGCCCATGAACAATCCAGGAGTTTAGAATTGTACATTCGACCAGCAGTTGCAAGCGCAGATACAACCAACCCTTCATCCATAGAAGGAAGAGCTGGCCTAGTGGTTTCACCTCCAGCCATCCATTTGGCCATGAATTCGAAAGCACAATAAGCTAACTCACTCTTATCTGATTGCATTGCAACATCGGCAATATAAGTGCACACATGCCAAGGGGGCTGGAAAGGTTTGCTCTTATGCATTTTCTGGTAAGATCCATAAAATTACAGTCATCAGAATATGCGCTGGCTGTACGGAGGGTAATTGACCATCACACCAATGAGTACCTTGAATCGGTCCATAATTGATAGCAAGGCGTCTAGCCTTCCATTATTAACACAACTTCGTACGCAGACAATGAATGCATTTGTGGACAACATATATCCAGATTTCATGGACAGATCAATGTAGTTCACGGCAGAATCAATCCGGTTATCTGAAAAGAGTAAGCTAACAATCAACTTGTACGATTCCTCATCCGGTGAAGCTTCCTTATAATCTTTCCCAATCTGAATCATCCTGATGACAATAAAATGTAAACCAAATGCATAAATAAAACATCACACATCAGCTAGTAAGGGATTCCCTGAAACCAGAGCAAGAACCTAGTAAATTCTATTAAGTAAGTGATTGTGTTTTCAGTATGAACTCATGGAACACAAACAACATATAATCTGTACGTATCTAACACCCCAAGAAGCAATTAGAGGTACAGGAATTGTTCAATCCACAATCGCCCCATGGAAGATGTCTACTGTGCCAATCACAAATCGAAGCATAGAGTTTCACATAGTCTAGTGCCATTTAAATCCTGCTACAGTTCAGTGTTGAAAATCAATGCACATTTAAAAAGAAACATATAATAAGAAATGTTTTCAAAGATGCCGAATGTACAGCATAAGATTTGCATGATCAAAACAATGCTTAAAAATGCCCCTAATAATCCGACCTTTCAATCAATTTCTCGGCGGCCGCCGTTTCACCGGCCTGGTGCATAGCCCTGAGCACAAGGTTAAACGACGCCGTATTTGGAGACACACCAAAACCATCCATCTGCGCCACAAAATCAAGCAATTCGCTCGAAGACGCCCCCACCAAGAAATTCGCCTGCAAATAATAATTGTACACCTTCACATCAGGCTTATTCGGCTTTCCATTTGCATCCGTTCCACGAATCCAGAACTCAAACAGCTGCTTCACATCCGCCCACCGCTGTTCCGCCATCCAACCGGCGAATCGGTCCGTCAAACCCTTCGCGTCAAGTGTTCGCGCCATCAGTCGCATTCGTTCCGTCGGAATTAGGCGGAGAAACCCCAGACTGACAGGTATTTGGGCCACATTTTCGACGGGAGTCGCCGCAGCCATAGGTCTGCGCCAGTTTGCTTCGTATGTAGTGCTCAGCGACTGATGCCTCCGCCGAACATGAGGCTCTTCCGGCGGCGCTCCTCGGCGGTGGTGAACGAATGTAGAGACGGACTGAAATCCGCTCCGCCTAACGCAACATCGCAACCTCGCGAACAACAAAATTGCAGCCAATTCCATGGCGGGGAAATTAGGGGTTTAGGGTTTAGCGATTGGGAAAGTTCGGGGGAAACGAGAAAAGCCGGGAGCGGCGGCCGGCGGGATTGCTTCTAAATGAAATTTTGCAGACAGTATGGGCATTTTAGTAATCTCACGAGTGCAAAAGTGTAAATTTCCCATTCACGGCCACGTGTGTTTTCGCTGCAGCTTTTATTGGCCCAAATTTTATGGATGAGAATGCAGTGCTGTCTATTTTTATTTTATTTTATTACTACCGTGTCAACTTTTTTTTACTATAATTATTTTTATTAATATATATTTAATTATTTTTAAAATTGTTGTGTTTACAATAAATTAGATAAGTAGAGGATTACTCTTTCGGTTTCACTTATCCTGTTTATTTTTTAATTTTTGTTTGTCTTTTTATTTTGTCACTTTTATTTTTTAAAAAAAAAATTATACTTTTTAATAAAAAAATTTAATTTATAATTTTTATAATTTTAATTACACTAAGTTATTTTAATTTTAATTTAAAATTATTTTTATTATACGAGAATTATTTCAATTAATATATTTTTATACTCCTAAATTTTTGTGTCTACAATAAAAAAGACAATGTACTCTGAACAGATATAGTATTTTTTTTAATATTACTTCCTCCTCCTTTTTTTGTGTACGTATACATATTTTTATTTTTATTTATTCAATATTTTTAAAAAAAAATTACTTTTTTTATAAATATTTATACTTTATCATTATATTATTACTTTTATATTAAAAGGTAATGGCATAATTATTTTTATATAATTTTTAACTTTATATTGTAATTAAAATATTATTATTATTTTTTAAATTTCGCTAAAATAAATTTATGAAATATTTTTTTGCTGGACGGAATAAATACATAGCAATATCATTTTAAAATCTAAAATGATTAATAAAAGTTATACTACTATTCAATTTTATTTTTATTTTACAATAAAAGATAAAATGTAATAAATCATGGACGCCTATATTAAAATTGGTGTCGAAAAGTGAATGGTGAAAGTATAAAAAATATGTTTGGAAACTTTATACTCTATAAATTGTATTTTTACTATTTTTTTTTCCAAATAATTTTTTCATGTTATTTTAAATACAAAAATTTATGTAAAATATAATTAATAATTAAAAAATATCAGTACAAATAATTATAAATTAAAATTAATATAATTAAATAATTTAATTAAAATTTAAAAATTATAAATTATAAAATTTAAAATATAATAAATATATAATCATATTTTCAAAAAATATATATTATGTAAAACAAATCGAAATATTTATTATTTATTATGTAAAAATCAATTTTACATTTAAAATATCATATCAAAAGATATTTATATCACATCATACAATTATTTAAATTCAAAAGTTTTACTATTCAAATCTCAACTCAAAATTCAAACCTCAAACACAGCTTTTATAAAAATTAATTTATAATTCAAAATATTACAAATACATATTTATATAGAATTAAATATTAATTCAACTGAATTTTTTATTAATTCCAAATTCCAAATTTAAACTTAAAAGTTGTAAATTTCGATTGGGACTGTATCCTGAGACTTATCATTATCATTTTGACTGTAAGAAATTTTTAGCCAAAGATAATCATGAGGCATATCACAGTCATCAACCTCAACCCACCTGTGATGAACAGCTAAAGTTTTGATTAATCATCTACTTATCTTTTAGTCCTCCGTCCCACGTAGCGTGTCTATAGACACAATATTTTAGAAGAAATATAATTAATAGATAATTAAGATTATATTAGTAAAAATAATTATCCTATAATATAAATAATTATAAATTAAGATTAAGATAACTAATTAATTTAATTAAAATTAAAAAAAATTAAAAAGTTTAAAATGAGATTAAAATGTATAATCATTTTCCAAAAAAAAAAGTGACATGGTATGTGGGACGGACAGAAACGGCAACGTGAACATAGTACGTGGGACGAAGAAAGTAATAATTAAAGGGGTGTTTGTTTGAAATATTTTAATTTTGTGTTTGAATATTTAAATAGTTGTTTTATTATAGTAAAAATAACCACATATTAACATTAAATTATTTTTTATTTTTATATAAATAACAATATACTATCATATATATATTTATAAAATAAAACAAATATATACTCCCTCTGTTCCATTAGAAGGGTGACGTTTGTTTTTTGTATGTAGATTTTTGAATATTAGTATTATATTAAATTGTAGTAAAAAAGATAAATAATACTGTAATATAAAAATAATGACATTTATATAGGATGTGTTCGTTTGAGGGTTTGGATTTTGAGTTGAGATTTGAATAGTAAAAAATTTGAATTTGAATAGTTGTATGGTGTGATATAAATAGGTATTAATGTGATGTTTTGAATGTAAAATTGATTTTTAGTATAATATAAAAAATGAAAAATATGTGTTTGATTTGATGTTTTTTTTAGGGATAAAAATTGGATCAATAGTGTAAATCCAATCCCCAAAACAAACACACCCGTAATATATTGTAAGTTGAAAGGGTATTTATTTTGTTAAGTAGGTAGTACAATTACTAAATTAGAAAATAGTAACCTTATTTTGAGACGGACAAAAATGAAAAATGATAAGCTTTCAAATGAGATGGAGGGAATATATGATTTAGTTGTGTAAGTAAAAAAATTAGTGTTAAAATATGAATGTATCAATAAAAATAATCACAATATAATAAAAAAATAAAATAAATTGTTAGTACGATACAAATTAAAAGAAAATTTTAAATTATAAATTTAAAATATGATTAAATTATAAAATAATTTCGAAAAAAGGAAATTGAGATATGATAAAACAAAAGTAAAAAATTTAACATGATATGTGAGTCAAAGTGAGTATTATTTCTTAAATTTACTAAAAAATAAAACATAATTAACTCTCTATTAAATACTCCCTCCGTAAGAATAATAGTATTTTAATTATAGTGGATAGGTAAAAATAGCAAAATGATATTTTTAACCTTACTTTTTTACCAAAAAGTAATGATGTGATGTAAAGTAAAGTAAATGTATTTGTGAAAAAAATGGGAGATTTAATGAAATGGTTACACGTCTCAAAATAAAAATATATATACTTTCTAGCTGGACGGAGGGAGTATATATTGCGTAATTAGTAAGTAACTAATAAGTATATTAGTAAAAATAATTATATTTTAATAAAAATAATTATAAATTAATTTAATTAAATAATTAAATTAAAATTATAAATTATAAATTATAAATTTTAAAATATAATTAAAATATATAATTATATTTAAAAAAATAACAAATTATATAATACTTTAAAAAAAAATAAATTAAATGGGACAAAAAAAAGTATAATTTTCTTTTTATTACATTAGTTAATTCTTATGTATAAATAAATAAGAAGGGCAGAATGCCTAGGATACCTGGGTCAGAACTGTACGGTAGGGTGTCTGAATCATCACCATTGAGTCCATGTTATGCTCTACTATTCTCACTCCCCAATACAATACTAATTAATGGCGAGCAAAAAGGCCGAGGCCAAGCCCCCACAAAATTCAGACACGTACACACACCACCCCCCGACAAAATCCCTTTTCTCTCACAACAATTTCATTCTCCCATAAACACTTTTTAGCCACTAATATCCATACAATTCACAGACATCTTCATGTGTCTGCATGTATTGTATTGTCCTCCCTCTCTCTCTCTCTCTCTCTCTCTAACCCCATCTCTCTATCTATACATCTTTTTCTACATCTATATCTCTCTCTCTCTCTATATATATATACACACCTGGCAGTGCCACCGTCCCACTCCCATTTTCATCAGACTCCCCCTAGCTTCTCCATCCTCTCTCTAGAACCCTCCATCCTCTCTCTAGAACTATCTCTCTCTCTCTCTCCCACAACAACTGAATATCCCTCTTCTTCCTTTCCTTCTTGCAAAGACATATCCTAAGATCTGTAATCCATCATGGGTATTTCTATGGTGTGTATGACACTGCTGTTCTACACCTGGATCAGCTCTACAGGTAAATCAAAATCAAAATCAAAATCCTTATATTAATAAAAACAATCTTTCCCTTTTTGTCAAATTTTCCCACAAAGGGCTTCTTCTTCTTCTTCATGAGTTTCTTGCACTTATTCATCAGATGCAAACTTCTGTGTGTGCAACAATGGGCTAAGCGACAGTGTTCTTCAGAAGAACATAGACTATGCTTGTGGGCATGGAGCAGATTGCTCTGCCATCCAGCCTAATGCAGTGTGTTACAATCCCAACACTGTCAAGGACCATTGCAGCTATGCTGTCAACAGTTATTACCAGAAAAAGGCCCAGGCTCCCGGCAGCTGTGACTTCCAGGGCACTGCCACTGTCTCCCCAAATCCCCCTAGTATGTATCTCTCTCTCTCCTCTCTCTCTCTCTCTCTCTCTAAACAAGTTATTGACACATGTTTTTGGGTCTTCTTTTTTTTGTTTTTTCGGTTACCTGCAGGTGCTGGCTCTGGATGTACGTTTCAGTCTACTCCCAGGTGATTCTTGGGGTTCCTTTTCTGTTTTTCTTTTAGAACTTTAAGGTAGTAATAGAAGATGAAAATGGAGGTGATGTTGTTGTCTTTACGAAGGTATTCAAGATTTGAAGCTAAGATAGTAGGAATCAGACAAACTTAAGAGGAATCGAAACAAGTCCTAGCCTAATAGAGTTGTGTTAGATTTTGGGAGAAATTCTGAGTATTAATAATGCATTAGGGCCTCCTTATAAGAATGGCACAAAAGTTAAATATGTCTAAATAATAAGTTTATCTACTACTTGAAATGGGGCATGGATCAGCTGTTTGATCCGGATCAAGTCAACATGGTGCTATTTGACCACATTTATTACACATATAATGCACGGTGACCAACTATATCTATACATGTTTCAGCATATTTATAATAAACCATAAATTATATTATAACTCAGTATATGCTATTTTATAACATACCATATACTGCTGAGATATTTATTACACCCTTATAGCATATGTTGAGATATATATAAACATATACTGGCCACCCTTGTAGAATATGTTGACCCGATCAAATTAGTACTAGTACTATGCTGACTTGGCCGGATCGACACATGATCTGCAAGCCTTCAAATGACTATGTCTATTATCTTAGTGTAGGGTCCGATCTTGTTGTCCTAAAGTTTTTTGTGTAATTGCCCCTTCATCGGGATGGTTATAGTTGATATACATATAAAACAGACAACATATAATCCCCTGTAGTATTTGTTGACCCAATCAAATTAGTACTATACTGAGTTGGCCGGATCAACACAGGATTTACAGCCCTTCAAATGACTATGTCTATCATCTAAGGGTGTGTTTGTTTGGGGATTGGATTTTAAATATATTATTCATCCCATTTTTTTCCCCAAAAAATATCAAATCAAACACCTATTTTTTATTTTTTATATTATACTAAAAATTAATTTTACATTCAAAACATCACATCAACACCTGTTTATATCACATCATACAACTATTCAAATTTAAAATTTTTACTATTTAAATCCCAACTTAAAATCCAAACCCCCAAACAAACACACCCTTAGTGTAGGGTCCGATTTTGTTGTCCTAAAGTTTTTTGTGTAATTGCCCCTTCATCGGGAAGGTTAAAGTTGATACACATAAAACAGACAACATATAATTGTAGGTATGTTTTATGAACATATTTATTGTGCTAAAATCAATAATTGTAGGTCTGTCCTTACATCATGTGTTGTCTGCCTTGATATCGTGTACTGTCAGCACTGTATCAAATTTTATAATATTCAACACAGTAACAGCCACCCCCTCCATTGATACACTCAACCATCAAAATGTATTAGGTCGAAAGTTCCGGTAATAAACAAGGAAATCGATCAAGATTGATCGATGTTCATGGCATTATAGGCCTATTAGTTATGAACTATTGTGTCTTTGATCATTGTGAATTATCTCTCTCTTTATACTTAATTCAAAAACATTGAACAGTGCTGGAGGCACCACAACTCCTCCAAGCACCGGGGGCACAATCACCCCCCCTACCAGTGGGGGCACTACACCGATGACACCAAGCACCGGTGGTGCAGTTGCACCGCCTACAAGTGGAGGAACCACGCCGACTACTCCAAACACTGGTGGGATGCTTGCACCACCCACCAGCCCGAGCACCGGAGGAACTTCAACCACTCCAACTACAGGCGGCACAACCTCGCCAACAACCAGCCCGACTTTCGGTGGATCCTCCACCCCAGGTGTCTTTCCGGGCACTAGTACAGGTATTCCAACGAGCAGTCCATTTGGGGGCACAGACAGCAGTGCTAGTGTGAAACTGTGCACTAGCAGTGCCACCGTGGCTCTTGCAGGTCTGTCTATACCTCTCATACTTTATGAGTTGATCCATCCTAGAATGTAAGAGTGGACTTTCTGGAGGGATAACTAGATTTGGTGCTAGAAATGAGAGGATTCATCACATGATTTAGTAATTCATCTTTGATATAATTCACCCTTGGTTTTGGGGCCATATAATTTTGTTCTTTTGGGGGACAAGATTCGGTTATTAGGGTCCCTTTTGCTATGTGCATTTAGATGTTATATGTGAAGGGGGTGAGTGTTACACTTTTATGCTGTAATGCTTATTACAGGTATTGTTATTAATTCCATTACTTATTTGTCTGTTTAAGTTTTCGAGCATTCACTGTCATGAAGTTAAAAAACAAACAAAGAAAGCCCTTGGGGATCTTTCTTTACTAGTGTAGTTTCTTTGAGAATTATACAACAATTTGCAGTACTTTAAAGGATCCTAATGTTCTTCCGAATTGCTATTCGAATCCTAAGTGGTTGCTGAGCTTACAAACCAAACAATTCTGATTCAATATAGCGACTAATGATATACTTTCTCTGAAGACAAATTTGACAGGTCCTTGACATTTGTACTAATTTAGAATGGTTATATAGATCAAGTATTTGAAATCTTGACCCTCCACATCAAGACAAAGATGGATGGTCAAGAATCAGGATCTAACTAAAATGGGGTATAGGTTTAATTAAAGCCGACAACCAAACAGTTACTGGACAAACTTAATGGTCAAAACAATAAACAAGAGTTTCTTAGCTCTCCATTAAAGTTCATATTGTTTATATTTGCGTTCAACTCAGTCAAATAAATCCTCCTAGAGATAGCACTAATATTCTTAGGTAGGGAATTCCAAATCAGAAATGGGTCAGTGCAAGAGGCACAGCATATCAGCTTTGTTAGGAATGCAATAAAATACCAAAGGGATCATCAAGCATTTGTTGCTAAGGATTACCTGGTTGGCAAAACTGTTGTTCTTGGCGACATGGCCAGGCACATCTGCCTCGGCACACATCTTGATTGTGCAATCACAAACATGTCGGTTGCTGTCACCATTGCCTTCTTTGTTTCCTGAGTTTGGAGAGAGCACACCTGAAAAGCCAAAGTTTTGGTTTATTTAGCACGTGTACAATGCAGCTGCTCTGTTAAGCAATCCAATTTATAGGTGTCAATTTAGAACTCCATTAGATATCGACGGATGCAGGATAATGGAGCAAGATGGGTTCAATAGCAGATTATGGAGAACATAAGAGTTTACAGGTATTTAGGAAGCATACCTACATTAGCTGACGGTAACTTTCTTCGCGGGAATTCGCTTCTCACTCTTTTCATCAGCATACACCTGGCTACAAATGATCAGTTTCACACATTGACCACTTGGTGTTCCACACATGAGTGTGTATACTGGATTCTTCGACTTTTCACTATCATTCTTTGATCTGGATCTCATTCTCAACTTCACCTTCTTGTATGGACGCATCTTGGATCTGCCCAGATCATCCATGTAGACCTCCTTGGCAAACTGGAAAGGCAGAGGCTAGGCTTTCTTGGCAGGACTGGGTGTGGCTTTGGTAATGGTCTCCAGTTTATGGGAGGTCAAGCTGCTGTGGTTATGCTGCAGAAGATGCTGTTCACGTGTGTCAGCTTGAAGATGAAAAATCTTCCAATATCTGAACAAAAATATAGGTTAATAATGCATAATCATTTGATAAGAATATACTACAAGCTCTTCCACTAGTAAGCACAATTTAGGGCGTTGTCCTGTTTGGACAGTGTAGTAGATCCTCAAGTAAACCAAAACCGCTCCTTGTAACTATGCTAATGGTTTGCTAGGCAGCACAAAGAAATTGGAAAGAGCCCGTCTAAATCAATGAAAGAAAAAAAAGAAGAAGAAGAACCAAACAATAATAAATGAAGATCCAGATATATTAAGAACATTGAGCTGTGGATTGTACAAATTTATCTTGCAGCGAGGATGAGCAGAATGCCAAGCAACCACATTAGTACACCACTTAAATATGAAATAAAACTTCATACCTCTTCAAACTGAGGATAATTCTTCAGGAAGTCGGTTTCTTTGGTTTTAGAAGATAAATATAAGTTACAATAAAATCATTTAATTAAGGATCACTAAGAGAGGTCAGAAACAATAACTGGGCTCCGTGTATGCTAGTCAAGCTTTTCATCTGTAAACCAATATGCTTTCCATGCAATAGAAGGTGACGAGAGCCGTTCTGTCCTCCACCCTGATGACTGAAGCTGCCAGGCAAAGTAAAGAAAAAAGATATAAATGAACAAAAAAAAAAAAAAAGAAAAGAAAAAGAAGATGAATTAAAGAAGGGTGTGTTTGTTTGGGAGTTTGGATTTTGAGTTGGGATTTGAATAGTAAAAATTTTGAATTTGAATAGTTGTATGATGTGATATAAATAGGTGATGATGTGATGTTTTGAATGTAAAATTGATTTTTAGTATAATATAAAAAATGAAAAATAGGTGTTTGATTTGATATTTTTGGGGGGAAACTTTTGGATGAATAGTGGAATTTTATCCAAATCCATCAAACGAACACACCCGAAGAAGTTGAGGCTCTAATATTGGAGGGCAGCAGGAAAGCTGTACACAAAGCTGATACTGAATAAGTATTACATGAGAAGATACAAATAAAGTCATTCATCATCTCCCAAAACACAAATCATCAAAAGATGGAAGACTTGAGGATGGTTATGCCAAAAGATGTGCAATATTAGCTACTCCAGAGATAAACTTCAAAAAAACGATATGGGTGGGGGAAGTGGTACTCGCTCTCCAATGCATAAGGCTAATTTAACCTAATAAATTGTAGTGTTATATGAAAACACAATACTTACAGTCCTTGACTTTAGAAAGAACAATCTTTGTCTCATGCTTTTCATGTTTTTCGGATTACTTCTCTCATAACAAAGAGTTTATATTTCAAGACATAGTAAATTCTATTACTGCATGGAAATCAAAAGGTTCTTAAACAAATGGCAGTGTAGTATAAGATTCATCTTATAGTTTTTCCAACAAAAATCTACAAGACCAGAAATTGTTTTTAGCCCTGCTTCTTGAGTATCATCTGGCTAGCACAAGTATATTGCTCTGAGTATACCCTTTCAACCGCCATATTGTGAAACAAGGCACAATTTGTGAATCTTAATTTGTGAAAAAAAAAAGGTACAATTAGTGAAAAGTACCTTGAGAACGAATGTGTCATAATTTGTTGCCATCCATGACTGACTCTGAAGATGCAGAGAAGTATCTTTATTATCATCAAATTTTGCAAAAGTAAGGGCATGAATGTAAGCCTGCAAGATATCTCTAGATGTGGAATCTTTATGGATGATAACGATGACTGAACTCTTTCTTTGCAGCAAGAGATACTTTCCTGGCACATTGAAACATGTCAATGAGACATCATTCTTGAATTGAAATTTAATTCATAGAAGGGTATAAATGAGCTTACCTTTGTTGTAATAAGAGGTGGCAAGAGATGTAAGCTCCATCCTATTTTCCATGAAAAGGAAGAACACTGATCAATCAATTTTACACTTGCTTAAGGAAAAAAAAAAAAATTACGTATGTGATTAAGATTATGTTAATAAGGATGAGGAATAAGTTAAGAAATCTTGAAAAACAAGTTATACAAGACAGTTGTCAACATGTTATGAACAAGCAGAAACCTTACACTTGGTTATTATCAAGTGAAGAAATCCGGGCACCTAAGAATATTCTATGGTGCAAATATCCATCACTATTTCTTGCCCATAAACTCATCCACTGAGGTAGAACATGCTCCATCCCAGAGACCAGTTTGGGAGAAAGAACTGGAAAACCACGAAGCAAAATCTGGGATCAGTTGTTCGAATGCACATAAAGAAGTGCAGTGATGAAATACCAACAACTTGGTTTCATAGACAAATACAAATATAAATAGCAAACAATTTCAACGTGTCTTTGCAATTCTCTCGATGATGAGTGAACAGAAAAAGGAACAATAAAACACTACATCATACTAACATGTGTAATAGTTCCTAGCATCAAAATAGCAAGTAAGAAACATGAAAACTGTCAAAAAGTAGCTCAGAGTCAATGTCACACCTTGACCAGTCTCCATATAGTGTGTCAATAGAATTGAGCTTCTTTCGAAATTTAATGTATTTAGTGAAAGGCAACAAACAGCCTTGTAATTAGCTGCAAGAAACCCAAGAGATAGCACATGAAATGCAAAACTAAAAGGATAAACTTGGATGAACTCGGAGTAATGTTTTTTAAGGCATGAGGAAGCTGCTGTGAATAGTATGCAATATGAACAATAAGAACATCTAGGGAGACTAACCATACATATGAAAGACGGTGAGAGACAGAAAACAAAACCAAATGATCAATGAATGTCCCATGGTAATGCGTGCAAGGAGCATTCCCAAAGCCATCCCCATCATTGTTGCAACTGTCTCTTGGCTTCCTTCCTTAACAAGTATAGAATTAGTTCATATGAATATAATAAACATTAAGTTGATGCAATCACTTATTTGATCATTGCATGCCATACCTTAGCAGATATATCTGCTGCATTATTCTGTAATGCAAAATGCTGCGTTAAAGCTGCTCTTGTGGCACCACTGGCAACACCAGCTAATTTAACATGATGTAAAATCAGATGTAAGAAGCTACGTTAGAGAAAACCCTCTTACAGGTCACAACTAAATGTTTCATCTCTCACATCCAGAAGATAGGATGGAAATTAATAAGTACTATAACCTAGCACAGAGTTACTCAAACACACTTCCAAACTTCCAAACTTACTAAATGATCTGGATATGCTCCCTGCGCATACAATAATCACAAATGCTGATGGAAACAAAGGGGAAAGAAGGTCCATCAACATACCTGCCAAAAATTTCATATTCTTCCATGAAAAGAACAAATTCATAAAAAAAAAAAAAAAAAAAAAAAAAAAAAAGGAAGAAGAAATAAGAAAGAGAAGAAACATTAAAGAAAATACTGTTACCCAGTGAGTAAACTAGTTAAACTAGTTAAACATTAAAGTAAATTACAAAAAGAATCGTGGCCAGTACATTAAACTAGTTAAATTTACAAGTTTATGTATTGCAAAAATATTAAGTTTGCCATGTCATAGGGGAAAAAACATACAGCATTAAAGAAATCTTATCCTTCTTAAGATATGAAGTGAAAAGAGAATTATCCAATGTATTCCTACATTAAGCTTTTAGCAAAGACAACTATCTCAGATCATTCATACCAATTATACCACTATTCACAATGATACTGAGCAGCATTTGGATTTAAATGAAACAAATGAAGAAAGCAATGAGACAACATTACCAAGGTCATTCATGAGATCCGCAACCAGACGCCACATTTTGGCATTGCTATCTAGGTTTGCACCCTAATGAACAAAAAATGTAGTGTAGCTAGTGTTATTAGGCAGGATTGATGTAAACAGACCACATTGTATGGAAAGAATACTCAAAGAGTTCCTTTTCCTTCTGTTACTGTCGTCAGCAAATATAACACAGTACAAACAATTCAAGTCTCAGAATTTTATGCCAGAATGAAAAGACATCAAAGAAGCATCAAATGTACCTGGTAAAACGTAAATAAGATGCCTCCAAGCATTCCAGTTAAATCCCTCAGAAACCACTGCAAAAGGTTCTCATACAAGGATATTGTAGGGAAAACATAAAGATAGGATTAAACAAGTGTAGGAAAATGCCATTCAAAACCAAATATGTCAATATAAATACCTGAAATGTAGCCCCAAGAACGGTAGCAGACTTCTCGCCAACCCCAATAGCACTTAGAAGAGCCTGAAAAGGATCAACATATGCTAACAATTACTCTGATATAGCATTTGAAATTCTCTTTGCTTCTAGTGCATCACCTGGGTAGAAAGCATCATTCTCATATAAGTTGACAGACCCTGCATGAAATCAAATCATAAATACCTCTTGCCACAATGAGAAGAAACAAGAGCAAAATAAAAATAATTAAAAAAAAATGAAAAAAAAAAACTGCTTTTTCAAAGAAAAGTTTTTCAACCTGCAATGAATCCCATATCTGAAAAGGAACGTAGTCAGGTGTAACACTGCTGGGAAATCCCTGTATTTTGAAACCACCCACCTCAGGTAAAATCGCAATAAGTTCTGATATAAGTACATGAAAAAATAGTAATACTAATAATGATAAAAAAAAAAAAAAAAGTGGTTGTGCACCCAATAATTTTTTTGGTGACATGATTGCAGACAAATATTACTAAAAAATACAATATACACATATTAACACAATATAATATATATATTTCATCCACTCACAAATAGTCAATAATTTAACACAAAATAGTACTCCCCCTTCTCATATAAGAAACAACATTTTGATTCCGGCACGAAATTTAGGTGGGTAGAATAAAGTGAAAATTAAGTGATGTGATAAATGAGAAAATTGTACTAAATTAATTATTTTTTATTTTGGAAATATTGCATTGTACGTGAGACATACCAAAATAAAAAATATTGCAGATACGTGGGACGAAGAGAGTATCTTTCTATTACCGATTCGAGTGTCCATACCTAATATAAAAAAACATATCCATCTAAAAATACAAAATGAACACACACGGAGATTTAGCTCATGAACCATGAAATTTGCTCTTCTAACATGTTTGTAGAATTTTACAGACACCTATATAATTTTGGCACTATTCAATTTTTTCAAAAACATCACATAATCACATCAATACATTTTTTATCAAAAAAAAAAATCAAATCAAATCAAATCAAACACTAACTTTATCATTCTCAAAATTTTCAAAATTCCAAGTTTGTTTGGTTTTGATTCAAAATCGAAAATTTCAATTTGGTTTTGTCTTAAATTTTTCAAAACCTCATATGTATTTGTGTTTAAGACACAAACCAAACATACCACAAAACTTCCAAAAGTCTCATGTCTAAATGAAGCCTCGATCTTTCAACAAATTATAATTTTCTCTACAAAAAACAAATAAGAAAATAACATTTCCTAAAATTTACATCACATAACAATGTGTGCAGATCATAAATACTGAAACCTAATCAGCCAATACTTGGGAAAGTTTAATTCACCAATCAAGAACAAGTTAGGCAATCTATACATGCTTACCACACGCATGAAAATCAGCTGATAACAATAAAAACTCTCATAAATTCAAACAAATTCTCCAATTGCATCAAGAAAATCAGCACTAATCCTTAAGGAATGAAAATCCTCACCTCGGGAATAAAGGCGTCGAGGATTCTCCGAGAAAACTGATTGAAACGGCGTGCAGATTTCGTAACAGAGTCGCTGGAAACTGTGATTGTGGCTGTCTTCGTAAGCTTCGAGGAATCAGTTCCGTTCCATTCTTCGATCACGGCAGTTCTTGATCGGCGTAGCCGCTCCTTACTGCTCTCTCCTTCCATTGTCTCTTCTGACATTTTTTTCAGTTGACACTTGACAGACAGCTAATTCTAATTTTCTTTTAAGCCCAATATTTATTGCTTATTCTGATTGACCCCCTCTGGATGCACTAATTACAAAATTGGACAGTTTAAGGGGTGTGCGTCGGGACCCGACCCAAACTATCGGGTACCATTTAATTTTTAATCGTTATTAATTTAAACGTTAGTAAATAAAATAATAAAATAATATAATCATTCATGTATATATATTATAAATATAAGGATGAATATAATTTATATTATATTAAAAATATTATAAGAAATTTTATGTCATGTATATATATTACTCACTTCGTTTCACTTAATTTTACCTAATTGTCACAGAATTTTAGATATGATGTAATTAATAAATAATTAAGAAATATATATGAATAAAAATAATTATAATTTAATAAAATAATTATATATTAAAATTAAAATTATGAAAATTAAATAATTTAATTAAAAAAATAATTATAAAATTTAAAATATAATTAAAATGTACCATCATAATTTTAAAAAAATAATAATAAATTATATAGAACTAACGGAAATAGAAATATAAGACATGAAGTATTATTATTAACTTAGTTTACAATATATTCATTAGTAAATATAATAATTTTTTAAAAAAAATTTAGATACCGATGGGATTTCGGGTATGAAATCAGACTAAAATTTTTAATCAAATACCTGAAATTCAAAATATGTATATATTTAAAAAACACGTACTCAAGTCACTCAACTAACCCGAACCCAATCAGGTTGGATCGAATCCGGGTAATGCCCGCTCGTATCTTATACGCTGCTAATTCTAATTTTCTTTTAAGCCCAAATATATAGGTTATTCTAATTGACCCCCTTGGATGCACTAATTTACAAAATTTGACACCTTTTTAGATGCCTAATTTTCTCAGTTCCTTCGCTCCGCCGCACCGGCGATCAGTCCAGAGGCGATTCAGCGGAGGAGAATGCGGAGATTATCTGCAGCTTTTCTTACAAGGCGATGCTTCTCATCGGAATCCGAAATTCCGAGCCTATATTCATTCCTCCAACCATCAATTTTTGCACTGAAAACCCCCAATCATCAGCCACAGGAATCGAGGAAGAATCCCTACTCGGCTCCGATTTCAGAATCTCAGAAATCCAACCTCGAATCGGCGCTGCAGAAATCTCTCTCCGGCAGCAACACCGACGAGGCATGGAAGTCCTTCAAGGCTCTCAGCAACCGCTCGTGTCTTCCGAGTAAGTTCCTCACCAATTCCTTAATCGCGCACTTATCATCGCTTTCCGACACGCATAATCTCAAGCGAGCATATGCTTCGGTAGTTTACGTGCTGGAAAAGCATCCGTCTCTGTTAGAATTCGACACTGTGAAGGCACTTTTGAATTCCTTTCGCGCTGCCAACACCAGCGCCCCTGCTTTCGCGCTGGTGAAAGCCATGTTCAACAATAGATTCTTCATGCCTTTTGAAAATTGGGGGAATATCCTCATCGATATATGTAGGAAGAACGGTAGCTTTGCTGCTTTTGTTAGTGTGTTTCATGAAACTTGCACCATTGCTGTCGATGAAAAACTTGATTTCATGAAGCCTGATTTGACTGCTTGCAATGCTGCCATGGAGTTTTACTGCCATGAAGCTGAATCCATTGCTGATGCTGAGAAAGTAGTCGAAATTATGTCGACTTTAGGCCTCCATCCCGATGATTGCACCTTCGAATGCCTTGGTTATTTGTATGCAGTTAAAGGACTAAACAACAAGGTAGCAGAATTAGAGAGTTTGATATGTAAGCTTGGAGTTTCTGATAAAGCAAAGTTTTTTCATAGTTTGGTTCGTGGGTACTCGAAATCGGGCGATATAGAGTCGGTTTGCGCTACAATTTTACGGGTTTTAAAAGAATTCGAAGGATTCGTTCTTAGTCAAGAAACTTGCAATGAAGTGGTGAAAGGTTTTATGCAAAACCACGATTGGAAGAGCTTATCGAAACTGATTCTCGAGTGTCAAAAGTTGGAGCCTCCGTCGATTGTTGTCGAAAAATCTTTCGGATACGGCATTATGGCAGCTTGTGTTAGTCAGGGCTTACTCGATAAGGCGCACGGAATCCTCGACGAAATGAATGCGCACGAGGTCTGCGTTGGGCTCGGCGTTTACGTCCCGATCTTGAATGCTTATTGCAAAGAACGAAGAACGGCGGAAGGCGCTCAATTGGTTACCGAGATTAGTAGTTTAGGGCTACGGTTAAATCCCGACATATACGACGCTCTAATCGAGACGTCGATGTCTTGCCAAGACTATAAATCATCGTTCAGCATATTCCGCGACATGCGAGAATCGAGGATAAGCGAGTTAAAGCCAAGTTACTTAACGATCATGACGGGTTTAACCGAGCACCATCGCCCAGAGCTGATGGCAGCATTTCTAGACGAGGTCGTTAACGACCCGAGGATCGAAATCGCGACGCACGATTGGAACTCGATAATCCATGCTTTTTGCAAGGCCGGGAGATTGGAAGACGCTCGAAGAACTTTCCGGAGAATGATCTTCCTCCAGTACGAACCCAACGAGCAGACGTACCTATCGCTCATCAACGGGTACGTCGCGCTCGAGAAATACTTTAGTGTTCTGATGCTGTGGAATGAGGTGAAGAGGAAAATATCGAGCCACGGCGAGAATCGGTTGAGGCTGGATAATAACCTCGTCGACGCGTTTCTTTACGCGCTGGTTAAGGGCGGATTCTTCGACGCTGTGATGCAGGTGGTGCAGAAATCGCAGGAGATGAAGATGTTCGTCGATAAATGGAGATACAAGCAGGCGTTCATGGAGACGCATAAGAAACTGAGAGTGGCGAAGCTGAGGAAGAGGAACTTTCAGAAGATGGAGGCTTTGATCGCCTTTAAAAACTGGGTTGGTTTGAGCTCGTGATACCCGATCGAATCGAACGTGTGTCGAACTAGTAAAGTATGATATATTCGAGAAGCTTGATTAATCGTATTTTTGTCGAAGATCTTGTGCAGGGATTGATGGATCAATGGAAGATCGTTTGTATCGACTGCTAAAGTATAATGTATTCGAGAAGCTGGAATTCGAATTCCGTGAGGTAATTTTCGTTGAGTTCTTTAGCTTGATGTAGAGAAGAAAATTTCTTGTAGCTGTTCGCACGTAGTTATTCTTAACCGTGCCGAAATATATGATTATGATACCATTATAGAATATAAAAATTTACTAATTATATAATATCATTTTGAATTTGATTGTCATGTTAGATTTTTTAATATTAATTATTATATCAAAATATAGTAAAAATTAAAGAGTTAATGATAAACGTGACTTATAATACTAATATAATAATATTTTTTAAAAAAAATGTAAATGATTAAAATACCCTACTTTTTAAAGAATTTTAAAGAGTATGTTAGAATAAAAATTAAGGGTAATATGAAAAAGTATAATAATTTTGTTATAAAGTAGGGACCACGGCTACTAAATAAAGAAATATGTGTTTAATTATCAAAATATTCATATTCGGAATTAGTTGGTTGTAAATATGTGTTTAATTATCAATATATTATACAAATAAAATAGATGAAATGTACTTTTTGAAAATAATAAATAATTAGAAATTTAAGTTACGGTTGTCTTCATTTTACAAGTATGAAATAAAATATTGATGAATTAATTATATATTTTTTATTGTAAGAATGATATTTATCACATTTCATCTTCTTTATTTGCATAATTCATTGCAAAACTTACAAAATTTATAGATATTGAACCGTTTTTGAGGTAAAATTTTTAAAAAAAACTCCACAATTTATTTCGGAATGATACCCGAAGAAAAAAAAAAAATCGTTGACATTCAATTGAGTTTGAAACTTCTGGACCAATTTTCAAAATATTAGAAAAAAGAATAATCCCTCCATTCCAAATAATTATTCTAAAAAAAATAAATTTAAAAAAATATTAAAGTGTGTAATCATTCGCATAAACGACAACGTAGACATGGTACGAATAATAATAATAATAATAATAATAATAATAGTATAAAATTAGATCGTCCTGAGGAATTTTTTTACCAACTTTCAATTCGAATTTATAATGAGTAAAAATCATTTTTGGGACAAAATTATCAAGTTTGGTTCCATTAAAAAAAAATTATCAATTTTAGTTCCACTCAAATGAAAATTTATCAATTTTAGTCCCAAAATGGTTGACTCGGACTGAACACGGCCGTGTTGGATGACTCAGAAGGTGACTGGGCATCCCTGGCAGCCAACACGGCCGTGTTGGTCTCAACACAACCGTGTTGATTACCCTGCACTTCTGAACACGGCCGTGTTCCTGCCCGTGTTCTGAACACAATCATGTTCCTGCCCATGTTCTCAACACAGCCATGTTCTAGGCCATGTTCCTGCCGATGTTCTCAAGACAGCCATGTTCTAGGCCATGTTCACGACTATGTTTTCAATATTTTAGGTCATATTTATTATTTTTTTTCACTTGGTTAAAATTATTTGATATATATATTTATACTTTAACAAAAATATTTTTTACAATTATTTTATAATATAAAAAATAATCAATTTTTAATATTTTTAAAATATATAAAAATAATAATATTTTAAAATAATACTCCATCCGTCCCACGTTGGATATCTGGGTCACTGTAGACACGAGAATTTAGGATAAATATAATTAGTAGATAATTAAGAATGTATTAGTAAAAATAATTATCATATAATATAAATAATTATAAATTAAGATTAAATTAACTCAAATTAAAATTAAATTAAAAAATAGTGCGTAATTATTTAAAAAAAAAAGAAAAGTGACATGGGATGTGGGACGAATATAGACGGCAATGTGGATATGGTAAGTGGGACGGAGGGAGTATTATTAAAAAATATATATTAATATATTATTATATTTATATATTTTAAAAATATTAAAAATTGATTATTTTTTATATTATAAAATAATTGTAAAAATATTTTTGTTAAATTATAAATATATATATCAAATAATTTTAACCAAAAAGTGAAAATAATAATAAATATGACCTAAAATATAATTATATTTAAAACATGGTCGTGAACATGGCCTAGAACATGTTGAGAACATGAGCAGAAACATGACTGTGTTCAGAACACGGGCAGGAACACGGCCGTGTTCAGAAGTGCAGGGCAATCAACACGGCCGTGTTGGCTGCCAGGGACGACCAGTCACCTTCTGAGTCATCCAACATGGCCGTGTTCAAGTCAACACGGCCGTGTTCAATCCCAATCAACCATTTTGGGACTAAAATTGATAAATTTTTATTTGAGTGAGACTAAAATTGATAATTTTTTTTTATGGGACCAAAATTAATAATTTTGATACTGAATAAGACCAAAAATAATTTTTACATAATTTATAATATACAAAAATCTGAGCCAATGACGAAAGCAAAATGTGAAAATTTGAAAGAAAATGCACGATTTGATTCTGATCCCTAAACCAAAATTTTGTACTTTTGCGCAGCTCAGAGAAAACAAAAAAAACGAGCATCGCTGTCGCATGATGTCGGAGATGAACAGCAAACAGAGTTGAAGATTAAACAACAATTCATGGAGGCAACGTGGATCTCAAATTCGCAATCCACAAAAATCCCCCTACCGCATCCCTCCAAAACCCCTGTTCATTCCCCGTCACTCAATTTCTCTCACTAATCAATCGCCAATGGCGATTTTCAACAACGTACGCACGAAATCCAGCCACCAATGCTCCAAACCCCCCGATTCATTTCCCCCATCGTTTTCACAACTCCAACTTCCAGATTCCCCCAATTTCAGAATTCGTGGCCACTATCTGTCGAAATCTTCGTCGCTCCGAGAAATCCGACTCGAATCGATGGATTCTCGTCGATGATTATGATTCTCTGAAGAAATGGATCTATGGATCGTTGCAGCCGCCGCCGGCGCTGGATACATGGCGAAGAATCTGCAGAATCTGAATCTGAATCCGTCCGCCGAGAAGAGGGAAAGTTCGATTACTTCTTCGTCGTACAATCAATCCTCCGAATCGAGGAATTTCCTGCAGCAATTTCGCGACAAAACTTGCCCGCTCCGCCGATTAGCTGAAACTAGGGTTTTGGAGGAGTCTTCAATTTCATCCCTTCCGGAGATGGGGATCGATTCGAATTTTAGGGTTTCGGAAGGAGAGGAATTAGGGTTTCGAAATTGGGAATCGGGAGTAGCTTCCAGTAGCGGTGATGATTGTAATTTGGGATGGGCTTCTAGTCTGCCCTCAGGTTTCAGCTCAGAAGGGGGCCTGGAATTTCTCGACGGTAAGAATCGGAATCGGAATTCCGGCCGGCCGGAAAGGGGGAAGGTTGTCCGGAATAGTCGCCGGCGGCGACTTCGTCCGAACAGAGCAGTACAGTCCTTAGGAGGTTGTGTTGATGATCGGCAATGTAGTGAGGTAGACAGCCTGGGTGTGGATAATCCATGTCTGTCTCCTTCGACATCTCCGGTGAGGCCTGTGTTGGTTACTGATTGGAATTGCATAATCGACTCGCCGGAGAAGAGGCGAGGCAGCCTTCGGATGTTCGATTCCGGGCAGAGATTTTCCGGTGGATCGCAAGGTTTGTTTGAGCTCGATTTTCTTGATTATCGGTTATTGCCTTTGGGTTAGAATTTCTGGATGATGCATATGTTATCATTACTGTGTTTTTTGGTAATCTGAATTTTGTTGTTGATGATTCTATTGATGTTTTGGAAGATATTTAGGCTACGGTTAGTTGTTTTGTACGAATATATTTCTTTCTTGTACTGAAACCAATAATAAATAGCATATGATATGTTCACAAGGGATTTTATAGTAAATTAAGAAATAATAATTTTTTTTTTTTTGTTAATCCGTAGAAGTGTGTAAGATGGTTTGATATTTTTGTTTTTTGTGTATAAAGTATTTGTACTTGCAATACTCCCTCCGATCAATTTCAAAGGGCCATTTTGGATTTTTCAGTAAATTAAAAAATAATAATATTTTATTAATTAGTGGAAGTTACAAAAAGGTTTTGATATTTTTACCATATGATTTTATATATAAAATAATTGTACATGGTACCTTTGTAATTTAAGTAAAAGTTAAGGGTACTTTAATATTAATATTAGTGTATACTTTGAAATGAGATAAATGAAAAAGGTAGAAATGATACTTTGAAATAGAAGGGAGGAAATATAATTTAGGTAAAAATTAAGAGTATTTTTTTATTAATATATGATTAATTTTGCTAAAATAGGAAAGATATACTCTCGAGCGAGAAGAACGAAAATGGTAAAGATAGTATTTTGAGTTGAGACGGGAGGAGAATGTTCCTGTTTATATGTTAATGTAAATCGTATGTTGTATGTCGTTATCTCGTGTGTTGTTGTCATTATGTGTGGTGCTGTCGGCTCAGTAATCGCTGCCTTTATGTTGAATTTGAATCTCGACTTTTAAGGGTTTGTTTCTTTTGCCATCAAACCTCAAGTTTCTACTGTTTGAACTTTATGTTTTTCGCAAAAAAATATATATATATTTTTCTTCTCACAAAACAGCTCAATCATATATTTTTTTAATACCAAACTCAAACCAATTTTTTTTCAAACCGATCAAAAGAAACATATCCGTAAATAGTGCCTAACGAGTTGGCTGCTCTAATTATCCGATTTTGTTTTCTTGAGAGTCTCATCGTTTAGGTGTATCTAGAAGATGTGTGTAGTGGTTGCAAGAGTATTCTCGAATGAGATTTCTTGTTGAATTTTAATCTCGAATATTCTTGATTGATTATCTGCTTTCCTGTAACCAGAGTGTAACATGATGTCTCTCTTTATTACCGGAATGATTATCGGGATTCTGTCTGCGACGATGTCCTGGAAGAACGAAGTCGATAAGCTGAACAAGCTGCTAAAGCAGATGCAGAATTTGGTTCAAGACTTGCAGGATGAGCTCGAAATGAAAGAGATGCTAATGGTGAAAGAGTTACCCGACGAGGGCCATTCGTCTCCCGAAGAACACCGCCAAAAATCTCCACCAACTCACGACACGATTGCCTCACCTTCCGGCGTGAAATTGTTCGAATTCGACATGCTAAAATTGGACGCGAGACAACGCGAGAGCCTCGAGCTGTTGAGCACGATTGAGGCCGAGCTTCAAGCCGAGTTGGAGACACTAGAGAATAACATGAAGAGTACATCCGCCGTGGATCCAATCTCCGGCGTCGTTGAGGTAAGAAATCCGTCTAATTCGAATCTTTATTACACCCCATAAGTATTCAATCTTTCGGTATATTTGTTTAGTGTTTATATTTTTAGGTGTTTTAAAGATAAACGTGAAAGTATATAGGAAATAATGGATGAATGTTTTTTTTTTTTTTTTCTCAGATAATATAAAAGATAATATTTTGTGTTGAAATATTGACTTTTTATGAGTAAATAAAGTATATATTATATGTTTGTGTTAAAATATATATTATATTTTGTAATATTTACGGAGAATCATGCCACTTAAAAATAAGTTAGGTGAACAAACCCATGTTTTGTGTGTTTTTGTTGATTTGGTGTGTTTGTTTGAGGGTTTGATTCAAATAGTAAAATTCGAATAGCTGATGTGATATAAATATATATTAATTTTATATTTTGAGTATATGAAGTTTAATGAATAGTATAAAATTTTTTAAAATTTTATGTGTATATATTGTACTCCCTCCATTCCAATTCAATGAAATGAGGCATTTTGGGATTTTGTAAGAGAGAAATAATAAGTATTTTATTTGTCATGAGTTTTTTTTTTTTTTTATATTTTGCCCGGTAATTTAACGAGTAATTGTATATTTGTAATTTAAGTCAAAATTAATGGTATTTTAGTATTAGTATATGATTATTTTTTCTAAAATAGAAAATGAATAATTTTTAATGAGACAGACGAAAATGGTACTTTGTCCTCGTTGTAACGTTTTGTTTCTGCAGCTCGATCCTGATTTCGAGCCCGAGATTGTTCGGGGAGACTTAAAGCCGGCGAAGGCGAATGCACCATCGGAATCCATAACCGAATCAACAAGCACGACGATGGATTGTTCTCAGCCCGCGAACTATTCCGTCTCCCCGTGGGAGCTGAGCCTACGTCTCCACGAACTAATCGAATCCCGGCTCGAGACGCGCATTAAGGAGCTCGAGACGGCGCTTATCGACAACCCAAATCACACGCTGATTCTCGATTCTCCGACTGCCGGTGTCTTCAGTCGGAAAGTCTCACGTAGCGAAACCGAGTCATCGTCGGATCGCCAGAGCCCGACGTGTATATGCGACGACGAAAGCGAAGATGCCTTGTCTTCTTCGGACAAACATCCGAACGGGTTCGCGAAGGAACGAGACATTCCGGGGGATTTGATTCGAGGTGTAGTGTGTTCGGACAAGCTGACTTCGGCGAGTTTCGTGTCGAATGTCGACTCCGAGAGCGACGACGGCGGCGACGGCGGCAGCGGGGAGTCGGAAATGATGCTGATAAGACGGATCGTGGAGAGGAGGCGATCGTCGTCGAATTTTAAGCTGGAGATCGACTGGGAAGACAGATGAGTTTATAGTCAGGCTTCTTTCGCTTGTAGAAGATAGAGAGAGTGAAATTTTTAAAAATATTATAGTAGATCTTTTTGTTTGTGAGCTTAGAATGTGGTACGTTACGTACATACTGTAAATCACATTTTTCATGAATATTGAGTGTGCATTTACTTTGATACTTTCTTTTTAATTGTTTTAATAAAAACATAAATGTTTGATTTTTAAAATATATTTTTTTAAAAAAAATAAATAATAATAGATAGTTCAAAGTAATATAAAAATAATTTATTTTAATGGTGTAATGATAAAATAGAAATATTTATAGAAAAAATATACTTTTTTTTTTTTATTCATAGATTAATGTTCTGCTTTTCTGCAATAAATTATCTTATTTTTAATTTTATACACTTAATTTTCTATAAATAAGATAAAAGGATAATTTTGTCAACTCATAACAAAATATTAATTATCTTAAAAAGAACATGAAAAAATCAATTAGGATAATATAAAATGGACTAAGGGAATAGTATGTAATTACTAAAAATAATAATAATAATAATAATAATAATAATAATAATTTTATAATTACATAATTCAAAGTAAAAATATCTATAATTTGTGAATAAATGGAAGTATTCTCGTAAAAAAATAAAAATAAAATTTTAAGGCCATAGCCCACCCCGACCACCTGATCACGTGCGCATCACGTGACCCAGGACTAATAGTAGTTAAGAGGTCTGGCGCCAAAAGAGTGCCTTGAACGGACATTTTACATATTATCATCGTTTCGTGAAATTGTGCTTGCTCCGGAAGCTTCGCTCTTCCTTCTGTTTTTTGATTCATGGATCCACTCAACCCCCAAGCTCACTTTCTCCCCGCACCCAAATCATCTTCCCCCAATTTTTTCCCGCGGTTGGATATTTCCCGATTCCGATTTCATCTTTTTCGCACAAAAAACAGGGATAAATCCCCCAAAACTAGCTGAATATCGGAAAAATCAGGATGATTTCCCGCTGGAAATCATTCGATACAGGTAATTTCATCCTTGATTTCAACGAGGGGATTGTTATAGCTTGAATTTGATTTTCATCATTTTTTCCTAGGGTTTTATGGCGTCTCGTAATATGATGCTCCTCGATATCCAGATTTTTGTGTCGGTTAAAAAGGGTGGAAGATGATTGCCGGCGCCGCTCCGGGGAGATTGATGTTTGGTGGTATTAGTCGGAAGGAATTTCTTCATACTAATTCGGAGATCTTTTAAGGTGAAATTACTTTCTCCTTTACATTTTTTTTTTTCGATTTCATCGAAAGGAAATTTTTGTTGGAGGAAAGAGTTAGGCGTTAGGGTTTCTGTCTCTGGAATTTCCAAAAACACTACTTCTTTCTTGAAGAAATTTTCATGGATGCTTTTCTGTGGAAAGAGGTTTCTGTGTTATAGTTTAGGAATGCTTCAATTGTCCATAGCAGAATGCCGAAGCTCTAAGAGTATGGAAATGAGTATGAACTTGTGTTGTTTATCAATAATTCTGACTGATAATTTGTTTATTATGGCCTAAGGATTGTTTCGAATGATGATACGAATGGCTGCAGTTGTTTGATTAATTTGTCGTAGCTTTCGAGATTTTAGAGCCGTTTGCATAGAAACTTTTCGAGTTTTGGAACATTTGAAAATATGGCGACAGTAAAAAGTTGAAAATTTGACGTAATGTTTTGTGAGATAGAATATGTAAACTTGTAGGAGTATTTGATTTGCGAAGTTCAGATAATTTATGTTCTTCTTTGCAAGTTTGAATAGTTTGTATGATATTCGATTTCACTCTGGAGTTTGAGTCGATATTGCCCCGAATTCTTTAGTGATGATTACTGTACTATAGTGTTGTTTTTTCAATCGTTTGTTTCTGAAATGCTTTTCTTGATTCAGTTATGGACAATGGAGACGGACAAGACGAAAATACGAAGGCGAGCACTTCCGCTTCTACTAATAAACGGGTTTCCTTCATGTCCGAGATTAAAGTCGTCAATGCAGACGAAGGAAGTGGGAACGGGCGAGATTCAGACATTACGCTAAAGGAAATCGACCATGGCTCGGACAGAGTATCAAATTCTTCTGATTCTGCAGATTCTCCCTCGTCAGAATCTTCGAACGAAGAAGCTAATGTCCATGTCGACCCTCAAGAACTTCCTCCGGTCGAAGTTCAAACCGATGCTCCCAAGTCCGATTCAGAAAATGATAATGTTGATATCGTGAACGAGCTTTCTTTCCTGGTCGAAGAGCCGATTGTCGAGGATCCGGAATCCCGTTCACGTGGCTCCGATATCACGATCTCCCACGAGCCTATTCTCCCGAGCATCTCGCCCATGCTGTCCCCTCCGATCCAAGTGATGGAAAGAGATCCCGAAAGTCCTCTCGATTCCGTTCTGAGTCGACCGTCGACACCGTCAACCGCAATGGGCTGGAGCGCCACTTCCAACGACTCGCTGTTCAGCATTCGTCTCGGGGCCACGAGTTTCTCCCGCAATCCTGCCCATAGGATGGATCACGACTTATCGAAATCCGGTCGCATCCCGAAATCCGAAGATCTATTCATCTCGGGGGAGCTTTACGAACTCAGAAACTCTCAAGAACTACCCAAGACCGGAGAACTCGGCCATTCTGCCGAGTCGTACAAAGGCAGCGACATTACATTCGGAGCCGAGTTAGTTTGCTTCAGTCAAGCATCGTCGTCGTTTAAAGCGCCCGATCCGATCGATCCCGAAGAAACAGGAATGGAGTATCTCCCGCTCAACGGTAACTCCGAGGCTCAAATCGATACAAGTTCGAAAAAATCGAGCGCTGCTTCGAGTCCCACCGCACGCCCCGTTAAAACGGGAACTAATTCCCAGGTTTCGACTCGTCCGAAGTGAGTTAAGCCGCACGGTTTCGTATTTTTCGGGTGAATTCGCATCGTTTAACACCTGTCTGCAATGTTTCAGGAAAAAGTCGTCATGCCTGCGATGCGTACCGTGTAAGTCGACTTGTTGCGGTAAAATGTCGTGTAAATGCTTCGCCTGGACGAATTGTTTCGGGAGGTGCTTTAACCCGACGCGCTGCTGCTCGTGTAAATGCTCGGGTCTATCGTGCAAATGGTTTGCCTGCTCGAATTGCTGCCCGGGATCTTCTTGCGCCTGCAAATGCTTCACCTGCTCGGGATGCTGCCCGAATCGAAAGTGTTGGAGCTGCAAAGGTTGCTGCCCGACAAAAAAATGTTGGAGCTGCCCGACCAGGAGTTTTTGTAGCTGCAAAAGTTGCTGTCCGAAGTGGTCGTGGACGTGCTGCTGCTGTTGCAACCATAAATCGAAAAAATCGAGCTGCGACTCGTAGCGCGCCGTAAGCTCTTCTCCGCCCTTATGTTTGCTCGATTAAAAATCGAATACAATTTACGATCATGTTCGAATGCCACAGTTTGGATTGATTCAAAAATCCTCGGAGCTTTCATTGCGAACGATGCTGCCAAGCATTTCGAGGCAGCGAGCGTCGTCTTCCTGTCGAAGCTGCTCGGAGAACAATGCTCTCTCGCTAGCATTTGTCGTTTTGTCGCATCGCCGGGACCGGCGAAATTCGGGTAAATTTTTTGCAACGTAATACGTTGAAACTGTTTGGTCGAGGTTTTTCAAAGCTGCTGTTGATCTCCTGGCGACGGAACGATCGATCGGGTCGTGATAATTTTTCGTAAGAACTTCGAATGAGAAGTTGTCGATTTTCTTCGGAGAAAATTGGCTAGCGCGAAACTTGTGCTATAGCTTTCATGTTCATCGCCATCCGCCTCGGTTTTTAATTGAACTACTCGTATATTGTACTTTTTGCGAGATTTTTCTGTGTATAGTTTAGCTCGAGTAGTAATACATATATACACACGATCGATCGACTCGAACGTTGCGGATTTTCATCTTGTTGAGATGCGCAAGATATTGATTCGATCGGGATGGTTATCTTCGAAGCGAAGTTCGGCTAACAACGAGGCCTACGTTTAACATTTGTGTCGAAAAAAACCAAACAAGTTAAAAGAGTCGATAACTTCTCTAAGGCATCTTCAACCCTAAAGGCATTTTTTGCATGGGTTATCTCTAATCCAAGCCAAAAATTGGTGTTGCTATAATGCAACGCCAATTTTGGTGGGCCTTGCTATATATATATATATATTTAATTTTTAAAATTATATATTTATTTTTTAAATTTAATTTTTATTTTTTAAAATTTTATATTAAATTATAAAAATAAAAAATTGTTTAAAGTAATATGAAAAATTGAATATTCGAAGAAAAATGGAGATATGGTTGGAGTAAAATTACTGTAGCAACTGTATATTTAGAGTTAAAACCGGATAAATGAAGTTGATGGATTGTAGATGGTCTAATGCAACAAGTTATTTTTTTTGTTTTCGGGTCTGTATCAAGTTTGAAAGTTTGTGTTTTTATTTAAAAAATGCTATGGTGTGTGTTTACTCGTGGAATTTGACTTTTGATTTTACTATTACAATTTTTATTTTTTTTTCTTCTATAAATATCAAATTAAATACTAAATTTTTATTTATTATCAAAACATCAAATCAATATATATTTATATCACATCAATTCAAAATCATAATTCTACAAATAAACACACCTATATACTTTCGAAACGTAAAATCTAAATAGTAAAAATTAATGCAAAAAGTGAAAAGTAAAAAAAATAATTTGGTAGTTATTATATTAACAAATATAACAAAAAACTTTAACAACCAATTGGAAAGGAATATATACTATATTTGAGTAGTTTATTTGAATTGATATTTAACTATAATTTCTAAAACAATTATAATATATTTTAAATTTAAATTTAATTATATACTTCTTTCATCCAACTTAACACAAACTTATTGTATTAAATTCAAAAATTATATTATTTATATATTTCAAATATAATAAATGTAAAAATTATATAACACAGAATAATACTCCCTCCATCCCAAACATCCTGCAACATTTTTTTTTGTACGTCCCAAATATTTTGCAACATTTTAAAAATAGGAAATAATTAATTATACTTAATCTCTGCCTCATATTTTATCCCACACATCATCCAAATAAAAAAGTAAAATATATATTTCTCTCTTTATCACATCGTCTAATTTTTAAATTATCCTACTTAATACTACCCACTTAAAAACTCGTGCCAAAACCAAATGTTTCATCATGTTTGGGTGGGAGAGAGTACTATTTCTATGATTTAAGGGTTTATTTGTTTGAAGGATTTTACCAAAATTTTATTATTCATTCAAAATTTTCTCCAAAAAAAACATCAAATCAAACATTTATTTTTCATTTTCTATATTATACTAAAAATTAATTTTACATTCAAAACATCACATCAACACTTATTTATATCACATCATACAACTATTCAAATTCAAAATTTTTACTATTCAAATCCCAACTCAAAATCCAAACCCGACACAAACACAGCCTAAATGTAATGAGTAGCAAAATCAATCCTGATTTCCCCGTTGAAGAATTACAATGGGATCGATTTTAAAAAATAGATTTAATCCAACTAAGAATACAGCGAAACGACGACGTGTTGAAGGGGGCTGAAATTCAAACCAAAGCAGCCGTTACACACTGCGGTCAGTTTAGTCCACGTGTACGTGTAAGATGGCTTTACCGAGCCACGTGGCAAGCTAAGAGCTACGGCCTACAGTAGAGCTTCAAACGCTGCTCGATTCGAGCAATTTCCCCGCCTAATTATTTCTACACTTGCCCCAAAAGTCCTCACTCCCCACCTTTTCCCAATTCTTTATTTTTTCTTTTTTAAAAGTACGAAACCACAAGACCCCGAATTTGTTTGGGGTAAGGGTTTTGGGTGATTTATTATTACTACTCTCTCCGTACAAAATACTACAATTTATTTTTTATACGTAAATTTTTTAATATTAATATTATATTAAATTATAATAAAAAACAAAAATAAATTTATTAATATCTTGGAGTGATATTTGTGTAATATATTGTAAGTTGGAAGAGTATTTATTATGTTAGGTATGCAATACAATTACTAAATTAGGAAATGGTACCATTGTTTTGAGATAGATAAAAATAGAAAATAAAATCCTTTGGGACGGAGGAAGTATTAATGTTTTTTAATGAAAATTTTCTACTCCTCGAATCCCAACTATTGTGTAATTAGTGTATTAATTAAAATAATTATGGATTAAGATTAAAATAATTAAATAATTTAATTAAAATAAAAGAATTAAAAATTTTAAAATGTAATTAAAGTATATAATTATATTTTTTTAAAAAAAATATGTGAGATGGATAAAAATAAAAAAAAATAAACAAATTAAGTGAGTAATAATATGTTTGTAATGTAAACAAAAATTAAAGAATATTTTGATATTTACTTACTTAAAAAAATAAAAAAAATATTTTTTAATTAAACTGATGAAAATAGTAAAAAAATATTTTAAATTAGAACGAATAATATATATATATATTTAAAAAATTAATATATTACATATATTTATTATTTTTATATTTTTATATTATTTTTTATATTTTATATAAAAAATATATTTTCAAATCAAAATACTAAACAAAAACACTCAAACTATTATGATTTTAAATTAATTTGAAATAAAATATTAATTTATTTTTTTTTTAACACACTTTTATTTTTTTGTTATCTAACACATTTTTATATTTAAATAAATTTTATTAAATTAATTTATATTGGGTAAATTAAAATATATTTAACCAATATAAATCAATTTAATCGACTAACTAAAATATAATATCATGCGGATCACCCAACCCCTATTTCTCTCTCTTCTAAAAAAAACCAAATCGTAAAATGCTTAAAATCCCAAACAAACACGGGAGAACCACCATTTCTACTGCTCTGCTCCGGTGCTTCCTCCTCCTTTTATTCCCTTTTTTTATAACCAAAAATAAATAAATAAAATAAAAATCAATGTTCATTTATTCATTCCCATTTCGAAGCAGTGTTTGTTTCCTTTTATTTCTTACTCATCAATGGCGATGCTTTCCCTCTCAATCCTGCTGCTCATCCTCGCACCAATTTCCGGCCAATTTTCCGACGAAAGAACGGCTCTATTCCAACTTCGGAACTCATTTTCCGACACCAACGGAATCCTCGAAACCTGGAATGAAGCTAATTCGAATCACTGCTCTTGGTCCGGAGTTTCCTGCAATTCGAATCTCAGAGTTTCTCGGATCCAAATCAAAGGTAATTTTCCCAAATCTGAGCCGCAATTACTTGTTAGAGCAAATTTCTCTGATCCATGTCGGACATTACGAGGAAATCTGTCTGGTGTAATAGGCAAACTTAAGGAAATTAGGGTTCTATCGCTTCCGCATAACGGTCTTGTTGGTGAAATTCCTGTTGAGGTTTGGGGATTGGGTAATCTCGAAGTTCTTAATCTCGAAGGAAATGATTTCTATGGAGATTTCTCACGTTATAACTTCACTTGTCTTAGAAGCCTCAGGATTCTCAACTTAGGATTCAATAGGATATTCGGTAGATTTCCTTCATCGATTAGGCAATGTCGGAGATTGGAAGTTTTGAACATCGCCGGAAATGCAATCGCCGGCGACATTCCGGGATATTTTTGCGGCTTTTGTAGGTTAGTCGTCGCCAATTTGTCGTCGAACCGATTGATCGGAACTGATTCGAGCTTGTTCAGACATGGCTGCAAGAGACTCGAGCATTTGGATCTTTCCTACAACTCCCTCGCCGGAGAGATTCCGCGTAGTTTAGGACAATGCCGGCGTTTGAGGACGCTCCGGCTGTCTTCGAATGCTTTTTGTGGCGTAATCCCTTATGACATCGGAAGGCTCCGGCGCCTCGAAGTTTTGGATATTTCTAGAAATATGCTTCGCGGGCATTTGTCTCCGGCAAATCTCGGCGAATGTAAGAGTCTAAGAGTGTTAAACTTGGCTCGGAACTTTCTTACAGCCGATGTCGACGGTGTTCTCGGACAATGTAAGAATCTGCGGTATCTGAACTTGAGCTCGAACCGGCTGTCGACAACGTTGGACATTAGTAAGAACACGGTATCCGGCGAAATCGCAAGTTTCATTACCGATATCTGTAACCGGTCGCTTTCTGTGCAGCTGATTCGTCTTCAGCGGAAGATTGGCGAGCCCGACAGAGGTAGCCGAAATCGACAACTTTCGATTCGCGCCGTAGCGTCGATAGTCTCTGTGTCGGCCGTAGCGGCGATCCTTGTCACTTTGCTCGTTCTATTCTGCTGCATTAAAAGGCGGCGAATCGAGTCGAGGATCGATGTTTCGGCGTCGCCGTACACGGAGAAAGTCACCGTGTTCAACGACATCGGTGTGCCTTTAACCTACGAGACCATCGTCGAGGTGACTGAGAATTTCAGCAGACGGAACTGCATCGGGAGCGGCGGGTTCGGATCGACGTACCGCGCGGAGGCAGCTCCCGGAAATACGATCGCTGTGAAGCGGCTGACGGGCGAACGGCATCAAGGCGCAGTGCAGTTCCGGGCGGAGATTGCCACTCTCGGACGGATCCGACACCCGAATCTCATTACGTTGATCGGATACTACGCGAGCGACGCCGAAATGTTCCTCGTCTATAACTACCTTCCGGGGGGCAATTTGGATCGATTCATCGGCGAACGTGAGAGGCGGATGTTCGATTACCGGAAGCTCCACAAGATTGCCGTCGACGTTGCATCGGCGCTCGCCTATCTCCACGAAGAGTGTCGGCCGGGTATTCTGCATCGGGACATCAAGCCGAGCAACATATTGCTGGACAACGACGGGAACGCCTACTTATCCGACTTCGGGCTGTCGAAAATCGTGACGGACGGGAACTCGACCTGTATCGCTGGGACGTACGGCTACATTGCTCCGGAGTATGCCCTCACGGGGCGCGTTTCTGACAAAACCGACGTATACAGCTACGGCGTGGTGCTGCTGGAATTGATGTCGGACAAGCGGGCGCTCGACCCGTCGTTTCATTCGCACGAGGACGGCTTCAACATTGTGTCATGGGCGCGGATGCTGCGCGACGAAGATCGGGCCGAGGATGTGTTCGCAGCCTGTTTACGGGAGTTGGGGCCGAGGGATAGCCTGGTGAAAATGCTGCACATTGCTGTTCTATGCACGGTAGAGTCCGTCGATTCGAGGCCGACGATGAAGGAAGTTGTGGAGAAGTTACAACAGATTCAGCCTTGAAAGTTTGTTAAGAGATTGAGGTTAGAAAGTTAGGAGTGAAATTGATCACATGATTGATTCAAACAAAAAAACATTGTTCTTGATGAGAAAGATGATTGATTTTGTGCAACGTTTGAAAATTCTCCCACCATAGTTCGTTATGATTCGTAATTGTTCATAAATCAGGCATACATTACCTTCTAGGGTTAGGGTAGTTCCATATTCAATAGTAGAGCAGGTTAAAAGCAGAAAATGGAAAAACGAGAAGAAGAATGGACATAGCCCCCGGCGAGGATCGAACTCGCGACCTTTCGCTTACGAAGCGAACGCACTACCACTATGCTACGGAGGCAACTGTGACATTCTATTAAATTTTATATATAATGTAAAGTTTCAAGTGTTAAGGAGCTAATTTGGTTATTCCTGCAGGATTTATAGGATTTTGGGGAGGGCAGAGGGGTTTACGCGAATTCGGAGGAGAAAAGATGTGTGGAATAGCGCTGATTGTGTCTGGAATTAGGGTTGATTCATCGCAGTTGGTTACGAACTGTTCCTGCCCGTCTCTGCAACTTTTACAAACGGTAAGAGTCTCGAATTTTCTCTCGTTTTGTGCTTGTCGATTCCTCCATGTTTCTGATTTTTGAAACTCCAGTGTTCGTATTCAGCGGAAGACATCGAATCAGCTCTTCGAAGAAGAGGTCCTGACAGCGTGGGAGCTACAAGCATTGGACTAACCTGCGGTGAACACGACGATTGTTCTCTGCAATCATTTGTTCAGATCGAAGAGGCTGTAGGGAATGGCTGCGGGAATGAATTGTGTGGAGAATTGAGGTTTTTCGGCGCAACATTGCAGCTTAGAGGAGTGAGACCTGTTGTGCAGCCATTGATTGATGCACTTGGCAATGTCCTTGTGTATAATGGTAGAATTCTTGATTTTCTTGTTGAACTTCTGGTTCTTTTCTATTTGGAGATTTTATTTTATTATAATTATTATTTTTTTCTAGAAATAAAGTATTTTGTGGAGTGTTTAATCCCTCCTTTATGTTGTTTCGTTAATCTTGAGTAAAAGTTTTTCTCACCATTTATAGAAGGAGTTGCGATCGCCTTGTCTATATACTTCTAATAGATATGAGTGTTCTGTCTTGTGTCAAATGCATGACGGTTGGAATTGTGTTGTTAGATGATCGTTGTGTTGCGGTGTACATGAAGTCATGAAAGTTGGGTTTTTTATTTGCCTTGTACATGTTTTCGTTTTATAGTGTGGATTGTTTTAAATATTTGTCGATGCTCGAAGGTAACTTGAATAAGGGTAAGCAAAGTACCTGAAATTTGAATATTTGATCCAAGCCCAATCGAAATTCAAAATTTTGGTTTGTATATTGAAATTCGAAATATATTAAAAAACTAATATATTATAATAAGAATGTGTACATATTGCATATTTGTGGGTTCTTATTTACTATTTTTTCTATTTAATATTTATTTGGAAGTATAAATGTTAAATAATCTTGTCATGTATTTGTTTTTTTGATTTGTTGGACAATATTTGTTTATTAATGAATTTAATATTTAAATTTTAAAATCTTCGGAATTTTGAGTATGTTACTGAATTTTGGATCTTTTCGATTTGATTCGGACTTCGGACAATTCAGTTTGGTTTGGACTAATATTTTACAAAATTTCAGTTTTTTGGATGCCAAATTGGAACCATATGTCCGAATACTAACCCCTGTACTTGGATGATATTTTAGGTGAAATATTCGGTGGGATTGATTTGAGCAGTGACAGCAATGATACTGAGGTTCTTATGCAGTGTCTAGGGCAGTGCTGCTCTTGTGTTTCCCATATAGAAGAATGTAGAAGTTCTTGCTGTTCTGAAGGAAGCCAAAAGTCTGTTCTGGAACTTCTTTCAGGTGTTCGGGGGCCATGGGCTTTAATATATTGGCAGGTAACTTTGCGTGGTAAGTTTCTTCTGTTATTCCGAAAGGTGCCAAAAACAATGGTTTGCCATTTGTATTTACTGGCTGGATCTACCTTACACGTTTGATGCTTGTAGGGTAGTTCGAAAACACTGTGGTTTGGTCGTGATGCGCTTGGTAGACGGAGTCTTCTTGTTCACTGGCCAACTGATCATGATCCTCGGCTATTATTATCTTCAGTGTCACCAAGTTCTATTCAGCAGCATTACGGTACTATACAATTCATTACATATTTGCTTCCGCACACTTATTTAGAACTATCATTCGAGCTGGGGTTAAGCTCTATGTCTCGGAACATGACTCAAGCTTTTTCAACCTGAGCTCAAATGTTCTCTATTAAATAAACGAAGAGTTTGAATAATTAGAAAATAATTTAGCTTGGATTCAAGTTTGGATATACTAATTTATCTATATTGACAAGCTTTGTTAAATGTTATCAAGCCGAGCCTACTAAACTCAAACACCATTTGAGTATTTACTTTTTAAAGTTAAAACATTGACTTTTGGTTATAAATAATTAGCCGAGCTTTCAAGTGGCTTGATTTGTGCAACAACTTTGCCGCAATCCGATCTCATATCAACAGTGAATACAACAGCTGATTCGCTGTTACTTCATGTAAAATTGATTGTCTGTTCATTTCTTGACTAACGTTTACTGACTTATTCTTGAACCCTGTGACAGAAACTGATGATGAAAAAGGTAAAAATGGACACGATTTCTGGGAAGAACTGCCATGTGGCGTATACAGTTTATCTATGTCCACTTTGAAAGTAGATGAACGAATAGTTGGCATCGTCAAGAAGCATGAGTGGACAGATTCCAAACTGGTAGAATTAATGGCATGGAATAGAACTTCTATTGAACCAGGTTAGTATCTAGCCTTGAGGTGGTTAAACTTGCCCCATTCGACAACTTATCTTTTCAAGTAATTCTGTCACACTAAATGACATCTCTACCATCTCTTCGGCTATATCTAATACTTTATTGTACTAGAAACTCCAAGGATGTACATTCATTCTTTATTGCACCATCTCTTTGATCAGCCACGACAGAGTCTGTGCAACGTACACCATTAGCAGCTGCTCATAGAGTGTTGATGGCTTTGAGAGAATCTATAATGCGGCGCACTGTGTCATATAGAATTTACCAGGTATGCATGTCTATTCATTATCATTTTCTCCCCCTGCCCATATAGTAGATGTACCCCTCAACCTATGAAAGTTTGAAGATCTAATTCTGACTTAGATAGGGAGAGAAACTACTATACCTTGTCTTTATGGTTGATTTTCACTTTCGAGTAATCCAATAAAAATATTTTTTTTTTTTCCCTAAGTATCATATTATTGACATGCAATTAATTTTGACCGACATAAACGGGGAAAAAATGTCGGACCGTTTCCTTACATTTGGATGAGGAAGGGTATTGTTCTTGACCCAGGAACTGAACCAGTTGTCTTGCTTCCAACTCATTTCAAATTGAAGAGTAATTGGTTTGTTTAGTCTGTTATTATTGGGAGAAGTTTTTAAGCCGAGCTTGATTTATTATTGATTAACATGCTCAGGAATTACGAACAAGTCATGGACAGCAGCGATATGGGCCTGTAGCTGTGCTATTTTCCGGTGGTTTAGATTCAATGATTATTGCTGCATTACTGCATGGATGCATTGGTTCTAAATGTAAGGTTTTTTTCCAGCTTCTTCTCTTGTTGAATTGTTTCTGCAATTTAGTGTAGTTATTTAACTTTGATGCCTGTTAAAAACTCTTGGCCAATCATAGCCGCTGCACCTCACTAGTTGCTAAATATACTGTTGAGATGAATGTGTGTTTCTCTTCAGTCCGAATTAGGTTCAGAGGTTTGAGTTTTTCATTTAAATAATACTTGAAATGATGTTTTGTGAGAGGAAAAAATATTTATACATATATTTTCAGGAACCCTGAGTCCAAGTAGTAAAAAGCTGGATAAGAGGAGAAAGATTCACTTAGTTTTTGTTGTCTTTTGAGCCTATGTTTGCAGATGAAATCGATTTGCTTAACATCAGTTTTGATGGAGAGTCAGCGCCTGATAGAATCACTGCGAGGGATGGACTGAAGGAGCTTACAAAAATTGCCCCATCGAGGAGGTTTGTGGATGAAGTTTTAAATTGTTGAGACATATGATATTTCTGTTTCACTGGGCTTGGTTTACGTACCCGCAAACTTATCAAAGCGCTTCCAGTTCTACCTTTTTTAGATTCAAACTCGTAATATTAAGTTTGTTGAATAATAAATATGAAAGTGTTCTGTTTTCTGAATCTCTTAATTCTTCTAGACGTGTTTCTGATGTTGAATTCTATGCTTGGTATTTTGCGAATATTATTAGTCTCTGCCGTATGGAACTGTCGTAGATTGACAGAATCTGTTATGTGAACCCTTGGAACAATTTCTTTTCCCTATTGAATCTGCAGATGGAACCTTGTAGAAATCGACGCAGATTTACCGAAGTTGAAGTCTGAGATGAAGCATGTCATGTCCCTAATAAATCCCTCCAAGACATACATGGTATTGCTCTTTAGTGTAGCCGTGCATAATTATTCTTACTGGTATAGTTAATTATGAACCTTGATTTCAAATCATGAAGCAATAAATGAAAGAAATAGCTATATTGGAGAGCACAGAAGATATGCTCAATTTATTCGCATTTCCCGACTAAATCTTTCAGTGAATTCCCATTTTAGGATCTGAATATAGGCACAGCCTTATGGCTAGCTGCTGGAGGTGATGGCTGGCTCTATGAAGAAGCAAGAATTTTCGACGGTGCACAAAACCGTATCAAGTACAAATCCGAGGCCCGGATTCTTCTAGTAGGTTCTGGCGCCGATGAACAATGTGCTGGATATGGTCGGCACAAGACTAAATTTAGAAATAAAAGGTGGTCTTGAATTCTTTACTAATTTTTTTTTCAACCAAATCGAAGTAATTTTAAACCTTTTCTTTCCAGTCCTTATGCTCTTGCGAAATCCAAACCACGATACCGATGTGTTTTACAATATTTTTTTTTACCAGTTGGATTGGGCTCCACGAAGAAATGAAACTAGACATGCAAAGAATTTGGAAGAGGAACTTGGGGAGAGACGATCGATGCATAGCCGACAATGGCAAAGAGGTACTTAACTCGAATTTGTTTGTTTTTACTAAGTGTAGCATAATACGTCCTAAATAGAATTTTAAAAAAAGGCGAGGTTTCCTTTCTTGGACGAAGATGTCATAAGGACGCTACTCGATATCCCTTTATGGGAGATTGCAAACCTTGATCAACCGAGTGGAGTTGGTGACAAGAAAATTCTGCGCGAGGTATTTTTCTATCTCTATTCATTATTACAGTTTCATGTTCTATGGACATCCTTATTTGCCAGTAGGAGTCTGCAGACTCACTGTGCCGTTGAATTCTCCCAGGTTGCGCGGTTGCTCGGTCTGAATGAAGCAGCAGCTTTGCCCAAAAGAGCAATTCAGGTGTGCATTTGCAGTACATTTGATCTTTGTTCTTTTTGCCGATTTGATAATTTTGAGTAGAAAATTAGTATGTTTTAACTCATAACGATAGAGACTGTATAGTGTTAAAAAAAAGGGGAGAAATACTAAAAAGAACAAGAGTTTAATTTCTTACAATTGGTAAAGCATTTTATCCTCTCCCATTCTTCCTTGCATTTCAGTGACATCGGCAATTAATAATACTCCCTCTGTCCGGGAAAATTATGCAATATTTATTTCTTGTTGTTCGCTAAATTTATGCATAATTTATATATAGTGAACAACTTTTATCTATTAATAATTTCACTATTTTTTCTATTTATCCCATTGTCTTACTATTAACTTTTTAATAAATTTTTAATAATATTGTCATTGTGGCCTAATTACTCCGGCCGGATGGAGTAAGTGTTTTTCTCATATTCATGTCTTTGAATTGGGTTGAGCCTTAAGGTTTACTAGCCTAGTAAGAAAAAAGTAATGAGTCGAGCTCGCCCTATCCAAAATAGGAAAGAATAAGACATACAAACATAGTACACAAATATACGGGATTGTTCTTGTAGTCTTTTAGGTAATTTTATCACAGTCTTATCCATTTCATGACCGTTTCTTGCAGTTCGGATCTAGAATCGCGAGGGAATCAAACAGGAAAAACTTTGGGAGCAACCGAGCTGCAAACCAAGCCTCTGCAGGAAGCGTGGTAATTTACTGACCATCCGATTACCGTTTCTTATCTTTTGATCTAATCTAATTTATACATGTTCATGAAACACTAGGCAGTCTTTTAGATATTTGCTATTTTTGCGAGCCCTTTCAAAAATTTTCGGCTGCTGAGATTCAGATGCTTTGAGATTACTACATTATACATGTCGTCTATATATTGATGTGTAGATAAAACCTTAATAACCAAATGTCGAATCCGAAATTGCTATTTGGACTCTAGAAAGAATGTATGTAATAAATAAGCTGGATCATCTTGATCTCGACTTCTCAATTGATCATCTATAACACCAGGTGTGTGTGTGTGTATATATATATATATATGTATGCATGGCTGTAGTTACTTATGTTGAATCACATAATTCAGCACAATGTAAGATAAAATATATGAAAATATTTTCGGAACTAGTGTTGATTTTGTTTGAAATTTTTAGATTATTATTTCAAATGGGAATTGTTGAATATTGGTCATGGTTAGTCTTATGAGAAGATTTTCGAATTAGTGATTGTGTTCACATCATATGAAATATAAAATGGTAACAAGTAATCCATAAATCAAATGAAGTATATAAAATGGTAGCAAGTAACTATATGGTAATATAATACTATATTAATAATATCACATTATAATAGATCATGCTGAAGAAAAGTAAATAGTCCGAAATGACTTGGTGGTGCAATCAATTTGTGACTGTATTACAAAAAAAGAAAAAAAAAAAGAAGAGAAATTTAATTTGATTTTACTATTTTTATTTTTTTTTCAAAAAGATTAAATTAAATATTTATTTTTTATTTATTATATTATACTAAAATTTATTTTTACATTTATAATATTTAACATTCATAATAGAGCGGGTGATTTTAATTTTAAAATCAAGATCAAACATTTTGTATGAACTATCTTTTATATTATTTTTTTTTTGCTTAATTCCTTATTTGTCTTATTTGGTATACGATAGAGTAATTCACTCAAGTGGTTATAAAAAAATTGCATTGATATGACCTAATCCATAAAATAAAAGAAACCTCAGTAAAGAAAGTTAAAGAAAATAAGAATAAAATCTAAAAAAGTTTGGAAAGAGAGATTCCGGACCAGTGGGGTATTTTGAAAATTAGGATTTCTTTCTTTTGTGGAGAGTTTTAAGATTTACCCTTTCTTGAGGGACTTGAAAATAAATACGGAGGCGTAGCGTAAGTATGACGGCCAGTAATCTGTACTGTTGGAAATCTTACTGCCAATAAAATTCTGCTATTTCCAATCCCGAATCGTCGCTCGCCTGTCGCTATCGGTTCGATCCTCGTTCTCACCGAAGAGGCCTGGAAGATCTGGTAAACGAGTGGAAGTAGAGAATCTCGTGCTCGATTAATACTCTCTTGGTTTCGAACTTTGCAGTGAGAATTGATTTGCACCTCTTTGGTAGATCTGAGCTCAAGCAGGCATCAGGTAATCAGCAAAATGTAGAAATATTGAGATATAAGTTATCGGTTCTATTCATCTCTTTTTTGGAGGATTTAATATTATTTTTGTGATAATGATGTGTGTGCTTTCTGGATGAGTTGATCAATTGAGTTGATTAGGTTTGGTTTTCAGTTGTTGGTTCGTGATCTTGTGAAGAAATTGATTTTTTGTGCCCCTATAGTTGATGTTTGGATGAGATGCCTTCTGGAATTCCAATTGTTTGCACACGAGGCTTGATTTAGGGTTTCGTGATTTTACCCGATTATATATATAACTGATATTGTGTAATTTACTGAAGATGAACTAGTTCATCGCTTCAATTGGAATGTTGTGTTTTGAAATTTTTGTGATTGAATCTTCAATTTGGATTCTGTAAAGTCTGTGCTGTATTCATGGCCATGGCAAAAGCTCGATTCCGTTCTTTGTTATCGAATTCAAAAAACTACGGCCATTGGTGTTTAGAAGAGAGTATGATATTGAAAGTTGATTTTAGTTTAAGTTTTTTAATTTGAATTTTGATTTAAATAGTAGTTTGACTTAATATTTTACGAAATGAAATAATGAATTTTTATTGGGAACATCATGACTTGAATAGATGTAATTTTGGTTCGAAACCAAAACCAAACAAACACTACATTTATGCTTAGATTGCTCTGATGTTGTTTGTATCGGATAATTTTGTAAGAACTGTCGAACATGGGTCGTGGAGTCAGCAGTGGCGGTGGGCAGAGCTCTTTGGGGTACTTATTCGGGAGTGACGAATCTCCAAAACCGGCGGAAAAGAAACCCGTGGATGGTGCGGGTGAAAGTAGACAGGTGACTAAAGAGCCTTCGCCGAAGCCTAATGCTGTTGCTCAGCCGGTGGACATTAGCAAGCAGATTCCCGCAGGTATTCATAGCAGCACAACCAACAATTATGTCCGAGCCGATGGTCAAACTACTTGCAATTTCATCACGGTATGTACACTCATTTCCCTTCTTTGTCGCACATAGTTTTCGCAATGTTTTTAAAGTACATGCATGTCTTATTAATAGCGGGAGATTTTATTTCACTACGAGAACTTCTAGGTTTTGGCAATGTTGACGTAAATTTTACTCGTGAGTTTCTTTAATGTTTGGGTTTTTTGTTTTTTTGTTCATTGTGAATAATTACTACTTGCAATTTCATCACAGTATGTACCCGATGGAACACTCGTTTCCCTTCTCCATCGTAAATAGTTTTCGCAATGTTTTTAAAGTATATGCATGTCTTATTAATTGCGGCCGGTGGGAATTTATTTCACTACGAGAATTTCTAGATTTCGGCAATGTTGACGTAAAATTTTATTTGTGAGTTTCTTTAATGTTTGGGTTTTTTGTTTTTTTTGTTCATTGTGAATAATTACTTAAGTGATACTTTCTTATGGCGCCCTTTTACGTCATTTTTTTTTATTTCGTCCATCAATATGAGCAATTAACTTTTTATTCTTTTCGGGAGCCTATGTGAAAGAGCTCTAGAGTAATTTCTGGACGGGTGTTATAAATAGAGCTCACACAAAATGGTTCATCTCCATAATTGATAAATTTATAGGTAAATTATTTTCGAGTTTGTTATATGCATTGTTGGCGCCACTTTGGTCTTAAACTTAAAAGAACATCCATATGTTTAATGTGTTGCTTGTTGTTTTCTCGACAAATAATATTACGCGGGCTATTACTTTCTGATGTGGCATAAAGATTTGTCGAAAAGTTTGAATGTGTTTGTTTAGTATTTATAGTTTTAGATATTTATGTTGTGAAGTATAAAGAACGGTAAAAGTATTTATATAGGGGATTATATTTTATGTATTTTTGTTAATTTTTATATGTACATATGTGTAGTGTATTTTATTTTGTTTCGGAATTTTGTATCTTTAAAACACTAAATGAACACATTTTTGTTTTGTTTTGAATATTTGTTTCGATCTCCCATCTTTTCGCCCATAGTATCATGTTCGTTATCAATCCCAAATAACAATGTCAAGTTCTCGACGTTCGATATTTGGATAAGAAAATCTCCATTTAGATAGAGAAAGTGATTGATGTGCTATTTTTTGAAAATGTTATTGTCGCTAACCAGTTACAAAAGTTCCAATATATATATATATATATAATCATTTTACTTCTTGCAGGACCGGCCGTCGACCAAAGTCCATGCTGCGCCGGGAGGAGATTCTTCGTTGGGATACTTATTCGGTGGAGGCAGCAATTAAAGCACCGGAAAAGGGTAGAGGGTATGTCGCCAAATTTTCTTACAAGTTTACGGTAAATGTTGTCTGCCGGATTCTGTACATTGTGGTCAGACAACAAGTTTTTTTTCTACCCGTTGTGTTTGTGATTATTGAAAACTCGATTGATTGTGTGTCGCCGGATATGCTTAGCTGCTGTTCGATATTCGGTGTATTGTCTTAAAAATCGACTCTTTGAAACTCGTCTTGTGAATGAATGTCTTCAGTTTTCGAAATTTCGAGCATTTGTGGATGAATGGTAGAGCTAGATTTTTTGAATATTAGTTTTATTTGCCGCCAATTTTTAGACAACATTCAACGCGTAACAATAATTTTTTTAAAAAAAATATTCCCTCCGTCTCCAAAGTATGAGCTTTCGTTATTTTTATAATAATGAATACTTTTTATTCATTTTAGTAATTGCAAATTTCATTTTTCAATATAAATATTAACATTTTCTTATAGAGCAGCAAAATTATCTTTATGTTACTTTTTATTATTATTATAATTAATATATTCTGCAAAAATAAATGTATATCTTAACTAAGGGTGTGTTTTGTTTGAATTTTTATATATATATATATATGTATTTTTTTTAAAAAATAATATATTGTACTATACAATTTTCTTTCCCTTTTATTTGCTACCTTATTCTTTTTTCTGTTTTAATAAATTCATAAATTATATTTAATTGTATATACAATTATAAAAAATTAAAATGTCTCAAATTAAAAGAAAAACAATATTTATGAATTTTCAACCAAAAATATTTATACTTACTTCTAAATTTTTATATTTAAAATATTAGTGTTAAAGCACAAAAAATAATAATAATAGTAAGTGGCAGTAGGATTCTGGGTAGGGTCTGAATGAAAGCCAAAAGGTCCGGAGGTCGGGCAGAATAAAGGTCGGGAAAAGGAAGAAAGGTAAGATCTCAAGAATTGATCCAAATCCAGACTCAGGTACTACCAAGAGATGGTTGTCCGTGATCAGCAGTTCGGGCTGTATTCAGGTCGGGCGGAGTCTAAAAAAAAGGTGTACCCAAGTCGGGTAAACCGTAGATCGGATGGAAGGCGAAGTCGGGCAGACGCGGAGGTCTGTCAAGAGGAAGGTCGGGCAAGGAAGAGGTACGGACAGACGCGGAGGTCTTCGGTCAAAGACGGAGGGCGGCTGATGCGGAGGTCGGCCCAAGTGAGGTCGGGCAAAGAAGCAGGTCGGGCGAAGGACGAAGTCGGGCAAAAGAAATTTGGCAGTGGACAGGCAGGTCGGGTAAGAGGCAGGTCTGAGTTCTGTGACTGGTGGGAACGGTTGAAGGAAGTTGTAATACGTGTCAATAGAGGAGAAATTGGTGGTCGGTTGACAGCGGTTGCTGTAACCGACCAGACGGCGGTTCAAACCGTTTTCTCTGAAAGGCTATTTAAAGGATTCAAATCCGTCAGAAAAGGCATCTTCAATCAACTTCAACAAAGCAAAGTCAGATTTGGGGATCACCACTTTAAATTTCAGTCTTTTATTTTCCAGTTTATTTTCTGTAGCATACAGTGTTTAGAGATTCCTAATCTCAGACACTAATTAATCAAGTTTAAGGATAATTTCTATATCTTTGAATTTTACTTTATTTTTGTTGAAAAATTACATCAACAATTAGATTAATATATATTTACATCTTATTACTAATTATTTTAAAATTTAAAATTTTTACCATTTTAAATTTCAGATACATCTCCCAAAAATACAAATTGTGTTTTGTTTCTTTTCGTGAAAATCATTTTTATTCATCCAATCATCAAAATCATTTTTATTTAAAAATCATTTAAAATATATATTTTAAATCATCTTCTGGCCGCAAGCAACCATGGCGTGAGAGAAGCGCGGTATAAATTGGGCGCCAGCTGATTCAATCAGCCTGACCTCACGGTTTGCATCGCCATGGATGATCCGTCGTCGGTGTCCCGGCGAGGGCGGAGGCTGCTGCCGTCGAAGAATTCCGACATCTATTCCACAACCGTGATTCACGACAAAGATGACATCGCCTCGAGAGAATCCGAACTACCCGTCCCGGGCGTCTACGCCACAATGGTTTACAAGGACAACGACGACGACGACGACGCTGCTGCGTCGATCTCCGGAACAATGATTGTGAAAACCGATCGTAAAAAATCGAATCACCGCGACAGAAATTCGAGCGCCTCTTCACAGCGTACGAAGCAACGAGGCTCGGAGGTGACGTCGTTTAGGGGGAGGAAGAGTGATTGGAGCGAAATTGACGACGAGGAGGAGTGTGGAGGTAATTTTTCTACATTTGTTGTGAGGGATAGAGACAACGGCGAGGAAGAGGAGGGGGAGGAAATGGGGACAATTGTAAGGCGCGGCGGCGGCAGCGGCAGCGGCGGAGGTACGATGAGGAAGGCGGTGGAAAGTATGCAGAAGGCGGTGGAGTTTGGAGGAAAGAGGAGGAAGGGCAGCAGCGATGGCGGAGGTGAGGTTTATGATTCGACTGCGCAACGGAGGCAGACAAGGAGTGAGAAAGTGTCGTCAACTTCAATACCTGATTATGTGAACAGGGAAGATCCTTATACGAAGTATGAGTTGCTAAGTGAACTTGGTAAAGATCACATTCAACTTTTTGTGCTTTGGTTGCTTTGATTTCAATTTTCACTCTGTTTTCATGGTTGTGGATTGTAGTTTTACAGGTTACAATTCGTATAGATAGAAATTTTGGAGTTTTTGAGAAATTTTGTGAATTAGGAAAAAAGTGAGGTATTTCATGGTATTTTGATTTGAGTTTCACTGTAGAATCTTTTGTTTCTTGATTTGAAGAAGTTGGTTAGATTATAAGTGTGGGGACGGTAGTTAAGAAATTCACGAAGAGAAAATTATGCAATTCAAAACATAATGTGTTACTTGCTATAAGGAGCACGGGGTAGATGAAGCTGCAGTATAATCAAGACATTCCTCTTTGCATGGAATTCATTATAAATCACTAGAGTGGTATAGGAGAAATAAGATTTTTATTGCTATAGGTATCACATGTAACTTCGACGAACATGTTTATATTGTCAAGTGCTGTTTATTCCATGGAGAATAAGTAGAATGAGGCTTAGATATGAACTTTCCAAAATTTGTTTTGAAGAAATGAGAGAGTGACGGTATTTAATTCAATTCTTGATGAGCAAGCTGAACTGAGACGAAACTGTATATTTAGCCGAAACGTAGTTGTTTTAAAGTGCACACTGAATGTTAAAGTTTACCATCTTATAACAGGAAAGGGTGCATATGGGGTAGTCTATAAAGCTCGGGATGTAAAGACTTCAGAATTAGTTGCTATCAAAGTGATTTCATTATCTGAAGGGGTATGATCACAAAAATTTGCTACTATAACCTAAATTATTCTGATTAAATTCAGAGTATTCAGAATAGCACATACTATGTGTTTTCCAGGAGGAGGGTTATGACGACATTCAGGGTGAAATTGAGATGTTGCAGCAGTGCAGTCATCCCAATGTTATTCGCTATTTCGGGAGCTATCAATGGGAAGAGTATCTCTGGGTATGAAAAGTAAATCAACTTTTATACTTGTTTTGGTTACTGTTTGTGCTGTTTTTTGGACTATTGAACTGTAAAATTTTAGCGTACAGGCGCGCAGCATAAGTAGCAGCAACCATAATATGTGGAACTTTGGATGATGCTGAAATATGATCGTAAAATTCAATTCAATATGGAGTGAAGTTTGTTAAAATTTAGGGAATTGTTTGCAGATAGTAATGGAGTATTGTGGGATTGGGAGTGTTGCTGGCTTGATCAATGCTACTGATGGGCCTCTCGAAGAGCATGAAATTGCATTTATTTGCAGAGAAGCATTGAAGGTAATTTATTTTCTTCAGGAATTTCTTTTCATACTTATTTGTTTTATGTGAGGTAGCCGTCATAAATATTGATATTGTGTTCTTGGAAAAATGGGTATGCTGTTGAAGAGACTATAGTTCATCGCAAATTTAAAACTTACTAGCACCTGAACATAGCTAATAATTCATTCCATATTGAAATTCCCCTAATTAATTTCTACCCTTCATTCTATAATTCTACTTTTTATGTTGAAGTGAGTCGTGACTTGTGAGTTCTCCACCTTACAAGAAGATTAAAATTGTACAACATTGGGGTGTAAACACACGATTATATGAAACTTTGGAAATGCCAAAAATGTTATTTTACTACTTTTCATGTAATACTCTAGTCGATGTCTCTTTCTGCACAGGGTCTTGCCTATCTGCATCTAATTTTCAAGGTACACAGAGATATTAAAGGTGGTAATATATTGCTAACTGATCAAGGCGAGGTTAAATTGGGTAAGTCACCAATGTTTCCCAACATTTTCTCCAATTTCCTGAATTTTTTGCATTTGGGAATCGGGAATAGTTTATTTTATCTAGTGCTTTCATTGGGGTATCTATAGTGCATATCTTGTCTCCTATTATTGAACACTATTCATGCAATGGAAATAAGAAATAATTTTTTCAGGTGATTTTGGCGTTGCTGCCCAGTTGACAAGAACTATGTCAAAACGCAACACGGTACACATTTCATTACTTGTATTAATCTGGATAATCAGTAATAATTGGTAGGCTGTCTTGCATTGTAATTGTTTCTTACACTTTTTTATAAAGTAACATTTATCATCACATATCCTCTTGTTTTCATCACACGTTACGACTCAAGTGTTGCATTTTGGAGAGCAGCACAAATATATGTTACTAATTTATTTGTAAATAGGCCAAACTCAATGATTGTCTGAAGAATGCTTAGTTACAGATTCTCTCTGTCTGTGTATACCTTAGTTATTATTATATACTTCCTATCTACGTACAAGCCTCTACTGGAATATTTATTGTCTAGTTTCATCACATTTGATTTCCTTTTTCGCTTTCAGTTTATCGGTACACCGCATTGGATGGCTCCTGAAGTTATTCAAGAGAGCCGTTATGATGGAAAGGTATATTGCATATGATTGTCTGTGAGAGAGATTCTCGTTGACAGAGCATTATATTGCACATATCTACATTTTGTAACAGAAGGTTGTGCTATTTCACTTTGATCCAGGTAGATGTATGGGCACTGGGGATATCTGCAATCGAAATGGCAGAGGTATGTTTCATCAGCTGATAGTTATGCAATCACATCAAATAATGCACTCATTCATCACCATTTATGATGCTAAATCCATGGCAGTTTTAATTTTGTTTTAATTTTAAATATTTTCAGGGTGCTCCTCCAAGAGCAACAGTTCATCCTATGAGAGTAAGATGACACACTTGAGTGAATAATTCATTCATAAATTGGACTTCTTGAGATTAATCCCCCTATTCATATATTAGTGTCTGGCTGCTGGTTCTTGCCAGAAAAAAGATGGATATTTGTATCGATTTTAACTCAGAACTCCTCACTTAAGAGGGACTCTCAAGACAAATTATCTGTCATAGTACTGCATCAACTGTGTCTCTTTAATTTGCTTTTGACATGGTTAGCATTGACTTCATATTAATAGTTGAAATACTTTCGGTAAGTTAGGGCTGTGCACTTTATTTATAGCTTGGCATAACATAGCTGGATTTCCACAAACTTGTCCTACTTCAGATTCCTTGAACAATTGATTTAGGATTTATGACGATGGCTATAGTAGCAAATGAACTTTGTATTTATATGTCTGTCTCACCTTGGTGCCCTCTTGTTTACTTCCTCAGTAAAAAATAGGAGTAGAAAATTAATACACAAATAGAAAATCAAGACTCCTTAAGTGTCTAGTTTGTGATTTATTGTTGTCTAGTGTTTGTATTTTTGGTTAGATTTGATGTTTAGTGAGAGTAGATAGTGTATTTTTATTGCGGGATGTGGTGATGACATAGTAAAAAAAATTAGAAAAAGTGGACTTAAGTTTTATAGTAACTCCTGTAAACTTGTTTTAGCGAGTGCGGATGGCCTTGTTGAGTGTTGTTTTTGCAATTACAGTTAGTCATGTGACGGGATCTAGTATTTCCTCTTTATCTTCCTCAGCTCTCCACTTCTCTTATAATATTTGCGTATTATATTACGATGATTAACAAATTCAAAACATGTGGTAGGTATTGTTTATGATTTCCATTGAACCTGCTCCAATGCTCGAGGATAAAGAGAAATGGTTTGTCTTTGAATCTTTCCCTTTTAGCCATGTCTTGGAAATTTTCTCTTGCAATGATCAAGTGCCAAGATTTCTTTATACGTGCGCCGCTTACATGATTTAACATTTTTGTACGACATTATCTAGAAACCATGCTTGCCCTTGATTGATCTGTGTTGCTATCTGTTTTATGCACTATGTCTAGACGATCTTTTATTATTTTGGAAAGATCGTGTGCTTCTACCTGTCAACCTCCCCCCTTTCGGAAACTCTTTGCTTGCTTTTACTATCGCCTGTCATGTGAACCTTTGGAAATGTAAATTGCTTTAGATGATTGATACTAACAAGTAACAACTACTAAATTGATATACAGTTCATTGAGGAAATCAATTCTGATCAACATCTTTTTCCATCCATGTTTGTTTTTTTGGTATTATTTTTTCCATGATTTGTTGTCACAGGTCACTGTTCTTCCACGACTTCGTCGCAAAATGCCTCACAAAGGACGCAAGACTTCGCCCTACAGCAGCTGAAATGCTTAAGGTAGATCTTAAAGTCCTTTAAGGGTGTGTTTGTTTGGGAGTTGAATTTCGAGTTGAGATTTGAATAGTATAAATTTTGAAGTGGAATAGTTGTATGATGTGATTTAAATAGGTGTTGATATGATGTTTTGAATATAAAATTAATTTTTAGTATAATATAAAAAATAAAAAATAGGTATTTAATTTGATGTTTCTGGAGCGAAAAAATTTGATGAACAGTAAAAATATTGACAAATCCCCAAACAGACGCACCCTAAGCCTTTCACTTACTCTTCAACTGTACTTACTTTCACTTTGAGAATACGAATCATGCTGCAAATTGTTATGTTCCTTCTTGCAATTCTTCGAGAAAAAATGTGTTCTAAATTTGATATACGGTAAGTTTTATTCTCTGCCGTCGCAATTTATTCTTGCATGGAGTGTAATCTTAAAGAAATGCACAAACAATTTTCTAATATCTTCATTTCTTGCAGCACAAATTCATCCAAAAATGTGCAACCGGTGCATCCACAATGCTACCAAAAATCATGCGGGTAAAGCATATGAGAGCAGCAAAGGCTTTGCAAACCGGTGATCTTGCATCAGAGACGACGCTGCCAAGAGAGAAGGTAGAGCCATTATTATCTGTAAAAAATTTCATTCAAACATCGTGGCTAAGTTCGAATCATCGTATTGTTATGGATTCCATTTTGTGTCTTGCAGCAACCAGGCGGCATTTCTAGCACTGTTCCATCTAGACCTCAGGACGATCAGCAGACTATGTCTGCTGTAGCCGCTGTTGGGGTAGCCGACGAACAATTTCCACTCGCTGAAGCACACAGTGCTGCTGAAGGTACCCTTACTGCTTATATCAGCTTTGAAGCATTGTCTTATTTCTTTAAGATTGAAATATGTTTAAGTGTTGGTTAGAGGTGAAAAAAAGAAATATCGAAAATATATGGTATATACCGTTCATATGTATCGAAAATACCGTACTTTCACTATACTGTAATATTGTATACTAATACTTTAGATTTTCGATCCGATAGCTTTTGCATACTACATTATACTATTATCATACTGAAATTAGCTAATATGGCGGTACTAATAAATACCCGCAAAATTAAATAGTAAAATATCAAAATTAAATAAAAGAAACTAAGAAGTATTAATATATTTACATTATTATTTTTTTAATTATGATCATTTTCAATATTTTTAATTCTTTTTTATTTCTTTGATATATTGGTAATATTTTGCACTATGCGGAATGGTTCGATACAGTATTGTTATGATATTTTAAGTTATGATATTGGTAGTCCACTGAACAATGAGACTTTTTTTACCAGGTGATTTCAGTACTGTTGTAATTCATGATAGAGAAGAGATTGGTAAAACAGATACTCCACAAGCATCAGAAGTAGAGACTGAAGTGTTTTCTACTTCTGCACAATTCAGGAGTGCTTCATTCCGTAGCCTTGGAGATATCGACAATTTGGCTCTCGAGTAAGCACTCTTCGATCCTCCACGAATATCTTTGTTTATCCAAAGTTCGTGCATATCTTGGGGTTTGTTATAGGGTAGTTCTCGTATGACATTTCTGTATTGATCTATTTGTTTGGAGTTTGGATTTTGAGTTAAAAAATTTGAAATTGAATAATGGTAGGAATAATTCTAAGAAAAAACTTGTATAAACAGTAGAAATTCTCCTAAATCTTTCAAACAAACACTCTATTGGTAGGTATGACTAAAAATTTTTTGGTATGACGCCCTACTCTCGTGGTAGTTGCTAGTTCATACGTATAATGTGCCCGAAGTCATGCATACATGAATTACATACTGGAAATCCTCGATTCCTGCTAATTCGTGACCAATAACTTGTCAGGATCGATGTTTCCACAAATCCAGGAACTCCGACGGCAGGATCAGGCGCAAATCTCGTGAGAACCGTCAGTAGAAAAGCATTAGACAAGGTATATCCGACCTCGGAGCTTCCATTTCAATTAATATTTTACAAGGCTATGATTGATCGATTGATTGATTGATTGATTTGAATTCGGAAACAGCTTTGGTCGACATACACTGCGGGCAACACAGTTCCGATCCCGTTCCTTAGGGCAACAGACATATCTCCAATCGCACTCTTGTCCAACAATGTGCTCGGCAACAGAGGCAGCATCGGCATAGAAACAGCAATTCGAGAGCTCTTGTCCGGCGAAGCGCAGCCTAAAAAGGGCAGAACCAGGCAGAGCGAGGTCGGTCCTCTTTTGATTCTCCTCGCCATTACAATTCTCATCTGTTTTCCTTTTTCAATTCTATTTTTTATATATCTAATTTATATTTTAGATTGATTTGGTTACATGTATTAAATTAGGTCATTATTATTTAAATATATATGTAGTCTTGAAATTTCTACAAAATATAGTAGAGTATTAGAGTCGCGTTCAATCTGGAATGTTTGGCCTCCTCGCCATTTTAGGATTCTCCATCAATTGTTCGTTTTTGCCATCAATTGTTCGTTTGTCAAGATTATTCTCGGTCAAATTTGCTTTTCAGTTTGAAATGGTTCAAATTATGGCATTTGATTGTTTGTCATGATTTCATTAAAAGTCCTATTTTTAATTATGTTGACCATGGATCGATTTGTCATTGAATACATTAAATATACTAAATCACTCAAACTTAACCCTGTCTGTTTGGTATAGTTTCGGTTTCATATTGAACTCGTGATATTGACATGTATACATACTTGAGTCAAAATTATTTTGATTTTAATGCTTACATGTATTATTTAAAATTTAATTTAGTTTATATTAATAGGTAAGTTAATTATTAAATTATAATTATTTTACATATATATATATAATACCTATATTAATTAATATTAATATATTATAATTTGGTTGCATTGATTATAGTTTGAGTGGATTATTGTATGGTGTCTGGTTTTGTTGGCTGTAGTTACAAGCGAATTGCATTTCCAACTTAGTTGAATCCATTTATAATTTAGATTATATTTTTATTATTTAAATAATTCGTTATTATATGGTTATACTTATACATACTATTAAGTTGTGGGAGAAAATGTAATACGATTCTCTTATGTGTGTATTGCAGACGCCGCTCCCTGCTAGTTTATGCATGAGGCTAACTTCTAGTCCAACGCTTATGAACCTCGCTCAGATGTTGGCTTACCATAGAACGTACGAATAATAATAGATCATGATACCCATCCATCCATTTTTGTCTTGGTTAACAATCGATAGGGTTTCTGCTGCTGCAGGTGCTACGAAGAGATGCCACTTCTGGAAATGGAAGCAACGCATGAGCAGCAAACTATTCAGATCCTTTCAGACACTCTCCGAACCATTCTGCGATTATAGACGATTTTCGCTTTATTATTTATTATACAATTTAGATTCATACATCATTTCAGAGCTTGTTTATCAAAATTCTTTCGAAAAGGTTGTTAATTTACACTTACTGGAATATGAGAAATTCAATCGCTGCTGCAAGATCAAGAATTGGCAGGTATTGGGGTTTGAGTTCAAGGAGAATATGCTCTTGCACTCCCCCAATTAACCATAGCCTTGCAGATAATATGCCCTGTCCATGGAAACCCTTCTGCTCATCATCTGGTTTTGGAAGAAATTCCATTGGTGTTCATTTTGCTTTCTTTGCTCCTCGTCTATCACATTTACATGCTAAGGCTGCTTTCAGTTCTGAAGCCCGCAGTGATTCAGCCACCGGTGAGCTCCTCCTTATGTTTTTTAATTTCTCTTCGGTTTATGAGTTTGCACACCATGTGTTCGATAAATTGTCTGAATGGTATTAGTTGCTGGTAAAGTTTCTATAATTGTAGAGTACTTTGGTTTTGGTTTTTGAGCATACCATGGCCTTTAATTTCTCTTTGTTGGTATCTGGATATTAATCCTGCAGATGATTCCAATGGAGAGGTGGAACCGATTGATTCGTGGGAGGAAGAAGATGAAGCTGAGCCTGAGGTATTGTTAGTTGTTTGGAGTTTCGCTTCATGTACTCGCAGAGTTATAATCCTTACAAAAAATTTGTAAGTTCAGGTTGGCGATGGAGGGGATGGTGGTGGAATTGTTCTTCGGAATTGCCTTTGGGGCGAAAGAGCACTATCCATAGGCAAACAAGTGCTGCTGGAGTTCGGTGAAGGCATTGAACTCTATGCATTCAAAACTTCTCCTCGTGGCTATGTTTATGTGCGGCTGGATAAACTTTCGAATGCGTAAGAGCTTTTTAACCATCTCTTCACGTGGTTCAAGAAGCAACTTTCGTTGTGTTCCTATTCAATCTGGGCGTAAGTTTAGTTTTTAATAGAATGTTTGCAACATAATATGGTTAAACATTTGATTCTAGGAAGATGCTTGTTAATGCGGATATTGTTTTGGTTTTCGAATGTACCATGATATATTGCACGGTGGGAAGAATCGATTATGCATATTGTTGAAAGGCATTCATTGGAATCATGGACATTTTCACAAGTACAATGTAGGTAATTTCACCCATACTCCGAATAAATCTGACAGGGGGTGATCTAGAAGTGGTTTATTTACTTAAATAACACAATATTCTATAATCTTTATTACATGATTAGCGTAAATTGTTTCTATTCCTTTATCCTACTGGACATTAGACTTGGAATTTATTTGTTTTGGAGGATATCAGGAGTTTGGAATTTTCCGGGAATGGTAAAACTAGTATTAGATACTATGTTTTATGAGATAAAATAGTTATTTGATATGATGTTTTTTTGAAAAAGTTTGATTGCCGTTAACTTCTCCCATCGACTATGCATTTTAAGCTTCAAAAGAGCATATAGCTTTTTCCTTTTTCCTAGATTCGGCAATTTTCTTCATCATTCTTGCCTTCTTGAATCAGATACGGGTGCCCGAGCATGGAAGAAATCGAGCTTTTTAATCGCCTATACAAGAAAAAATTGGACGAAGCCGGTGCCATTGGAGAAATACCCGATGATTTAGCTCTTGAAGTAATCGATACTTAGAAGATTCTCCCAATATACCCCTTCCACTTTTCAATTTATTTTTTTTTTCTTTTAAAAAAAAAAAAACTACACTTTTTAAGACATTGTTTTGATATGAAGGTATCGAGTCCTGGCGCAGATAGACTCTTGAGAGTACCGGATGACTTGTTGAGATTCAAAGAAATGCCAATGGTTGTAACCTATTTGCAAGATTCAGGCCCGAGCAAGAGCGGCGTTTACTTTCTGGATTCCATCGAAGCAGAAACAGGGTGTTGCATTTGGAAACTGGCGGATGTGAGGGAAAATAGGGATCCCGCGGCTAAGGGAAGGCCGTTGAACCGGAAACAAAAAGATTCGAGGTTGAAACTACCATACCTTATGATCAAACAGGTAACTCTTTATATTAGTTACTAGTAAGTTTTGAGTTACCTTTTCATAAAAAAGCTCGATTGATCTGCTTAATACTTTCGTAGTTAAGTTGCTACTTCTTGCTTATACTTAGCCCAACATGCCGAAATTCAAAGTTATCTTGTTTGTTTCATGCAAATGCTTTTGAATGTGTGGTCGATGTCTTATTCGCAAATAAGACATCTTAGTTATAGGTGGCGGTTAGGGTACTGACTAATAATTCATACGGTATATGATCTAATTGATACATAACAAAAATATATGTTATGAATTGATAGTACATGATGCATATTAGAATAATATAAATTATAGTATGAATTAAAATCACATATGAATGAACCAAAGGTTTTGGATTTGGATTGCACATATAGATTATTTCAGTTAAGTCGATGGTGGTGATAATAGTGATAACATTCAGTAATGCTGAATTACTAAACTAAACTAGTGATATGCACTGTGAACATCACATAGTATAATTGTGTTTTTTTGTTTTTTTTAACAAAATCTTTTTAAATTTTACTTTCTCCGTCACGTAAACGTGTGCTTATTTGACCGGGCACAAATTTTAATAAAAGTGACTTATAATGGTTACTTTTTTATGGTAAAAAAAATACAAATATAATTATTTTTTACTTAAAAAAAAAAACGAGAATATTTTTTTTAAAAAAAAAAAAGCATAAATTTGAATATTTTTCAACTTTTTCTCACATTGTATATCACTTTAAATATTATTTAAATACAAAATTTAAATCAAATCTTCTCGAATATGTTAATTCATTTTGAATCAATTCAACTTCGAAGATTCAAAATCTTGTCAAATAACACAAATGAGATTTTGAGTTGAAAAAAATTTGAATTGGAATAGTTATACGATGTGATATAAATAGGTATTGATGTGATATTTTGATTGTAAAATTAATTTTAATATAATATAAAAAATAAAAAATAAATATTTGATTTGATATTTTTAGAAAAAAAATTTGAATGAATAGTAAAAATTTTCACAAATCCTTTAAACAAACACACCCTTAATTCAAATTTCTCACAAACGTGATTATACTTAACATTAAAAATATCTTTATAAATTTATACTCCCTCCGTTCTAGAACTATAGTCTTAATTGGATTGGACACGAGATTTAAGAAATATTGATATATTACAGTGGTGGTCGGTAAAAAGTATAAGTAAAAATTTTTTTTGTCCTTGTAAATGTATTAGTGTAAAAAGTAGTGGCAATTGTGTAATAAAAATAAAAAAATAAAGGTAATTTTATGGTGATATGGTTATTTATAAAAATAAAACTGTGTTTTTTAATATAAAAAGTAGTGACAATTGAGATGGAGGGATTATTACGTTTTGATATAATAATTAATATTCAAATCTTGCTGACGAAAGTAAACGAGAGGCCGGACAAAAGTAGCATTTGAAATGAAAAGAACTTCGACATACTCGGCAGCAGAACGTAGGAAATTCGAATGCATTAGTTCCACTCGCCAAACTCGATCCAATAAAACACTTCAATATCTCCACACAGTCGAATCGAGACGTTAAAAGCTACACACAACCACACACATATATATATATATATATATTATACACACATTCAAGAAGTTTCCAAATAATTCGAATCGAACTTAATCATACCCGATCCGACCCGACGACCTCAGCCCACACTGAGGCCGCCCCTAAAATGCCGGTAAAGTTGCGCAACGGAGGCCTCCCGTCTCTGTTTGCTCTTCTTGATCCGAACAAGCTTGTCGTAAACACACCACGGGAAGCTAATATAGTGATCCCTCTTAAGTCCCACGTTATAAAGGCCCCAATAATCGGGATGGTACGTAACATAGTACCACGCCGAGGCCCTAGCGTTAATCCCGTCCTCGTCTTCATCGTCACTCGCTCTCTTAAACCATGTCCGAGCCTCGCTCCTCAATGACCTCACCGCCACCGCAACCGCCTCCGCGTCCCGCCTCCGGTCGAAACTCTTTGACATTTTCATCACGCTCCCGCTCAGAATTTCCGCCTCTGTCTTTATCCCGTAGTACTCCATGAAGTTTCCGAGCTTGTAGTCGTACTCCTCCTTCCACTCGAACGCCTCGTCGATATACTCCTCGAACCCGTCGACTTCCATGTCGGGATCGTACGATCTCCTCGCCACTTCCTTCGTGAAGGACCGGAGCGCGTGCGGCGGGATGTCTTTCACCGCCCGGAATAGCTTCCCGATCACGCGCGTCGAATCGTACGTCGACTTGTCGAGCTTTTCCATGAAGTCCGGGTAGTCTTTGACACGTAGGTGCGGCGGGATTTCTGCCGGGACTCCGGTTTTCGGAAAGTCGACAGCTACCGAGAATAATCTCGCAAGTTCTAGGCATGGCTTGCTCTCCGCCATGGATACCTCTCTATCAGCAAAGACTGTATGAGCATTTGCTATGATCCCTAATGTGTCGTTCACTATGTAGTTTGTGAAGTATTCTTCGACTTCCTGCGGTCGAAAATGCGTCGAAAATGTTACGAACCGAATTCGATGCAAAAGAGTGTTTATTTATATACTACTCCCTCCGTCATGTAAATTTATACTCATTTGGCCAGACACAAATTTTAAGAAAAATTGATAAAAATAGAAACTTTTTGTTTCGATTGTAAAGAAAAAGTAAAAAAAGTGATATTTTTTTTACTGAAAAAAATAACGAGAATAAATTTGAATGACAGAAAGAGTATTTAAACTCTGCATTTTCCAAAAAAATACGATCGAGGCATACCTCTATCGTCACATTGTGATCGAGCACGGTGTTCGGGGCCGGGTTGTAGTCCATCGGCGGGACTTGCTTCGGCGGGATTAAGTCGGAGTCCCAAGAAACGAAGTATATGTCGCCATCCAAGTCGCTCCCGGAACATTCGTTAGGATGAGGCCTGCGATCACAACCGGTTACCCTTCGAGATGACGGAAAAAAAAAAAACACGGCAAGAATCTTCTAGAAGCTCGATCGAAAACTTTACCTCGGTCCCTTACTCGGGAAAACGATGCAATCCACCATATGATGCAACGCTTTAACGTCGATCGCCTTTAAAACACGAACATCTCCCGGGTGCAAGCACGGGTTCTTCGCGACGACAACGTCCCCTTCGATCGTGTATCGACACTCGCTCGAACCGTAGGTCGACGCACCGTCAAAACTTCTCCTCGCCCCCGAAAACTGCACAAACACCTGCCCGTAGTTCAAGATCCCGGTTTCGTCAAGACATCCCATCATCTGTCGAGCTTCGGGGACGAACACTCGCGCCTTCATGCGCAAATCCAGCAACTTGGACGCGCGGAACGTCTGTAGCATCATCGAAAGGAACGGCTCGACGTTCGGCTTGTAGCCGCACTTGAGCAACTCCTTCAAAATATTCGTGGTTTCCCCCGGCGACATTAAATCCAACACTTCCTCGGCTCTCACCGGATTGACGAGAATCTCGTCGAGCTGGGCCACCGCATCCCGTTGCTTCCTTTCAAAAATGCTATCCCGGACTCCGAGCGTCGACAGCAGCGTTATAATCTGTCGATTTAAGAAACACGGCTGGTATTTGCTCCACGCCAACACGTCTAGTTTCGTATTATCTGATTCGTACTTCAGCATGCTCGGCCTCAGAGAAAGTTTCGCCGACGAATCAGGATCGACAGCCACGACCCCTTTATAGCCGCCGTACCTGATCTGAAACGCCGACGGAACTGAGCCGTTAACCCCGCATTTTGCCGCGACCCGCCGCGCGAATGCAGCGGATATCTTCCCGATGCCGTCGGAGAAGACGTATTTGGTCCTACCCCGATTCGTCACAATATCGGGAATCCGTTCGACCTCGTAATCGGGAACGGTCAAGGTTTCCGTCGACGAACTGAAGGACTGACCGAGTCGAGCTGCGTACTTAGCCACGTTTCGTATCGAACGGAAGTCGCCCATCCACTGCCGGATAACATACGCATCGACGTCATTCGTCGAAGCGAACATCCAGAGAGAGTTCTCGCGAAGCTGACTCGACGAAAACGCAAGAAAATCGAACTTCTTGTCCCCAATCGTAATCCCTTCGCGGAGAATAGACAGCACCCTTTCGTAAAGCTTCGTCCTTTTAACCCCGCCGGCTTCAACGACCCTCGGCGACAAATCCGTCGAGTACATCTTCTCCCACTCCTCGTCCACAAATGAAACGCGGAGGAAATTATCGTTGTACTGATTAAAGTGGCGCAAAACTCTGTTCGACACATTCACCTCCGGACCCATGAAATAAACTCTCGTCGGCGTAACTTGAACCCGGTGCACGTACACCAGCCCGTTGTCTAACCTAACAGTCGACGGTTTCAGATGCTCCTGCCCCCGGCTGTATTTCCCGTACTCCTGAATAAGCCACGAAACGGGATCGTAACAACATTCCTTCATGTAATAAAGCTTATCCAGAGCGTGCTCGACGAATCTGATATCGTATCTCTGCGGATTGACGAGGCTGAAGAATCGCCCGTCGAGCTTGAGACCGGGAAGGCATCCAGTCTGCACCAAATAGCAAACCTTGAACAGCACTTTGTAAGGCAATTTGGATCCCCGGGGAGGTTGTACGATCGGGACGAGAGGCAAGTTTCGACAAAACGGGATACCGTTCTCCAATCTGAACGTGGTTTCTTTCTCGCTGTAGTAAACGAAATTGTCTTTGAACCTCGGAAGCTGCACGTTGTAAGGAAGCTTAAGACAGAGTCCCGAGGATTGCCCGATGCACGATGATGGAGTGAAGTCGGTCGTTCTGATCCATTGATCATCGGGCGTCTCCTTAAAAAAGCTGTAGATAGATTCGTTTTCTCCGACCTTCTTGTAGATCCGGGGCGCGCCGTACAACTTAATCATATGAAAACACAAAAACGTACATTTTAGTTTCGAACGATAGATTATTCATAAGCAAGGTGAGATCGATTGCTCGATGCTCATACAATCAAGATTGCAAATAAACAAAGCAAGATTTCGATCCCAAGTCGACTCCATAAAAAGGAAAAAGAATCATTTTTGCAGCAAGATGTAACAATGTGATAAATGTTTTAAGGTGAAGTGTCAGGAATTTACGGTAGTCGACAAACTTATCTATGTTCAAGAACTATTCGATAATTCCGTTGTCATTATTGCAAGCAAACCGAATGTTCCATATGTTCCGAGGTTAAAGATGGAAAGACAAGATCTACGTCTGAAAGCAATGACGTAGTAGTCGGAATTTACACATCCAAAATATTTCACACATGCGTAAACTATTCGATAATTCCACTATCATTACTGCAAACAAACCGAATGTTCCAAATGTACCAAGTTTAAAGATGGAAACGACAAGATCTACGTCTGAGAGCGATAACATACAAGTTGAAATTTCCAAGTCCAAAATATTTCACACGTGCATAAACTATTCGATAAATTCCACTTGTCATTATTGAAAACAAATGGAATGTTCCAAATGTGCGAAGTTAAAAGATGGAAAAGACAAGATCTACGTCTGAAGGCGATAACATACAAGTCGGAATTTCCATGTCCAAAATTATTCACACGTGCGTAAACTATTCGATAATTCCACTTGTCATTACTGAAAACAAACGAATGTTCCAATTATGCCAAGTTTAAAGATGGAAACGACAAAATCTAGTCTTAGAGCAATGACATACTAGTTGAAATTTCGATGTCTAAAATATTTCACACGTGCATAAATCGCAGAAAACGAAACATTAAGATAAGAAATTTCGATGTCAAAAATTGTACCTGTATTAGAAGAAACCTTGAAGTAAGACCGAGTTGATGATAAAGCACAATCTGCCAAATATTTTCGTAGGAGAGCTGAAGCCTGTAATGGACCGAATCATGCGACAAAAAGAAGTGCATTTTCTTCATCCCGATTCCAAATTTAACAGATACATTCTCGGCTTTCCACAGCACCATGAACTTGTCGCTCGATACCTGACATCCAGAATTCAAAGTTACATTCTCCATTTCATACAAATGCAACCTTACATGATGCACTATATCCATGTCCGATTCCCAAGCTCGCAAATAAGAACTCCCGTAATACAGGCCGCTGCTCGCCATATCGATAATCTTCTGAGCATACGCACTGCTCGTAAACTGGACTCTGGCGTAAACCCTTCCACCTTTCTTCGACGGCTTTACCTCTAAAGCAACTACACTTCCCTGACCCAATCGTTGCTCCAACAATCGTTTAACTACATCGGCAGACACAAGATGAGGGAAACCGTGCAACTGGATCGTCGCCTTCGCCATTTCACTGTAGAATTGATCCATCCATTATTTCAATCAATAATCAATCGATGATATGATCATCAGCAACAGGGAAGCATTAAATCCAATGTAATTATGAAGAATTGAAAGCTTTGTACATTATAGTATTTGATAAGATTACTACAAGGAATAGGACTTTTTCGATATTTACATTAGGTATCAAGATAAGTAGATGTCTTAAACACCAAAACTTCTTAAAGCTATTTCTTGCAGAAGTTCATCCCTAATTCTCAAAGTTCTAATGATCATGATCATCAACACCAGGGAAGCTTTAAATCAAATGTAACTATGAAGAATCGAAAAGATTTGTACATTATAGTATTCGATAAGATAACTACACGGAATTGGAATATTTCGACATTTACATTAGGTATCAAGAGAAGTAAACTGCAAAAATGCCCTAACAGTAATTCACTGTTCTTAAAGCTATTTCAATTCTGATTATCATTTCTTGCAGAAATTCATCCCCAATTCTGAAAATTCTTTCAGTGATCGATCAAGCATTCTCTTGAATAACTTACTTCCTACTAAAGATCTAAACAAACAATATTCCTATCATTAATTCCATTTTAGTTATAAATCACGAGGCGCAGATATAAATGTCAGAAAAATGGAATGATCTTTAACAAAATTAAAAGAAGCACATACTAGAAAATTCTAAGATATTCGCAAGCATCGATAAACCGTATCTAGAAAACAGAGAATTACCGATAGCTTCAGACGAACAAACGAACTTCAAAGCAACAAAGTTAATGAAATCAATCCATCTCTCAGTCACTCAGAGTCACGTTTAAAAAGAAAAGGCTGGAACAGCGAGTGATGAGTAAGAGAGAGAGAGTGTGTGTATGTTTAGCTTCGGGAGGAAGGAAGGGTGGGCGACGACCGAATGTGTGTTTATAGGTCAAGTCAAGCACTAATAAATAAATAAAGTAATAATCGGCGAAGAAAAGGACTGAGTGAGAATCACGAGTTGGATGAACGGTGAAGCTTTTCTGGCTATGGCTATGGTGACGTTATTGCGTTGCTCTTTAGTTACAGTGACAGTGACGAGTGAGTGAGTGTGATGTACGACCGGCGGAATTCCAGGAAACGTACAGCCCCACCTAAACCTATCCTTTGTGTTTTAATGTAGCAAGAGCCGTCAAAATACGTGGATTGGATTGTGATTTTGTAAATTCGTTAAAATACGGGTTTAGACGGGCTAACTTAGTAGGCCGTGGGTTGAAAGTGGATTAGCCCGCAGTGATGAGGATTATAATAATAATAATGCTTTAGTCAATTTTATAATAATAGTTATACGAACGACCAGTGGAAGCATGATTTTTTTTTTTTTTTTTTTTTTACTTAATCTCTTACTTTTAGGTTTCTCTGGTGCACTATTGCAATTCGATACAAATATATTATTGAAAAAGCCTTCAGCATAACGGCAGATTTAAAGGAAAAAACTTCAACATATCGGTGGATTCAAATTTTAAAATATTTTGCTTTCATTATTTGAAAAAAGTTGACTTCATATTTGACAAAAATAATGTGGCAATTTCAAGCCGATATTACTCCCTCCACTACGAAAAAAATTAGTGCATTTTTTTACGAGGGAGGGAGTAATATATTTTTGAGCTGGGTCGGGCCATTTTAAAATTCAAGCCCGATAGGCCCAGCTTGATTTTGGATTGGGCTTGAAAACCGAAACACAGTTATGGCCCAGTTTCAAATTATAACGGGCCAAGCCACACCCAGATTTTGGTCGTCCAATCATCCGGCCACTCCCTCTCGTATGCATCTAAAAAGATTTAAATAGATATTAGTATATATGTATAGAAACAACAAAATAATATTAAAATCACTTACATTGGATTTGAAATCGAGATCGAAGAATCTTTGCGGATCCCCTCGTCTCCACATAAGCTGTACCTATAAATTAAAAACACTTAAAAATAAGTTAGTATAAAATATAAAAATAAAATTAATGCATGCATGTCCCGGGACGTAAAAATAAATCTATTTCTATTTGCATAATGCTAAAATTAAATTAAATGCATAAATATAAATGGAAAGGATGAATTACTCCCTATGATGTATTCGGTCGTCCAATCATCTGGCCACTCCCTCTCGTATGCATTTAAAAAGATTTATTGGTTGAATTTTCTATTTGTGCCTTCAAAATAATTACATCTAATTATATTAATTAATTACATATACTAACTTTTAAGACGAAAATTGCACTCTAACTTCACTCACTATTCAATCATTTATTATTTTTTATTCCTTAATAGGTCATTTCCAGTTATGAAATATTTGAAATATTTAATTACGCGGTGATCTATTTTTATATATTAAATTATTTTTTAATATAATATAAAAATAAAAATATACTCCCGCCTTTCTCCATTATAATGTATGTTTATTTTTGCTGTGAAATATAAAAAATAATATAATAATATTTTAATTGTTGTGAATAATTGAAAATAGTTTAAAAATAATATTAACGATGTGGTAGTACAATAAACGTATTTGAAACAAAAAATTGGATTGATAGTTATAAAAAAAATGTATACGTTAACTGAGATATTTTATATATTAAGGTGATACTAAAAGAATATTTATTTGTATTTTTAATTTGAGATTTTTTTTTTATATTAGCTATTAGAAGTATGTTGACAATATAAAAAATAATGTATTATGCATATTTACAAAAAAATAAAATTCAATTTGACAATGAAGAGAATGTTATTAAGAATTGTGATTAAGATTTTGTAAGAATAAATAAATCCATAACTCATATATCATACTCCCTCCATCCCTTAACAATCTATCCATTTTTCCATTTTCGTCCGTCCCTTAACAATCTATCCATTTCATTTTTTAGTAACTACCTAATATTACAAATACCCTTCCAATTTACAATATATTACACAAATGTTATTACCTATATATTATACAATACTAATAAGGGCAATTCAGTCTTTTTACTTTTACTTTTACTACATTCCAATATAATACTAATATTTCTAAAATTTCATGCAAAAAGTAAATGGACATATAGATATGGGACGGAGGGAGTATTTATTACTATCAATAACTAAATTTAGTTTTAAGTTTTATTTTTCATATTTACTTTTGGAATAATTTTATATAAAATATTATTCCTTCCGTCTCAGATACCATGTCCATGTTACCGTTTCTATCCGTCCCACGTATCATGTCACTTTCCTTTCTTGAAAAATGATTACACACTTTAATTTCATTTTAAATTTTTTAATTTAATTTTTTTTTTAAATTTTAATTAAACTAATTAGTTATCTTAATCTTAATTTATAATTATTTATATTATAGGATAATTATTTTCACTAATACATTATTAATTATCTACTAATTACACCCTCCTAAAATACAATCTGTACAGTGTAGCAGACCCGGTATCTGAGACGGAGGGAGTATTATATTATTACTGCTTTACGCTTTACTAATAATACAATACTTTTTTAAAAAAAAAAAATAACTTCAAAATATAAAAGGCAAGAGAGAAAGAAGGCGGGTGTCGACGACGTGAATGGAGGAGGAAAGGCTTGGTGTTGGTTTTTAAGGATGAGCATTTCAGAATGAATTTGTTTGGGGATGAGAGAGTGAGGGAGGGGTTTCTAGAGAGAGAGAGAGGGAAGCTTCGTTGATTATGGCTTTCAAAAAAGGAAATTATTACTGTTGCTCATTCATATATGTCTTTTGCAACTACGTATGTGTATATATATATACATGGGCATGGAGGCTGTATATTTTGTCATCATCCGACTAAATTAATATAGTGTTGATTTAACTTAGTCAATGGTGATCTAAATATATGTTATCTTATAATATAATATATATTGTATAATAAATATATTAAAATATGTATAAATATATATTGGTCACTCTTATACTATATACTGATACAGTCAGATTAAAATAATGTTGACTTGAGCAGATCAGCATATATTGTACATATAATCAACATATATTTATACATAGTTCAATATTTTTATAATACATCGTATATTATATTATAATTCAGTGTATATTATATTATAACTCAATCTATGTTGTACCATGAATAAATACATATTGATTATGTGTATGATATCTGCTAATTCATTCAAATCATTGCTGACTTGACCGACGACCATATATATATATATATGTGTGGGATCAGACGATGAATCTAATTATTCAACTCATATGCTGAACACATAGAAGTTTATTATTTTATTTTATATAATTAAATTTTGTTATTAATATATATATATATATATATGGGGGGCGATTGTGCAACTAATAATACTTCCCTTATCCCATAAGAAGGTTTTTATTTTTTATTTTTGTTCGTTTCAAAATAATAATATCATTTCTCAATATAGTAATTGTACTACTTATCTAACATAATAAATATTCTTACAAGTTTCAATATATTATACAAATGTCATTACTTTTTTAATTATACTATACTAATATCGGTATTTTTGTCTTTATCACTACAACTCAATATATATTCAAAAAATAAAAAGTAAATGCTACTATTTTATCGGGACAGAGGTAGTATACTCCCTCCGTCCGGCTAGAAAGTATACATGTTTCTATTTTGGGACGTCCAATTACAAAGTAAATATTTCATTAAATACCTTACTTTTTTCCACAAATACCCCTACTTTACATCACATCATTACTTTTACACAAAAAAACAAGGGCAAAAATGTCATTACATTATTTTTAACTACCTACTATAATTAAAATACTATTATTTCTTAAACACCGCGCCAAAAGTAATTGTATACCTTTTTTTTTGTGGACGGAGGGAGTATATGTTATTCCTTTGGAGTGATATCCTGAAATTTTAGATGTGGCAATTTTGGGCGCAGCCGGGTTGGCTCGGCCAAGCCGGTTTAAATCATGTCAGATTGGACTATCCCAAATATTTTTTATTATTATTATCATTAATAAATAAATTCTATTAGTTTAATAGAAACTAGTATGAAAACATACATTTTTTTATGTTTCCAATTCTTTTTTTTTTTTTTTTCTCTCCCCATGTGGTGGAGGAAAAAAATTGGAAGACATCTTGCATTGTTATTCTATAAGCACGTCTTTCAATAATTTTATTTTACTTTTTTATGTAGGGCATGAGATTCATTTAATTCTTTAAAGTTGTGCTTATTATATTGGATTGGGATGAATAATATTACTTTATTCATCTTAATCCAATATTTATTTTAAAGCATTCAGTAGTCATTAATAAAATTAATAATATGCTTGAACACCCTCATATTAATTTATTCATTTAACAAAATATTCAAATTGCCTTCCATTTCTCTCTCTCTCTTTTTTTTTTTTTTTTTTTTCTGTTTTTTTTTTTTTTTTTTTTTTTTTTTTTTTTCTTTCTGAAACATATTTGCCCAAATACTTGTAAAAATTTATTTTAATAAACATTATAGCTAGAAAATATTAGAAATAGTAATAACATTTTTTTTTAATATTTATTTAAAATTTGTCTTAATATTTTAACATTATTAATCAATGAATTAATGATATATTGATAAAAATTAATTTATATACAGAGTTTGTTCATTTAGTATTTATAGGTGAAACAATTTCCCATAAATATTACTATTTCTGTACAGTTAGATAGTATATATTTATTTTTGGCACTTTAAAATATAATACTCCCTCCATTCCACATATTATGTCTACGTTGTCGTTTCTGTCCGTCCCACATACCATGTCACTTTCCTTTTTTGGAAAATGATTACACACTTTAATCTCATTTTAAACTTTTTATTTTTTTTTAAATTTAATTAAACTAATTAGTTATCTTAATCTTAATTTTATAATTATTTATATTATCGGATAATTATTATCACTAATATATTCTCAATTATCTACTAATTACACCCCTCCTAAAATACCGTATTTACAGTGTAGCAGACACGATATCTGGGACGGAGGGAGTATTATATTATTATTGTTTTATGTTTTACTAATAATACAATATTTTTTTTTAAAAAAAATAACACTAAAAAATATGTTAGTATAAAATTAATAAAAAAATTAATGCATGCATGCAAGTCCCGGGACATAAAAATAATCCTAACTCTATATGCTGCAATATGATAAAATAAATGCAATGCGTAAATGTAAAAGAGAAGAGTACGAAAAACTCCCTATTTTGTTTTCGGTAGTCCGCTCATTCGACCGCTCCCTCCGGTATGCATCTAAAATGATTTAAAATAGACAATAATATTAAAATCACTTATATTTCAATTGGTAGAATACAAAGATTTATTCCTTGTAATTATCTCTTTTATTTTTCATATCAAAAAATACTTATTCAAATTATCTCAGAAAACAATAAAACAGACCTGATCTAATTTGCAAATTATTGAAAATTTACCAAAAAGTCAATTAAAAAGAAACACGAGAAGATATATATTCGAATGCATTCACAACATCAATCAAACAGACAAACAAAGATATTCATAGGCAAAATCAATTAGGTTTTAGACAGCCACAAAAACTAATATCTATCTATCGATCGAGATTACACAAATGGTTTAGGAAAGAAGTACAAACAAAATAATCTTTTCTTCTATCTCTATCTCATACAAAACAAACAGTCTGCACTCATCTCGTCATCACAAAATTCAGATCCACTCAATAATGATAATGGCTGTTTTCTTGATTGGACAGCGACAATGAATAATATATATATATATATAATCGACACTCCAATCAAGAATCAAGAATCAAGAATCAAAAATCAAAAATCAAAATCACATTAATTACCAAATTAGGCCCTGCCTGGGGCTTATAACCACGGCTTCCGAATGCGCTGCTTCTTGGCCTCGCAAGATTTGCTGCAGTTCCTGGATTTAATCCACCACGCCGCCGATTATGGACGCCTGCTCGCCGCCCTAATCACCATCTGATAATCCCCAAAATACCGAAATTAAACCTCGTAAACCCTAAATTAGTTAATTAATTAAATACTTACTCGCTTGACGGCATGAGAGAACGAAAGGCGGCGAGATGGTCGTTCAGTTGCTTCCACCGCGCACTTGCTCCCAAGCACCGACCACACCACGCAAGAAAATTAAACCAAAAGAATTGGATAAAATAAAATATTAAACCAAATATTTAAAGGAATTGTGATATGACCGTTAGTTAATATAAGGTAATATTACCATATTTATTATATTTTAAAATTATTAAATATATATTTTCAGTTATATATATTTATTTTATTTTATTTTATAATTTACCACTACTATAATTCAATTCAATTTTGTTTTCTTTGAAAAAAAGACTTATTCTAACTTAGCATATTTAAATAAATAAATGTAATCAAACATTATATTAATTCTCTTTGTCTATCTTATTTATTACTATACATTGGTTGAATTTTATATTTGTACCTTAAAAATAATTACATAGAATTATAGTATTAATTAATTACATAGATTAATATTATTAACTTACATAAGTATAAGTATGAAAATTGCACTCTAACTTCACTGTTCAATGATTTATTTAGTATTTATTTATTTTTTTTAATATTATCCTCGGGTCATTTAGTATATATATCTCATTCCATTTATATTCATATTCATATAATAAATAATATGAATATAGATAATATGAAATAAAAAGAAAGTAACTGATCCAACGGTGGATGAAAAAAAAAAAAAGAAATAGAAAAATAAATTATATAAATAATTTTTTTATAATTGTCCAACCAACCACCAACTGATTTAAAAAACTTTATTTTTTATTTTTGTGTAAAATAATGAAAGAAGTGGGAGATCCAATTGATTGAAAAATAAAGAGAATCAATTATATATATCATTTTGTAAAGAATAATTTTTTAATAAAAAAAAAATATATCCAAAGAAAAATAATTTTTTTAAAAAAAAATTTGTATGTTGCACAAATATTAAAAAAAAAAAAGAAAGATATTTATATAATTGATTATATTTCTTTCTCTCATCTTTCTATGCCAACCGACTGGACGGTTCTCCTCATTCTCATCCGACCAATTCAGTATATATATCATTTTGTACGTACCGGTAATATTGTGGGCAAGTATGGCTAAATTTTTCAATAAAGCCCACGTTGTCAGCTATACTGAAGATATTGAGTGTTCTTTTGAGCGTTGTGTTTTTCCAACTCCATTTGCTATTTTGTAATGATTTACTTGTACAAAATATATTGATATGGATAACATTTCGTAGATTATAACGTTTTCTGATACAATAACTTAGTTACAATATTCTAATAAGTTATACAATCACTTAATTTTTAGAAGTATAAGATGACACCGTACAAATTTTAAAGCATAATAGAATTTAAACTGAATATCGAAATTGTCAAAAAATTATGGACAATTTTACCTAAATATAATAACAAAATTAAAAAACAAAATTTATACTTATTTTTATTTGTTCTATATGAATAATTTGATATGCATATTGTTGATGCAATTTTTCAACAATTAAAAGTAAAATCCGAAAATAGGAAATTATCTCCAAATTTGATATAATTAGTACCTGAGATTAGAAATCTCATAGGATACATAAATAACATATTGTTAATTTTAATCTACTGAAAAGATATATTTTTAGTTAAGACGAATAAAATTAGCTTAAATAAATTAATCAATATTGTCTACACGTTGTTTTTATTTTATAACTCTGTTATCAATGTCACTCTTATTTATTTCGATTTTTTATCATTTGTTTTATTCGTTTTCCATGTTATTTTTTTATAATATTTTTTATTCTAGAATCTACAAATTCATAAAATTAATTAAGATTTATTTGTAAAATATTTTTTATTATTAATTTTTTTAAAATACACTAACTAATAATATTTAGAATTGAGAATTTTTTATATTTTTTATTTATTTTAAAATATTTATTATTTTAAATTCTACAATAAAACTATTTTTAGCTATTTTTAAATATTAATTACGAAAATATTTATAATATTAATATTTTTAAAAAGCTCGTGGACTAGCCCGCTTAACTCGCCATCGGCCGGTGGGTTGGGTTGGGTTGATGAAATTTTGATCCGCCCCGCCGCGAGTTGACCCGCAAACAACCCGCTTCTTTGCGGGTAATTGTAGGTTGTAAGTCAATCCGCCCCGGTAACCCGTTTTGGCAGGTCTAAATGTAGTACTTGAAATAAAAATAAATTTCTACGGTTATTGAAAATTTCAAACGATTTTTTATAGGATTTTTTTACAAATAATAATACTTCCTTCGTCTCATAACTAGCTATCCCTTTGTTTTTTGCATGTAATTTAGAAATATTAGTATTATATTGAGATGTAGTAGGAATAAAGTAAAAATGGCTAGAATAACCTTATTAGTATGGTGTGATATAAAAGTAATAGTATTTGTGTAATATATTGTAAGTTGTAAGGATATTTGTAAAGTTAAATAGATAGTATTTGTAAGAAAAGTGATATTTTTTCATTAAAAAACAAAAAAAAAAAAAAAAAAAAAGAAAAAGAATAAATTTAAATGAAGGAGGAGCGAAAGAATATATTTTTTGTTAGATTTATCCAAACCTCACACACAATTTTAGACCGAGGATCTCTTCCCATATATTAGGTGGAAGATTTTCTTTCATTAATTTGATTCGATCAATATATGTAATAATATATATACTATCTTCGTTCACTCTAAGGTTACTTTTTGCATATTGATTTTGAATATTAATTATTATATCAAAATATAATACAAATTTTAAAAAAAATTACAAAAATACTTCTATTATTGTCTTATAATCCTATTTTTTTAGTAAATATTTACTATTTTTTTAGGCTAAATATATAAAAAATAAATATATTTATAATTTTAGGGATTTAGAAATTGAGATTGTAATATTTATTCGCAGTTTGAGCGCATTTAGGTCAAATACCGTTAAATAAGGACCGTTGAGGGGGTTAGATGCAAAGTTTATAAAACCACGAGGGAGTTTGACGCATTTTAGAAATACAAAAAATTTGGTGCAATTTCATAAAATCAAATTGGATTTTGTACAATTTAGCCTTTATATATATTAAATATCAAAGCTCATAATTAGTTTTATCTCACACTTTATTAATTTTCAAATTTCTTTTATAAAAGCATATAAATAATCATACTCACATATTCCATTTATGCAATTATTGAAACTCGAATGTAAGGTGTAAGAATTCATTTTAGAAATAACCTCAACCCAAACACACCCTATGAGCTTACAAATAAGCTTTTTGACTACATACATGCTTTAAAAAAAGATTTGCCCTATTTATTGAAATATTTTATATTAATTATTTTTTATTTTAAAAATATTATTACATATGTGGACATGCTATATATGAAATGGATGGAGTATCTCATTTGCTTCCTTTCTCTTTTTTTTTTTAAAAAATTCTCAAAGCTTCAAAAGCTAAGCCACTCTAAAAAACAGGCCTAAAAAATTGAATGAAAATATTCTATAATATAATACAAATAAATATTTAATCTAATATAAACAAGTGTACATGTTGTATTTAAATTTAAAAAAAAATATATATATTTTTTATAATATCTTTAACAAAAACCATAGCTTAAAGAAACACAGCAATGTGGAAATACCTTGTGCAAAACTCTCAGCAAATGGAACAAGAAACTGCACCACAGAGAGCTAAAACAAAGGCTATGTAAAAGAGCTTAAGGCATGTAATAAAAACCTCAGAAAATTACCCGTTGCATTGTCGTCGATGGATCGATCATTCCTTCTCCGGGACCAACGTTCTGTATTCCTTTTCTGTTATCGATCTGATGCCGTGGGGGTCAGCTTCGACGTCTTCCATCCCTTCCTTTGCAGGGTAGCCGAGCTGCCGTGCCTGCAGCCATTGGTCGATTACGCCGCAGTTGAGAGCATAGTTTACCGTATGTTCCAAGTAGCCTTTGTCGGATAAAAGGTGCGGCTGAACCGACAGCATTCTCATTAGACCTGAGAATGTAAGAAAAAACACAAAGAAAAACTACGTTCAGCTGGCAAAGATACCGAGAGCGAAAAATGTAATAAACTAGTTTAAATAGTGACGCGGTGTCGAAAGATCGATGTTCAAAACAGAAATGGTGATTATAATCGGGACAGATGACGGGGGATGTGGATGAAATTCAATTCGACACCCTATAAGTACCGGAAAATGCATATGTTACATTAAGTAGATGTGATACAAAGTAGATAGACTCAAATAATAACTATCTAATGTAAGGAAATATAACCATAAAATAACTAACTAATCTAATGAACATAACTAAATAATACTCCCTTCATGTCTGAGCTAAGTATGCTACAATGCCGGACACGGAGACTAAAAAATAATAATATTTTATTGGCAAAGTGGGACAAGTAAAAAATAAGTAAGGATATTATAAAAAAATAATAAAAAATTTAATAATAAAGTAGTGGGGCAAGTAGAAGAGGTAGTAGTCGGTTATTATGAGCTAAACTAGGGGTAAGGAAATTGTGGTAAGATAAAATGGTTAATTATATAAATAAATTGTACATAAGTTTAGCAGATGACCAAAAAAGAAAATGCGGCATAATTATCCGGACGAAATGAGTAACTACTTAATCTAAAGAATCATAACAAAATATATTAAATTTCTTAGCACCTTCCTTCAAATTCAAGTGGTATCGTAGACAAACTTAAATTTGCCGGGAAATATTGGAAATGAGGCAGCTAGAATCGTCTAATGAGTTAGAATTAGAAGCAAAACTCTCAATGGAATTAAAGTATAAATGCTCGAAAAAGTTAGAGTCGAAAGCAAAAATCTCAATAGAGTTGACTAAGAAACATGGCATTCAATGCATTAGAATTAGAAACGGGACTCTCACTGCTCAAATGATGCTTCCTAATATAATGAATATAAGCAAAGAATAACACCTGATTGAAAGAACCATAACAAAATATATAAAACCTCTCATCAGTCATCAGCATATATATATATGGATATGAATATCGTCAAAACATTATCAGACATCAGATTGCTGAGAAAATCGAGGTTGTCTAGAAGAATAGAGTTACCTGCAACGATACCATCTCCAGACGCAGACATGTCCGAGGTATAAGGCGTGATAGGCGCATCCTCCATTCCATTGACTGCGCCGTCATGTTCCTTAGTGTAGTAATGTATTTTCGAAGTTCCATTTGTTATGAAGAAGATCTTGAGATTGTCATGCCAGAGCTTAGAAACCACATCGGGCGCATAATGAATGAATTTGGATTTACGATTGTCTTTGGTATCAAAATCATCCTCTGGTGTTATTCCACTAAGAAATTCGAACTCTTGCTTGGTGACCTCTATAATGTCAGAGAGATTCCAGGCTGTACGAATGAACGCCTTGGTTTCTTCACTCGATTGCCAGAGTGGCATCGGAAGGTTGAGATCGTAAAACACAACATTTCCTAGCTTTTTTGCAATTTTGATAGCTCGAAGCAAGGTTGATCTCATATTAGGGTCGAGAAGGCTGAATGTGTTGAAGTAAAACATTTCTGCCTGAAATGAATGTCGGAAAAAAAAATTATCGATCAGATAAAGTATACATGAATCAAATTGACTGAACCATAGCTTCTTTTGAATCATCATATAGAGCTAAAGATAGGTTCGACATTTTATTTCTTTTAACAGCAAAGAAGCCATGAAAATGGTTATGTGTTTATGGAACAATTACACAATAAACGAATCAATTATTAAGTAACACAACAAATTATCAATCAGCTAAAGTATATAGTAATAAAATTGACCGAATCATGGTTTCTTTTGAATGATCATATTGAGCTAAAGATAGATTCGACATTTTTTGTTTCTTTTAACAGCAAAGAAGCCATGAAAATTGTTATGTCGTTTATGGAAACACCAAACTATGAACGAATCCGTTATATATATATCAGCTAAAATATACAGAAGTAAAATTGACCGAATAGTGGCTTCTTTGAATGATCATATAAAGCTAAAGATAGGTTCAACATTTTGTTTCGTTCAACGGAAAATAAGCCATGAAAATTGTTATGTGTTTATGGCAACATCAAACTATGAAAGAATCCCGTCATATAAATCAAGTGAATTTAAGCATAATAATCGAAACACTTCCAGAAAGGAACTAATCCCGAAGATAATTAAGATCACTGACCTCTTTCAACACATCAATGTTGATTTCCGACTTCGAGAGACAATCTTCTGCACACGGTTTGACAGCAGTCATCTTCAGGCCACCCCTCTTGCTGATTTTCATCATTGATATAGCCGTTGACCTTTTATCATCAATCCGTACTGATCTTGTCTGAACTTTGTTGATGTTCAAGAAATAGAGCAAGGAATCACCAAAATCATCGTCTCCAAGTTTCCCCATGAAGGCAACTTTACCTCCCAAACTTGCGAGAGCTACCGCAACATTACTCGCACATCCTCCAGGAGACCTTACGAATTTCTCAGGCTCCCACAGAACATCTTTCATCCGCTCATGAATTTCGTAGTCAATAATTCTGTTTGCACGTCGTCCTGCCGGTATAAAAGCATGCTGCGCTGCACCGAAACAGCAAACCAGAGGCGGCCATCCATACGTGTAGCTTATATCCTCTCCTTCGTCTATATCAATCTCTAGCTCTTCTTCACTGTCTTCATCCATGGGAAGATCAAATCCACCCCCCTCCCAGTCACTAACTTCTGCTTCACTACCGTGACTTTCCATATCATCTACTTTTTTCTTAGATCTTCGTCGTCTTGTAACCTTTTCTGTCGTTTCTCCTTCCACGGCCTCAGATGTTGATGAAGCTGCATCAGATCAAAATGTAAGCCAAAAAAAATGGAATTCCATACAAATAATTTAAATTTTGCAAACATCCTCTGCTGATTTCAGCAATTAAACCTTTTTTTCGAGTTCTGGTTCGTGTTTTTTTTGGAGTTTCTGTGGAGCTTGAACTCAATGAAATTTCATCGCCTCCACCATTACCATTGGCTGCAGAACTTTCACCTGGAATCTCAGGTGCCTTTTTCTTGGTTCTTGAAGAAGCTCGTTTACTTGTTCTACCAGATTTCTTCGCTGCACTTCCTTCTTCCTCATTTGACACATCCTCACCTAACGAATCGGACGTTTTCTTTCTCGAAACCGCCATTACCACATGCTTATTTGCTCTGCAATCCTGAATTCCCACAAAATTCGTATATGGAAAGGTATTCCTATTCAAGCTCCATCCCCATAACCTACCAATACAGATAAGAACAACCAAATATCAATGCTCTATTGATTAAAAAAACACTTCATCAGACCAAAATTAGTAAATAATAAATCGAATTATTCCGAACATTATGGAGTTTGTCTTGCTTGCAATTTGGATAGAGAGGATTAACGAAAGCAAACACAAGCACAAAAATCCAGAATTCCCGAAACCAACCAAAAATGCTGAACAAATTACACGTTCAGTTTCTGCTCAGAGTGAACTGAAGCACAGCATAAAAACAATTGAATACAGCTCCCTAAAAATCTCAATCGGAGAAACAGGATTAAAAAATCCGAACCTGTGCATCACTGGAAACTGCGTGAAAGACACTGAAGCCATTGCATAGAGATTCTGCAAAACCCCCAACTGTAGAAATGGGGTTTTAGCGGACGCAGTGAAGAATTATTGAAGAACAACAGATAATTTTGACTTACTCCATTAATGTTTTTAGCAGCTTTAAACTTACTGAAATGACAAAGGTACCCTTTATCCTAAGCTTGTATGTATCCAGAAGCCCATTATTATATATTGGGCTTTTGGGCCTAATTCGGCCCGTTTTATTGTAGGGCGGTTCAGAGATGTGTTTACCTATGCTTTGATGTTTTAGAATATTTGAATAAAAAAGGATTTAATGTAAAATATTTTTAAAATTTGATGTGTCAAAAAAAAAAAAATTATTAAATATGATATTTTATTATAAATTGTATAGTATAAAAATAAGATTGAAATTAGAATATTGATTTTTAGAGGTTTTTTAAATTTAAAAAGTTTGTAAAAAAGTAAAAAATTAGTATTTGATTTGATATTTTTTTTAAAAAAAAAATTGATAAGATGTTTTTTAAAAAATAATACCATATCAAATGAATGAAAATTGGTAAAACAAACAAACCTTTATTATAAATTTGTTTATATATATATATATATATAGTATCTTAATATAATATTTTTTTTTATAAAAAATAATAGTTAATAAGATAAAAGAAAATTTTAGAATAATTGAGTGTTAGTGGTTATAATATATTTGTAAATATTTGTAATATTGATATCAAGTTTGTTTTTATTATACAATTATTATTTTTATAAAAATATACTCCCTTCGTCCTCGAGAAATGAAGTCTTTTGTTAGGGACACTATATTTTAGGTAACTTAGATTATGAAATTATTAATAATTAGTTAAGATAATATTTTAGAATGTGTTTGTTTGGGGGATTTGTCCCAAAATCTACTATTCATCTAATTTTGTTCCAAAAAAAATATCAAATCAAATACTTATTTTTCATTTTTTATATTATACTAAAAATAATTTTATATTCAAAACATCACATCAATACCTATTTATATCATATCATATAATTATTCAAATTCAAATTTTTACTATTCAAATCCCAACTCAAAATCCAAACCCCCCAAACAAACACACCCTTAATATTATTTTTTATATGTGTAGTGTTATTGGTATTTAAATATTTTTAGAATTATATCTCAATAAAATATATGCAATATGAATATCATTTGGTAAAAAATACAAGTTTTATATAATACAAATGAATAAAAAAAATTTATTCATTTATTTATCATTGTCATAAATTAGTTTTATAAAGAGGTTTTGAGTGGGTCTCACATAAAAATGTTAAAAGTTTAATTAAATTGATTTATATTTGTTAGGTACGTTTAAAATTGATAAATTTACCAAAAATAGAAATGAGTCATCTTTTGTGGGTACCAAAAAAGAAATAGGATCATCTGTATTATTTTTTTATATAGAAAATATTATGTTCAAATCTCATTTCAAACCAAAAATTAATTAAAAATCAAAATTGCATATGAACTACACACTCTAGTTAAAAAAGGACTTTTCGAGACGTAAGTTTTTTTTAAGGAGTATGACATATTTTAAATATTTAGTTTTAAATTTAATAGATTTATATTTAAATTTGGTCTTATCCGTAGATTAAATTATTTAAATTTGAGTCTATCGAGTCTGTTTTATATTATTTAGGCCACAATTTCTAACATGAATAATATAAACTAAATGAAAAACCTACAAATGGGACCAAAAATTTCACCTTATTTTTAAATTTCAATCAATATATATATATATATATATAGAGCATAGTATTAATATGTTTGGCAGCACTATTAAATGAATTTAAGTGCTAGGTGTTTGAATAATGCATTCATATATGGAAAATTATTATTGCAATAATTTTAATTTAATGAAGCAAAGGCTGTAGCTATATATTGAATTTTTAATTTTTTGTTTGCACAGGAAATTGATTAATAAATTAAATGTGCTACTGTCAATTATTTAACCTTCGACAGGGTAAAATACTATTATTAGTTTCGTATTTATTTTATTTTAGTTATTATTATTATTTCAAAAATAATAATTTAAAATGCCAGTACAGTAATAAAATTACACTTCCTTATACAGACAAAGATAAGTAACTAGCTACTACATTGAATTGGAAGCAGTAATTATGGTCAAATTGAAGCACACCTACCAATAATTGGGACAAAAAATAAAATTAAATAATTACTACTATTATTTTATTTTAGGGAAAAAATTATTTTTTTCCCAATATAACCAAAATTCATCAATTTTGGTCGTAATATAAAAATCTTATCAATTTTGGTCTTAGTATAACCAAACTCATTATTTCTTGTCGCAATATAAATTTGTTATCAATTTTAGTTCTAATATAACTAAAACTCATCATTTTTTATCTCAATATAATCAAACCTTATATTTTTTTGTCCCAATATAATCAAACATTATCTTTCTTGATCTCACACCGTCAACAAACCGACAGAAAATACTGACGTGAAAAGAAATCAAACCTTATATTTATATTTGAAAAAATTGCACAATCTTGCAATATTTTCCGTCCATTTGTTGACGGTGGGACCAAAAAAGATAAGGTTTGATTATATTTGGACAAAATGATGAGTTTTGGTTATATTGAGACAAAAAATGATGAGTTTAGGTTATATTGAGACCAAAATTGATAAGATTTTTATATTGATGAATTTTAATTATATTTGGACAAAAAATAATTTTTTTCCTTTATTTTATTTTTATTTTTATCACTTTGGGTTTTTTTTTTTTTTTTTTTTTTTTTTTTTTTTTTTTTTTTTTTTTTTGTCCTGATGCTGCAGGATTTATTGAACATGTATGTACCTGGTACGTATATATATATATATATATATTAATTAATTTAGAGTAAGAATTTTTTTTGAAATTTTGCATGATATGTTTGTAAGTATATTTCATTCAATATATTGTATACAATTATTTGTATATTCAAAATATCTATATCAATTATTACTACAATTTAAATTTTTTATTATTCATATATATAATTGAGAACAGAAGCTGAATAATAATAAAAAATTATTTTGAAATACAAAACAAACAAACTTTGTTTTACTATAAATATGTTTAAAACTTTTACTATTCAGTATTTGTTATTTTCTATAAAAATACATTAATCCTTTTCATAATACATTGTATCCAAACTACTATTTAAATTAAATAATAAAAAAAAAATCAAAGCCAAAATTAAAAAACATTACTAACCAAACACACTTACAGAATATCAAGGTTCATACATATTGCTACCCGATATACTCCCCTCTCGTAACAAAGTATCCATTTTTTCATTTTGGTTTGTTTTATAACAAAATATTCATTTCTTTTTTTTTTTTTTTTTTTTTAAGTAAATGTACTATCTACCTAATATTACAAATACTCATACAACTTCTACTCCCTCCGTCCCACATAATTTGTCCATATTTTCTATTTTCGTCGGTCCCACATAAATTGTTCTTTCTATTTTTGGAAATATAATTATGCACTTTAATCGCATTTTGAATTTTAAATTTTATAATTTTCTTCATTTTAATTAAACTATTTACTTACCTTAATCTTAATATATAATTATTTTTACTAAATAATAATTATTTTTACTAATACACTTCTTAATTATTTACTAATTATACTTTACCTAAATTCCCGTATCTATAGTAATAGTCCCATATTTTATAGGACGGAGGGAGTAATATATTATACAAATACCATTACCTTTATATCACACAATACTAATTAATCATTTTTACTTTATTTATACTGTATCCCAATATAATACTAATATTTATAAAACTATGTGTAAAAAACAAGTAAATACATAGTTATAAGACGAGTGGAGTATTTTATTAATACAAACACAATAAATTTCAATAGAAGACATTTTGTATAAGTATAACCAAATTTAGGACACTTGTGTTTACTTGTGATGTTTTGGATTTTGATTTTGATTTTGATTTTGAATAGTAAAATTTTGAATTGAAATAGTTGTTTGATGTGATATAAATATATATTTATTTTGAATGTAAAATTAGATTTTAGTGTAATAAAATAAATAAAAACTGGGTGTTTGATTTGATCTTTTTGGAGAAAAAAATTGAAATAATAAAATTATGGGTAAAAATCTTACAAGTAAACAGAGCCTTTATCCGATAGTGTGAATTTTAGATTTAAATTTTAAATAATAAAAATTTAAATTAAAACCGTTGTTTGATCTAATATATCTTCAATATAAAATTATTTTTTTAAGTATAATATTAAAAAAAATATGTGATATGATATACTCCTTCCGTCTCAAAACTATAGTATGAGTTGTATTTGGCACGAGATTTAAAGAATATTTGATATTATATTGATAGTGGATAAAAAGTAAGGATAAAAAACTTTTTTGCTCTTGTGAGTGTTTTAGTGTAAAAAGTAGTAGCAATTGTGTACTATTAATGAAAAATAAGGATAGTTTTATAGTGATATGGTTATTTATGAAAATGAGACTATTGTTTTGAGACATAAAAAAATTGTAAACGAAACTATTATATTAAGACGGAGGGAGTATATATTTTTAAAAACATTAATAAATAAAAAATAAAATAAAATCCCCAAGCAAGCACAGTCACAGTACAACTGAAATTATCAAGATATTAATTTATTTATTTTTTTCTAACAAGCTCAATGATGTAATTCTACTAAATTTTATGAACAAATTTCATACATATAGTTGAAGTTGAGAAATGAGCACTATAAATATTTGAATTAAAATAATTATTTAATACTCCTTCCGTCCACAAACTAATGTTCTACTTTTCTATTTGAGACGTCAAACAATTATTGTTCAATTTTTTTTTTAAACACAAATTTTACATTTTTACCCTTCATTTATTTATTACTTTTAATCTCTACCATACAATTAAGGGCAAATTTGTCAATTCATAACAAAAAAACAATTACTTAAAAAATCGTGCAAATATACTTTAGGACAATAAAAATTGGACGGATGAAATATAATATAAATAAATAATATTATAAATATTTTTTTATTTAATATAATGAGTAGTACAAGGTTGGAG